AGGTCTATTCCATATCCACGAAGTATTACCGCGCAATGCCGTGTAAATGGCATGTGCGGGAGATGCAAAAAGATATTCACACAAACGGAATGCATAAATATTCATTCTCACGACCCATCCAACCCGAGTCAAAGCTCACTATTCCGGCTTACATTCATCTGCCATTGTTTCCGGGGAGTAGCTTTCAAATGTCGACGTGATGCGACCGTATGACATCCCTCAAGCTGATACCAAGGACGCGGCTTGTGAATCAGTAATGACTCACTTTTCCTTACGTTGATGCGTTTATTCGCAGGCTGAAACCAGAGTTCCTTGATAAGCACCGAGCAGCAATACTCATGCCGGGTTGGCTGATCGGTGAATTCCTTGATGTGCGTGACCACTTTGCCCTCGATCGAGCACAGATCCTGGACCACCGGCTGGTTTGGAAGGCGGTCGTGGTGGGCGCCTTATAAAGGCCTAATATGTCGTTCCGGCCCCCATACGGCGCATCGATTGACGCCACATTCGGCCACGATCATGTTCTCCCGTCGCGATGTTAGAGGACACATTCTCCATTTTCTTTCAGGTTCCCGATACGTATCCTTGCCTCTGCCCTGCAGTCAGGACAGCCAACAATAAACATTGGCGGATCAAACGATTACGGATTTAATTCTGTTCCGGCGCATTTATAGGACTTTGTCGGTTCCGCGACCCGAACCGGGTCACCACTGATGGTGGGGATTCGGCAGCCATCGATTTACGCCGTTGCTTCATACCAGTACGATCTCAAAGACCCGGATTCCTGATTTTAATTAATTATATTCTTCCGGTTATGGACACATAGGATAAGGGTTATTTCGCCCGACGCTTCCACCGTTGTTGCAGTTTCAGAAACAGCAAAGCTGGACAAATATATCACAGTAGGGATCACACAACTTCAAACACCTAACCTATCAGTACTTAGAGAAACCGAGCCATCAGAAGAATCACGAAAGTGCTTCGCGAATAGCGAAAGCAAACTAATTACCGTTAGCATATTAAACGACAATCGAGGGCTTTGTAAATTCTCGAGCCACCGGAATAATCGGGCTTTCTCAACATCCCAAACACCACTTTATTTTGGCTGTACATCGCCATCGTATCCTGGACATCTTCCAAGCTGCGTCCGGTATGATGACGCCTTTACCGCTTGAACGACATCGACTGGCCACTCCTTGGATGAGACTCAAGCATAGCCCTATGCAAGTGTTAGCTACGTATTAATCTTCACCGAAGAAAGAAAAAAGAGGGGGGAAATTCACCGCCTACGACAAGTTTTCCAGTGCTACAAGTGCTCCTTTAAGCTAGGGTGGTGCCTGTGCATTCCATTCCAAGCTGGCATTAGACGATGGGCAGGGGGCACTCACAGTGAACTGTTTCCCGTATCTCAATAGAATTGGGCTTGTCAGGGAACAAGCACAAAGAAACTCTTTCGTGCTTCTGTTGCTCTGCGATGACCAGCCCGGCTCCCAGGGCACTGGCTGGAACGCGTTTCAGGGAAGAGAGAGTGAGGCAGAAGGAATAGAGCGAGAAGCCATTTGAATAGACATAGTGCTGTTGAGGACTAGAATGGAATACACTATAAGGTTTAATTACAGACGAGCTGCGTGGTGTGTCAGGAACTCGTGTAGCCAGGAATGCAAGTGGGCTATTAGAATTAGAAGTTTGCAGTGGGAACCAGAGCCGGGCGTGATTGGCTATGAGAAATTGACCAGTAAAATTAATCTGTGTTGTGCCTTATCTACTGTCCAGCTCTTTGTTATTTAGATATCTATCCTTTCATTGCTAATTTTGTAAAGAGCGACTGAGCATGTTTGATATTGAAAGCGTCCCATAGCCAGAATCCACCTGAAAAGAAAGAGGTTATATTCAAATGTGACTGATTCGCTGCGTGCATACAGAGTCTTGTCAAAGATAGTCAGATCCAGGACATTATGTGAAATACCTCCTTACTCAATATCTCTCAGAGGGAGTTGGGCAAGAGAACAATTTCCTGCACACGTCCCAATCCAGACCTCCCACTTGTCTTGGGCAAGTCATTGCATTGCTCCTGAGCTTGAAGTCCTTTCATCCAAATCACCATTAATCTACCAAACGTGGATGATTATTACTCGACTTCCTTTGGGACGACTGGTTCCGCTGATACATAACTAGGAGATGTGAACAAAAATGGGGGTAATACTTCTGCTATTTGGCTACTGGATATTCAGGAGCAGCATTACAGCCTAGTTAGGACATCATTGCTCTAAGAAATTCCATTTATTGGTGCGCCTGCATGACAATTCACCTGGCCCGTTATTCCGTTCATTTATTCTCTATTGTTTACATTCAACTTCCTTTCCTTATAAATTGCTCCTACCACGCCTTCTAACTCTAACCGTGCCTTCCTGCCCGCATATAACCTCTTGCTTCCTCCTACACCATTTACATTATCTTATTTATATGATATTCAATCCAGGAATACACCTCCGCATTAATAATGCATCTTTCAATAATTCAGAGGTACACCTGGCTAATTATTTGGCCTTTGATCACTTTTAGAATTTATTTATGCTCTATTCTGGAGTTCCTTCCATAACAATTACTTATTGGGTTGCTAAATATCAAATTATTACCAGCACCCAGGAATACGATCTTGCTTTGCAGCATCCTCATCAGTATCATTTTTTAATACGTGTCCTTCCATGGTGACTTTTTGGCATATTTCTCTCTTCAGGATGCAGCCTATTCAATCACCCACATGCTTCCTCGAATGGGTTTATGGAACTAGAGAATATATCTCATGGTATTGAAGGGGCTGAGATACGTTCCTCATTTATCTAATTCTTTCCTTGAGAAACTCCAGAGTGCAGTATCACGCTATTTCTGTACAGCTTTCTCATGCTGTGTGAGTGTTGGCCTCCATGGGGCGGTTTTGGTCTATCAGCTCCGGACTCTTTTTAGAATATAAGTCACACAAGGTGCTGATGAATTTTCATTCCTCGAATACCAAAAGCAAAGGAATTGGACGGCCGACTATGTTGTCGAAGATTCGTTTCCGTCATATAAATGGAGACCCGCGTGATCCTCGACGAAATTAAACACAAACGAACCAAGAATACTTTGACCTGCTTTGGAGGAATAATAGCATTCTTGAGTGCCAAACTCACACAAGGTTGTCCGACAGCCAAAAAGGGAAACACACATCTCGATTAGTATCTTGACACAATCCACAGTGATTCCAAAATAAATCGGTGTGCCTCAGTCCTCCAGTCAACTCAGAAAAGATGCTCAACATTGGATATGGACTAGCAATCAACAGACGAAAGTTGTTCTCATTATTCACGTCAGCAAAGCAGGGATGGTCGGAGTAAAAAAAACTTTGGGAGTTACAAAGCATAACAACATTTGTCACCAAAAAAGCACCAACAGATCTGTATTAACACTAATTTTGTATTTGGTCTAATTATATTGTCTAAGTATTCAGATACACTGAAAAAGGCATTATACACGACCAGCTCTACCAATGCTTCAAAGAGATTAGACAAGCTTGTCTTTTAAGACTATATGCATTTATTGTTGAAGCACCTATATGACTATCTATTATGGCTTCACTAGGGCCTGGTTTTCAGTTGGTTGAATGGTCTTGTCTTGACATCTACTATTATAAACTTTCCATACCATATAGTCTAGTTGTTGCTCTTTTTAGGCAATTTTTCTGGGTTTTCTGTAGACACTTACTATAACTATAGAATGAAATGAATCCGGGGGCATCCAGTCCGGACAGTTGAACCGACCATCGGCGAGAGGATATGCGGGGATTGGTGATGTTCCACATGGACATGCCATGCACGGTGTGTAGATTCAGATGGATACTAATTTATCATGGATCTTTGTCTTATAATAATATACGGTGTGGATGAACTCCAAAGCGCCTCGCTTCCAATATCGCGTCTGTTTGGCAACCCACGTGGGACAGCTTGTCGCGTCGAGTGGTGAAGTCGGACTAAGTGTCCCCAGTCCACATCGCCTCCTTTACCGTCGACAAACTCCGAAGTAGGCAGTCTGGGATGCGATATCCAGATAAAGAAGCAGGGACATCTGCCATGTCTTCCCATCTATCAGGGAGGGCTTGGTGGACATGTTTTCTCTGCTTCTTGCCTTTTTGCCTCGAGGCCAGCTCTGGCTTCCAGGGATACCTTTTATCCCCTCTGAACACACCACCTACCATCACCGACACCTCGCTAGGACCGTATGGTGGCATCTGCACCGCGCCTGAGGATCATGCCGGCCAGCTCGCATGACGATGTCCTGCAATTACTGCTCCATGCCCCACATCCGCGCAGAAAACCTACTCTCACCAGAGTCGGTGCCGAACAACTCCGTCTCGGCGCGTCTGGTCTATCTGGAGTATCTGCAACAATCACCAACGTCGCACCGTACGTATCACCTGCCTGGCGGCGAAATTGTTTTCTCCATATCTTGAACAAAACATTGCACTACTTACCACCACAGAACCAGCCTTACAACTGCGACAAAGTCCGCACGCTCATCTGTACGCCGCTCGGCTCATGGTGTTTCCCCTGCGGGGTCTGCAGGCAGGCCACTCCAGACCCTACCAATCCATTCTTAGACTCGTGCGTTAACGGGTCGTACCGACCACCCCAGCTCCACCATCGGGGGCCTGCTTGATGGCTATCAGCAGTCCGGGATCTTCGCGCCGTCTACGGCGACAAGCTGAAACTTGATCCCCATCGTCGCTGAACCATCACACGGACAAAAAATGGCTACGCACCAGTTCCTCACCATTAACGCAGAAGGCTCCGCGGTAGGTCCTTCGTGGGGGATCTGGCCACCATAAAGGTTCTATCTCGCTACATCAGCAGGCCTCTGGTAACCGACGTTGATCATTGGGTTCCTGTGCTGCGCAGAGTTCACTGCTGTCAACACGTCAATCGTCCCGGAATGGAAGGAGCATCTGTCTGTGACACGCAATCGCTGCGGAATCGTCTCAGCTGTGCTCTTTGATGCCAATACATCCAGCTGGATACCTTCGATCACTTCGCCGATAACTTTCGAGGCACGTCTTTGTAATGGATACGAGCTGCCCTGTCAGTTGGACGGCTCTGCCGCCGCAACAATGGACGATGCGTACACACACGGTCTTCCGTGCCGGTGACTGGAATGGAATTACTGGTGGCGATATAATGCCAGCGCGACGGGATATATCCCGGCGTAGAGGGGCTGTTCATCGGTGAGATAGTGCGGAAAGCTGGAGGTGGTGCAGCGGCGGAATTCCGAACTGGTGTATAGCCATGCTTTTTTTCATGATGGGGATGTGGGTCCTATTTTGGGTGCGTTAGGAATTAAGCACTTAAAGGTAGCCCTGGTATGGTCAAATATCGCTATTTGGTATGTTTCGGAAGTTATACCTCTTTTCTTCCAGGTACTGACTTTCCACAGGGAGACATCGAGTCAGAGCTGTACGTTCAGGAGTCTATATAGCGGACGATGCGGTGCAAAACCGCATGGAACAATGGACTGGATTCCTTTATCTAGACTGCTTGATATCCTGAGGGTGTTCATGGAGGATATTATCTCCGTCAATAATAAAAGCATGAACAGCCCGCTTTATAATGCTACTTATTTGAAGAAATAAAATCGAATCCTGGCAACAGTAAACCCCATCTGAACAGCACTGTGGGTAATTCCCATGACGGCGGGCAGCATGAGAGCAAGGCAGTGAGCATGTATAACGAGCCATTCGAGTCAGCCGCTCAGATCCTCTCCAGCAACGGTGCGGTATATTCTTTTTGAGAGGTGATCTTCAGGCCGTCAGAAGCCCATGTCGAGCCGTGAACCACGGGATCTTTTCGACATCCCTGTAAAAGCTTGCGCTGGTCAGATCCATGATTCAGGTAAGGGACGGGGGTTTGCCATCTTTGTTTGGCGGTGATCAGGCACCCAGTTGACCACCAAGGCAAAGTAATTTTTTACGATATAGACTGGCTTCATACGGTGGGTTATGGTGGTTATGAATTGGGGGCGTATTGTCCGGTCATCTCGCCTTGTTTATATTCGATGGGTTCCTGCCACCACCACCACCTTTCTGGTCCATCTGGGATTCAGTTAGTCCAGGTGGTGATTTCGATCCATCTGATCCATCCATTCCAATCAGTTGTCATTCACTGGATTATCCATGATTCCTTATTCCATTCCTTCCATTCAGATCAATCCATTTCCATTCCTTCCATATCCATTCCATTCCATTCCACATTCCATTCTCCGGTATGCATTATATATTTGCAGTCTTCGCTTGTTTAGAACTTCGCAGCAATCTACAACATGGCTCATACTCTATTAGCCCTACTGAGCCTTCTGTGAGTTTTTATTCTTTGTTTTTGTTATTCTGATATTTCTCATAAATGAACCAAGACTGCATGGTTTACGCCTTACGGTTCTCGTAACTCCATGAGGTCCCGAACAGGTTATTGTCGTGAATAATGCAGAAAGAATATAATCGGTTGAGCATCCATCCATACCCAGACGAATGGGCAAGGTAAAATTCCCTATGACTTGTAAATGTGAATGCATGTAATGGATTTCTAAATGATTTTGAATACAATCATGACTTACGTATTTTAATATTTTAAATAAATACCGGAGTCGTCATATCTAGTTCCTTAGACTATACCGGCCTACAATATGGACCCCCGAACTCCCAGAGGATCTGTTTCTTTGACACACCCCCTGAACACACCGACTACCCACAAGATACATCTTTGGGGTTTCTGGTAATAAAAAGGTTGCAGAGCATCACAGTTCTACTAGGACTAGTCCTATTCCTCACTGCCCGAGTGGTTACAAACGTCCAACCTTCCAGCCATCAATGCCTACCCGGGGACTTCAGGAAGAAAAAGGCGCGAGCAGTATTTCTTTCAGACGCGAAAAACCTCCTTCCAGGAGGGGAGCAAAAGAAAAAAGGTACATGCTAGTTATTGCTATTACTACAGGAACTAATGATATGCAGTTCAACGGGCCGTTCCATCATCACACTCTTGGATCTCGGGTACCTTTCCCAGTCTTGGACTTTATGGGTGAAGAATTGGCCGGATCTTGACCATCCTCAGCTTGTTCGCCGTGGTGAGATGAATATAACGCATTTATGCATGCTCATTATGATAGGGTATTTTGTTAATATTCACGGATGCTCGTTGGGAATAGGGCCATCCATGGTCCAAGTCATATGAGCATTGACGTGGTTAAGACGAAGTTGAATCCAGAAGAGTATCGTATGTTCAACATTCACACCTGCAGGTTTTCACTTAAAGTGTACAGATTGCCGGATTATGCGACAATATATCCGAAATTCTTGAAAAAGGTGATGGACAGAAGGGCATAGTATGCCTCCTAACCATATACCTCGATTTTATTCTATTAATATTGTCCAGACTATTTTTATATAAGACTTCCCCAGGACATGAAATTCATTTCATCGCCCGCATATCATCGTAGCATCTTCGTCGGACCCTGAGCTATCTCGCAACCCAGAATGGCAAGGCCGTTCTCATCAACTACACCCTCATTTCTTCTACAGCGTGGCGCTCTGCGCCACTGGCCCGAGAAACTTCCTTCAAGTCCTGTCATCCACTGGGTAATTACCCGAATGCCGCCAGAGCACGGTACCAAGTCCGTCGGCCCATGACATCCCACCCCTGTCTTGGAGACCGAGCAGCGATGACAAGCCTGCAAATGCCGAAAATTGCAGTTTGAAATTCCGACGATAGTATCGAATGGATGGAGGAGGTAGCCAGAGGTCGGTCTTTCGACCCGTAGCTGCGCAGTTGGGTATAGCAATGGGTGCATTGCATACGACGGAGCTTATTAAATGACTATCTTGGATATATGTATGCATTCAGGAATGATCCAGACCTACGAGAGAAGTATGATGCGGTCGAGGGGAAAGTGATGGATGGACGACGACAGCGGGATTGTTCAAGATGAAGCTACTTGATAGTGTCATCCAGGGAGACTCAACGGCTGAAACCTGGTGCTCTAGGTGATTCTTTTCCCTCTTTCCCTATGTCCATTGAAAATGTGACGGCTAATTATCTGGCTGTGAACCTTGAGGCGCAAAACTATTATAAGGTCACTCTCCCGAACGGTATGGTTCTTCCCTGCGGCACCAGCGTCGCAGTGGAATGTACCACCTGGTCGAACGCAAGAGACGTATCCCTCTCACAGAGGTACGATGGATCCGATTTTTGAAAATGCGAGCGGGGCGATACCACGGCGGTTCTATCGTCAACTAGTCCCCAAACATGTCGCGTTTGAGATCGGGACGTCTCAGACCCACTGGGAAGTTCCTCGCAGCCAACGAAGGCCTAAGATTGTGGTGGCTAAAGTCTTACTTGATTATGATATTCGACTGGAGGAGGGTATCAGCCCACGTGGTTCATTATGGTTTTGAGATGTTGAGCGATCCATCGGCGAGGTTGGAGGTTAAGGAGGCGTTGAATGATGAAGTACGATCTGGAAGGATGAAAAAAATAATAATAAACCAAAAATTCTATTCTAGTACAGCTCCACTGGCTCATTCCCTAAAGTAGCACATAGAGATGGACAGAATCACTATTATAAGGCCTGATGGCGAATGCTACACATCTAGTCCATTGTCAGTAGCACTGCCTGCTGCGGTAGTGCTGATAGCGCAAACCCAGAAATACCCCCGGGGCTCGCAGCACACAAAGGCAAGAGGGCCAGCACGCAGCGTGACTGAAATAACCAACATATGACCGGAGTTATTCCGTTGATAATCAGCTCTTCATCCTGCAACCGCACGTCAAATCGTCCAGCGACTTTATTTTCTCCGCACACCCAGCTTTATTTTGTCCAGCCAGAGCAATCAATTACCCGAAATTTGCATAAATGGGCGGGGTCAGAGTGACCAGGTTGCTACTACGAGAAGGAATATCCATGAGGAATACCACCATTGTGGGACGACAGGCAGGAGGTTTTGCCGATCTAACGGATGAGTTAGTGGTGGTTCCACTGTCTACTCTCAAAAGTTAGTGGTCCTTTGAAGTACTAACGGCTGGGTGAGAAGAAACTAGGGCGTTTGCGATGAGGGAGTGACAGCAGGGGTGCCATGCATGGGGCAGTCAGAGACTCCATGAAGTACATGACTAGACCGTGGCTTGCAGCTGTAGAAGAAATGGTACAGATACATTGGGTCCATTTTAAATTCAGCCCAGAGCTGAGAAAGACGCTGGACCATGACTGGGCATGGGGCCTCGGGTAGGTTCCACCGATTTGGACTGCAGTGTGTTAGATGTGAACATGCGTCTGATCTCCATAGAAGAGGGAGGGTCGTACTGAGAAACCCGAAAACATCAGGCAGTCTCACCAAAGAAACACGATCACAACACCCGCAACAATTAAAGAAGACGTTGCCGAGGGTGCAGATTGGGCGCGTACGGCGCGGATGACGTGTTGCTAAAGGTGGCGGCAGCGGTATTTGACCTGGGGGACCTTCTGTTTGTTACTTTATTTACTTCGTGGCTGACCTTGGGCATCTGAATGATGATACACTCAGATAGAGGTAGAGCGGGTTGCACAAAATCAGACTCAAACTGAACATGAGACCAATTGGAACAATTAGCACCTCTCGAGATATACACACATCAACGGCTGGATGTGACCAGCTGCATACTACCTACGTAGCTTAATTTGGTGTCATAGGGATCTTGTGTCCGCGAGTCCAGCGTGGAAGTGAAAATGGGGCAAGAACCTGGGGTGTTCCCGTTGCAGCCATGTCTTTGTCAAGAACAGCGCTGGACGGTCAGTTGCTTAATCAAGTAGCAGCAGAGCGGACTCACGGAAATCTACAGCATAAAGTTAGTTCTTGGTTCAATACATGGGATTAAGAATATGTAGACCGTTCTCACCGAATTTGGCTCGCAAGAACCCATTTATTAAACAGGATGACGCTCGAACTCAGCCCGGTCACAGTCCACGCCAGTTCACGCCGCGATTCCTGGCTTCGCGTCAGGGGCGGTGCGAGGCGCATGATGTAGAACGCGGGATGAAGCATTTCGCTTTGAGAACGTGGCGGCGTTCGCTCTCGAAACTTCCGATCATCCTGCGTGAACCCATGGTGGTCCGGATCGACGATTGTCGATAAGGAGGGGCAGAATAGATGGCGAGATGCAAGGCAGCTCATCGCGAAGTAAAGATGACACGAGCATTTTATACCCACAGAGGCTGATCGGCAAACGTCAGCCCGGGATAAATTGGTTTGCCGCTAAGGCGGTTTGATCTTCAAAATGGCCGGGATTGGGTGCGTCACCGCACGTCTTAACTCGTGCAGTTTAGCGCCCAGTCCTGAATTCATTCAGGGATGAAAGCCCCATCTCCCTTTTCATCATCATAGACATCCTCTTTAGGATTGGTATATAGACCCACGAGCCGCAGTGGTTGGTCTGGCTTACTCGATGTTTTGCAGATAGCAGTGCAGCAGAAGTGAGTAAATATAGAAACGGGTGAAAGCTTGGGGCGTTTGCGACCAGTGGTCTTCACCCTGGATTCATCCAAAAGCCACGAAATTTCCACTGAGACATCCTAAATAATTCCCATCATAGATCTTACCCAGTGCTCTCCGTGTGGATTAAAATAGGCATAGACTTCATTAGCCTCAATGTAATGCCAATAGCTCGACTTGAACATGTCTCCAATGCCTTATCACACCACAAGCCGTTTTGGCTTTCCGTCCCATTCTTAGTGCAAAACTCTCGAGCGACATCTCTCCGTGGTCGTGGGTTGTAATAACGGTGCGCAATACACTGTGTTTAAGTTAATAGCAAGCTGCAATTTTTTAAGTGCTGGACCATTCAAGTTGCGCCGGCGGCGATCTAATCCTTCCTACTTTAAGTAAAAAGCATCACTGATATATATATATACAGAAGAACACATAATAGGCTAACATAGAAGAATAGTTATAACTACTATAATAAAAATATGCAAAGAAAAGACACAGTTAATTAATTAATTATCTTTAGTCTGGGAATGGGCCTTTGCTCACGTCTGAAAGTAACTAATGGAAATAAGTCTAGTAATAAGAGATAGACGAATTTCTGTGATTGTGCATGGGATATTGCTGCAGTAAATAGTTAATATTAATCGGGTGATGTTTATATAATTCCTGTACTATATTAATACAGGATATGCTTTTAACCTAGTAAAAGATGATTGTATATAAGGGATATATACTAAATTATTTATTAAGTTATATAAAGCCTTGTAAAATCTAAGTTTGGGGTAACTAGGGTGTGCAGCGTGAGCTAGAGCAACTAAAAAACAGGCTTGCTTAAAAAATAAAGATATGCCTTATACTATACTGTATGTATATTAATATGTTATAGTAAATATATCTACTAATATGCTGATTATTGTGCCGTAGCAGCATTTGCAGTCAGGTGCTGATAATAATATAAACGTATCGAGCTGACTTTCGCTCCTCTTTTTTCAGCGGCTGGCGGCTGCCCAAATCTCGTTTAATCTTGTAAAGCTTATTTTTAGCCTACTAAGTTTACAGTACATGTTTACACTTACATACAATATACATTTATAAACAGGTATGAAGTAGTATTAATACCCAGCTAATATAAACATACAATGCGGCATTGGATGGGGATGTTACTAAAGTCGAACCCATGACAATCCCGGCGGTACGAAACACGGTACAAAATGGTATCCAAGTAAAATACTTTTTGTAACAATTCACGTCAGCGTACATGGCTCCATACTAGCCGGATATCTGGTCTTTCGAGGGACCTTTACTCTTTGATTCTGCTGTGGTTGGGGAAATAGCGACCCATAGCTACACCGGCTCTGAGGTAGTGAACGTTTATTCCTCTGGTACGAGACTGTAGAGCAGGCTGTTTATGATTCACCCGCGGGAATATCCGGGAACTCAGATGGTGCGGCAATCAGCCAGGTCAACTGGCGGGGTGCGGATAGATGGTCGCTGAGACTCGAGGCATAATCGCCAACACTTTTAGCGTGAGTCGAGTGGGTGGGGTTAATGCTGTATCGCAATAAAGGTGAACTCGTTTACTCAGGCTTATCATTTATGCTAATATTGCCGATTTTCTGTACGGTTGTACCTCAGATGATTATTTAAAACCGATGGGTTTTGGTGCTATGGAAGACTCGATGGTCACGTATCGCTCAATCAAAGGGAACATCCGTGGTGCCTGTTGAGCTTCAACTTCCTGCTGCGTTCTTTATTGATATTCACCGGATTGTTCATCCGCGTTCGCCGGTTTAATGTTTTTCTTTGGGTCAGATCAGGATCAGCAGACAGCAAACCCGGTAACAAAATACCATAAGAATTTCACTGTCGAAGCACCGGCAGGAGATACCCGCACCTCTGGGAGAGGAAGTCCAAACTCATGAAGCGCGCATGAGACATGGTTATGGTGATGTTTAGAGATAACTATAAGTCTATGACTCATTTAGTTGTGTTGTATGATAAAAAGATCTCAATTGCTTCCCTCACCAGGGTAGCACTGCCAAATGAACAGACAGTACGCGAGAAAAATACAAGGCGAACCAAGCAAAAAGTCAGCGTTGATCCCAATCGAAAAGCGATATCTTACAGACTGAAATGCTTTCTGTTTTGCTGAGGCAATGTCATGCGCTTCCTGCGCTAGCCTATGAGGTTAATCATTTTTCCCGCCAACCAATCTGGCTTTTTTCTGAGGAGGAGTGAACTATTTAAAGATTATCAAATAAGGAGAAAAAGGCACCCTTGTGGACGTTACGTTCAAAACCATGGCCAGTATCATGCAGATTGTGTTGCGAAGTTTTCCTTATCAACGGGCGACCTAACATTCTTAGTAGCCTCATCCGAGTCGCGGGGCGTACGTCAATGCGCTTCCCACACCTGGATCTGACAATGTTCCGATAAGAGTGAGACATCTCGGAAACATACATACTGGCGGTTCGGAACCTGGCGATCGTCCGCCGCCCTAACCCACCTAGAGTTATGCGGCTCTTCTTTGTCGAGTTGCTCACACTCTCTCATAAGGGGCCAGATGGTAATTTATCTGTTGAAGAAATGGTATTCGGACCGATTCATTCCTGAGCCTTGGCTACGCACAACGTTGTCAATCGCCGAATCCCTATCAGTTGAAGACCAGGTGTGGCATCCCTGGATTGAGGACGTTGGATATATATCTGGTTACAGATATACGCTCACTTAGCAGGCTACGTGCGTGTAGCTGGTATGTCTCCTGCTCCTATTCCCATTTTCCCTGTGCACCACCGTGGGAACCCGTCACGAGGTTTTCACGCAACATTCATGATTTCCGGTATATTCAGAAGCCCGGCTTGGTACATACCAGGTCCAGTTAGTTTTAATTTACCCTGACCCTGGCGCATCCAGCGTTAATACAGGCCTAGTACCTGGCTACCACAACACGCACTCTGCATAAGCACCAAGGGATGGGGAATTAATGTTACCTATAACTTGCCGTGCGGTCGCCGCCATGTTCGATGAGCTACTTCACGGCTCCGCCGTTAACGGATCAGGCAAGCCCATTGAAATAGTGCCAGAAGCATTCCGGTGCCGCCTAATCGCCACTGGCGTTCAGTTAATAAGACCCACAACGAATTCTCTGCGGGCTTTTGCAATGAATGTTTTTTCGCTCCGGAAGCGGTGGGGAATATCTTATATGATTTTTCTCTTGCGTCTGGTCGGTTCGAGAGTAAAGCATCACACTTCCACCACCGATGCCACCTCTTTTACTGTTATCAGCACCGCAATGTTTGAAACAATGAACATCCGCATGCCCTAAGCGCGATTTATTTTCCGGTGAGTTCAGCTTTCACAGTTACACCCATAATCGTCACTCAACTTCTAGATTCGCCCAGATTTAAATCGCGTTCCTGATTGGCGCACCACCCCATGGGCCGAGGCCAGTAGAAGAGTACATACACCCATTTGTCACCAGTCCGGATCGATGGTTCAGCTGCAGTACCGGACCGCAGCATGCCGGCCATTGCAATGTTCCTGGTACGCATTGGGCTGGGAATATGTCCAAACTTGTTTATGTCTATTTCCAGCGGGAACCTCATATTTCCCGATATTATAGTCGCGTTTCCGTCGTAAAGTTTGCACTTTGAAAGCCAGGGTGGTACTGTATGCTACGGGCACATTAAGAACATTATACCACTTGAGTTTTGCGTTCTAACCCACGACAGATGTGGATTCTGATTTTGTTCTTCACGCGGATAACGACCCATTGCGCTTCAGCCACGATCTCGGGATTTTTCCCCGTTACTGAGTGGAAAACCGGAACCCATCGCAGTGGCAAAATTTAAATAGAACAAAAGTAAATTTTGTTATAAAGCGCAATACATATGGAATACCAGTATGTCGCGTTTGGGGTTTCCAAAAGCTTGTAAAAAATGGTCCTTGTTCCTCTTTAAATATCCCCCTGTATGGCTAATACAAAGGGACTCAAGCGACTAGGTGAAATACTACCCCCGTTTGCGGAACTGTTCTTGGCATTGCGGACCTAACCTACTAGAGTCTAATTATCATAACAACCCGACTAGTGTTACACAAGCATTCTTTCACCTCCACGTTCACAGTGAGGTAGAGCGCTTGCAGCATTCATACTGATCGTCAATATGCGGCTGGCTGACCCTTGTTTTAATTCGGAAAGAATGGGATGACGTTCAGAATGTAGTTACAACAATACTTTTCCGAAAGCCACCGTTGCATCGCCCTTGGAAAATTTTTTTTTTTTTTTTTAAAAAAAAAAACTTTCAACTCAAAACTACAATTGACTACTGCCAAAGTATCTTGGCTCAGCCGAATCTGAGACCAAAACAATGTTGTCGCCCGTTTCCTCCAGCGTAAATGCCGACAGGAATGGAAATTCGTTGCCCAGTAGGCTGGTTTATCCGGACGAAGAGCTGCCCGGCATATAGTTACTAACAACTTGAACTTACCCAGTCAAATTTATTAAAAGGTTGGCAAGCCCAAACCCTCGTACTAGAAAACAACTCCATGACATAGACGGACAATGTTGTACGAGTAATATTTTCGCTCGATTCTAGATTTCAAAAGGTGTCTCCGGGATGTTACAGTACCGTTAATATTGGCTGATGATTCATGGACTCGTGAAGGGTTGAAGCGGTAAGCAGGAAACAACATGGATGGCGAGTAAATTCGAGCTGATAATTGTCATTTCGGAGATACATGTCCCAGCCAGGCCTTACAGCGGCTCTAAAGAGCCGTTTATGACACGCGATAGGAGAGTAAAAGGAGTCGTCCCGTAATCCAACCAACCACGAAATTCGATCCATTACACTGGAAACTATGGAGATGGCTAGTTCCTTACATTGTGCGTCGAGTCTCGAAGGGACGTATCAAGATGCAGCAGTGAGAAGAAGATAGGACTTGTTATGGCCTAGAAGCGGAGATGGAAACAGAAACCAAATCAACTCTATTCGATACCTTCAGAGAATACTAAGCAGAGGAAAGGAAAGAGGATCGAGATAAGCAATAAATTGGATATCACCATATACTACCACGCTCCATCGTTCCCCACGACCAAACATAGTAGATAGAACATATAACGAACAAGCAAACTGACATGGCAAACCGTCTGCGCAAACCGTCACTGCGCCGGTTGCCACAGGACAACAGTGTGAAGACTAGCTACCCACCATTTGCCATGTAAGCATTGAAAAAGCTAGGAGACCGAAATCATGAATATAGCAATTTACTACCAGGTTACTGGGATGGAATTCAGGGCTGGGACTACCACCTAGCTATCATGAGGCATACACAAAAGGAGAAGATATTTTACAGTAATTAAAATAATGAAAGACATTCTAATATGAACCGAATTGGCATTATGGCTAGCCACAGGGAGCTTTACAATGTAGATGGTTGTGTCACGACATATTCTCGTCTTCGATGTATTGCATCACCACCTAGTACTAATGCAGCTATTAATTGGCTGATTCTGCATAAGGGGTACTGTGCAAGATCCATGGCTTACCAAATGAAAATACTAACCGAATAGGCACAGTAGTTTAAGGTAAAGCTTTCCGCTTGCGGTTACGGATTCCACATTTTTGGCTAGTCACACGAGAGCTTTGTGTTTAGATGGTCTATGTCATATTCTAGTTTTTCGATGTGCTGCGTCACCACTTATATGAATGCAGCTATGAATTAGTTGACTTTACAACTATACTCAGCCGAGGACCTTTTTAGCGATGCTTTTAGCGTCAGGTGCCGTGATGCATCTGCTCTATCTGCTGCATAACGCCAGTGATGATGTCAAAGGCAAACACGCTACAAATAAATTAAACCTTCTTTGTTAGGTAGGTGGCCGATTACGATCGTCTTAATGTCCAGGAATAGGCCTTCGTAGTATCTTGTGGAATTATCTTATACCGCGGGGCTTGATTGCTTCTGATACTATAAGAACACACGCAAGGATAAGTGTACACATGCGAACAGGAAGCGATCTACATAAGACTTACCCATGGTATTTTAACTTCAAAGGAATATTGGCCGCTTTGGGAGCAGAGCTTTTTAGCAATAAGTTTAACTCTTGACCGCGCATCCCGGCACCCGCGATTGATCCAGCGTCCTGAGTTGTAGGGTGTCGGTGTCCTCACATAGGCGGCAAACAACCGGTGGGTACTCCTCGATTTAATCTGATCAGCTAGCGCGGGGAAAGCCCTCGTGCATTAAACGCGGGCTTACTTTCTACCTCCAAAGAAACTGCCATGGAGAGAGCAGGTGTCAGGATTATCATACATGGCGTCACCTCTTGAATAAATGGTGGAGCTTCCATAGTACCCCAGTGGCACTACAAACTCATCGAATCGTACTCCACTTTCTGTCTCCTTGCATGATGCCAACAGTTCCATTGCACTATGGCTCCTCTGTCAGAATATTGTCGAACTTATAATAGTAGCTGGTCAGCCTTTGCTCGATAATTGTTTGCTGGGCATTCACGGTTTGTTAATATACAAATAAGTCTACGGTGCCCTTTATACATTCTTGTCATCTCGCTGCGGTGGCTAATATTGCTCAGTATTACCCAGAACCGGGGCTGCCCATCAAAATGTTTGCGCACAAGATGGCACGATCAGGGTTTGAACAATAATGAAAGAGCATCCCTGATCGCGAGGGCAGATGCAGCCGTATGTAACCTTCCATTACTACCAAACTGGGGCTTGCAGCACAACATGTTAAAATCACAGCAAGAAAATTTCACGAAAACGGGCGACAAAGAGAGAAATCCTCCCCGTGATCTTGGCTGACACAGAGATCAAGAGCAATGACGAATTCGCCGTGAATTTCTGCGGCCGACTCGGAACCTACTGATACAAAAGGTACCCTTGATCTTACTGATCTAGATGATGACTGCATCGCTACTCTCTCTCTTGGAAGGTTACCTTTCTGGTCGAAAACGAATACATTTCAGGTGCAAAACATCAGATCCGGCTATACTGTGACTGCGGATGGCTACAACAGGACTGGTAGCGGACTTGGTACTGCAGTAGTAAAGGTCGTCAAAGGTTAAAACGGGAGTTTGGCTTCAATTATCTACCATTTCCCACAAAGCTTGGGCAGGAGTTAGTCGCACTTCTGTTGTATATTGTTAATCTGTACACTATCTCGAAGGATGATTGTGTCAGATAACAGATAGTCTAAACCTTTAGTTTCCTCTCTCAGTACATGCCATTATTATAATGTTTTGAAATACTTAAAACCTCCACGAATTGAGAGAAGGACCAGAACCACCCCCGATAGTCCTACTCCGCCAAAGCCCGCTTCGCCTTTTCCCTCATTACTATAAACGCTAATAAAGCACATTTTCAACTGTCCTTTTCTTTTTCCCCAAACACAGCTCTTTTTATATGATTTGCTGATCGTTTCAGAGCCACAGCGTGCGACGAAGAGAGCGTCACCAACGCCTATCCCAGATAAAATTATCTAGTGGATCGATCTGTGAAGAGAAAGTCGGTGAAATGTTAATAACCCTTCTGTGTAATATAATGATTTTTTCGGCCAAATTAGAACACCACTCAAAAGTTTCCGCTCGCGCAATGGATGACCATGATATCATTATATAATCCCCTCACCAGTTTAAGGGCCATAACTAATAGCCAACGACGATGATACCGTGCTCCAGGAGAGCGTCTGAAGTAACGACTTTCCATCGCCCCATTTACATTTCTGAATGCAACGTCTATGACAAATTCATCGTCTCACTAAGTTATATGACGAATTAGTTGCGATATATTCTTGGAATTGTGTCTAGCTGAAGTACGTGTTCTTATGGCGTGCAGGAAGTGTAATGGTCATCACTTGCACATATTCACCTAAGGTCCTGCAAAGCCATCCGAGTAACAGACGGGTTTGTGGAGCTTTTTCTAGTTCACTTTCTAATTTTACGTGCCTTTCTTTACTTTTGTTTTAAACTTTTTTGTCTTAAACTTTTTTTCTCATAAAGAGAATGATTATATAGGAGACCTAATCTGCATTTTAGTTCTATTCGCTCTACTATGTACTATAAAGTATCTAATATTGATTTCGACTTGGCGCCGTCTAAAACTAATTTGGACTCTGGACAAGTCAACACATATTTAATGCAATAATTTAGTGGTCTGGTATGAAAGCAAAAAGGCCGTTAAGCAAAACGTAAATAATGCATTATATAATAGAGACTGACAAGGATAATAGGTCATAGTTATCAATAGCTTGCTGGATCCTTTTTCATATGCTTTTAAAGCTATGTCTCATTCATATAATACCCTTTGCTTTCTTGCTGGCCGGCAGCTGCTCTTGGTGAGAGTATTCTCGAGCGGGCTGTGTTGCAAACGATAGCCGACGTGGATATATCTCATTTGCCCACCGCGTTTTGCATGCCAGTGCGGTCCCACAAGCTCTCAGTGACGGTGCCAATGCACTTGAGGGTGGATGTGGCACCTATAATGGGGTCTGGTATGCGTGGCATGCCAGACAAGAATACACCTTGGGATGAGCCACAGGATACCGTGGAAAGAGTGTTTAGCGCTGTTGCCGCGCAGCATAAAGATGGGAAGCCAATTACTTTTCTCTGGCTGGACATTAAGCACCCAGGCCATTGTTCTTCGGCAGGCAATGGTGTATCATCACAGAGCTACAGCAAATGGCACAAAAGAAATTGAAGTCCGTTGGTGTCGAGTTCTCTATGGCTTCAGCCTGGACCATTCTAACAGCGGAGCCTGGGGAGACCATTGCTAAAGAATTTGACGGCAAATGAAGCGATGGGCTTAAACGCCAGGCTCAATCGGCCATCCACGATACATTCTCTAGTAAACAGAATAAAAATATGATCCCTTCACATCAGAGGGTTATAGACTTCGGGTTTTCGGCTCTCTGGTTGCCTCGTATCATGGATTGCCACAACGATAGAAAGAAGGGGAAATATAGCGGCGTCTGCTATGAACTAAGTGCAGCATCAAAGGCGCGATCGTGCTAAACCAGGCCCAGGATTAAGAAAAAGGTCTTTGGCTGGACAATTACAGATAAAGGGAAAACACCGACACTGCGGGAACCTTGCTGGGGATTCGCGAAGGTTGATGGCAATCTGCGGCAGAAGTACTCTCATTATTGCCGAGACAATGAAAGCAATCGTATTGCCATACGAGAGATCAAGAAATGGCTATGGAATAACTCCAAAACACACCGTGCGGCAGGCCAAGGAGATAGCCCTTGGTAACAGTTGTCGCAACTGTGAAATGGTCCCTTATTGTTTGGTGGGTGAGTAGCTTTCAGGGTTCTGAGCAAGGGATGGTTGATTTGTGTAATATAAGGGAGACTACAAAAACCATCGCCATGTGTGTGACGTCCTGCCGCCGGAATGTAAATCTACCAGAAGTATGACATTACCAGCCGTGCACTCCATGTTTCTGATTCCTTAGGTGGATCATTGCTGCGTGAAACGGATTTAAAGTGAATAATGTTTGTTTCCCTTCAATCTAAAACCTACATCCAATTAACGGTTCGAGAAAGGGACATGCAATAAAAGGATGTGCAAATCCTGACTTGACATTAACACCGATATTTAAGCATGCATCCATAAAGTACGCTTATTACCAATTTTGATGCAGATCTAAGTTGCACGCTGCGAAGGACCCCATGGTTTGAGGTTCTCCAATTGCGTAAACTGTGGTGTTCAGCATATCGAATATGCGTGATAGTTTTGGTAGGCCATTATTTTTGAACAAATCCATTGTATGAAGGAAAGTTTGTTGAATATTTTTGGATATACATAGTTTGTTTAATAATTGTTACAAGGTCTTTTGTCGCATTTCCCAGCGCACTTCCGCGATTTTATCGCGCAAAGGTATTGCTATTTAATCACGAATTAACTTAGTAATCTAACAAATAAGATTAGTATTTATACTGGTTGGTAGTGTTACTATATTAATATTATTTATCTCTGGCTTCCTTTATAGGATTAGATATTAGTTAAGGGCTGCCTTCTTACTCTATAAAAGGGCCATTAGCAGTTAAAGCTGGTGTTTACTAATAAGGGGGAGTCTGCGGTGCAGTTATTTTATCCTTTCTTTGGAGTTTTTTAGGCATCGCGGTGGTGATACTACAATAATTATCGCAACTGGTAGCTTGAATCTAGGGGTAAATCCGCATTAGAAGTAAACAATGAATCAGTAAATAATAATTTAACCCCCTAGAACATGCAATAGGGTGGAATAACGATATAAAAAAAACAGCAGGTAGATTAGTGCTAGCCAAAGCGATTCCGTATATTTTTTATAAACAAAATGGTCTTCGTTTAGCTTGAATTGAGGTCATAACCTGTTGGAAGCGATTGCTTGTTTCTATTGAACGGGTGGCCGGGTCGCCGCCAGGTTACAGTGTTGCTAAAAGCGAGCTTACATAAATGATGACTAAGCGAGGTCGAAACCGGGGCAGGCGCCCGTAGCGGCAATATGCTCCAACATTGGTTGGTCCCCATCTAGATAAGCTAGACAGCTTGCCCGAGCCCCTGCTACTGGCGTGTAGCTGGTATACTGTACTTCTGCCACATTCCTTCCCCTGAGCGAATAATCATAACATAACGCATTGTGGATGTGTTAATGTGTAAGACATATGACGATAGACAGAGAGTTAATAGTGTCAATGCTGGTGTTAGTCGATAGAAACTTAGATCTGAAGTCGCCAGGAATGTGGTGATGTTTTCAAGTGGGCTTGGCGGATCGGTTCCTCTCGGCCGAGCCATTGCGTCATATTTCTCCCTATATTCAATGATTCGAATATTCCTTTCCTATTCTACTCTCACTCTAGAATAACTACAATAGACGCGACTAATTCTAACATCCGCGGGGACCAACGGTCTCATATTTCTCGCAAATACACGGCAGGATGGCGGCGTGTGATCAGCAATTTCAGTCCATCGTATGACCTCATCGCATCCATGTTGAAGCGCATCTATTAACGGCTCGCAGATGGTTCTCAACCACAATGGGGACCGGAATTGTTGGCATTCTCTTCCACATTATTCCGTTTGAATATGCAGCGTTGGACTACATGGCCGTTATTTTCTTCGTCCTGAATGCCATCCTCTTCGCCACCGTCTTCTCCATGTCCATCCTGCGATATGCGCTCTACCCCGAGATCTGGGGCGTAATGATCCAAGATCCCGTCAATTCACTTTTCTCGCTACTTGTCCCATGGGGCTCGCCACGTTGATTGAGATGTGGGTGTTTATCTGCGTGCCAAGGTGGGGTGATTGGGCGCGTACGACAGCCTGGGCACTGTGGATTGTCGACGCGGTTGCTGCTGCGTCAGTGACGGTATCGTTATCTTTTGTCCTGTTAGTTTTCCACCGATGGTATTCGCAAAGATCCTAACATATGCCTAGCATATCACAGAGCCATGTCACCTCGCTGGAACGCAGCCACGGCCCTCAATTACTCCCGATTGCTGCAGCGATTGTTTGCTTCTGGAGCCAGTGCGGAAGTAGCTGATATTTTTGACCTTACCCCCGCCAAGGGGACAATGGTTACATCCTATGTGCTCTGGGGAATGGCGACACCCATGGCAATGATGGTTTGGTTATTTCGGCATCGGCTGGCCGTCCATAAGCTCCCATCGCGGGGAGACAATTGTGAGCTGCTTTCTGCCTGGGCCGTTTAGGTTTGGTGGTTCAGGTAACTGTCAGTCCATATGAATGGGTATTGATACTGACTACGCACAGCATTCTCTATCTTGGGAAGGTTGCTCGGAAGCTACTTGGAGAGTCTAATACTTTGGATCCACTAGTCGGACATATAAAGCCTATATATTCGGCATCTTGATATCACTGCTCATGTGGGCTTTTGGTCTCATTTAGCTGGTGTTTGCGCTGGCTACTATTTATTATAGCTCGCCGTTTTTCCTTTCAATATGGGCTGGTGGGGTTTTACTTTTCCGCTGGGTGTGTATGCAGCCAATACCATGCTATTGGGCGTAGAGATGGATTTGATGTTTTTAAGATCTGTGGGACGGTATGTGTATCTCCTGTCTATTGGTCTATGCAATAATATAGTCCTGACTGCTTGAAGGTTCCACAGCTGCTGCTGTGGTAATGCTGTGGCTGGTGGTTGCCAGCCGGACTGCACGTGGGGCATGGCAGGGGTAGTTTGTTCACGCTCCTTGTCTGCAGAACCTTAAAATCCAAGGCGGGGATGAAGCTATCACGGATTGATCGGCATATAGATATATACTGAATCCGGGTTTTCATATCTCGATTTAGCTGGCCGGATAGATAGAAGTGCAAATACTCTAGAACAGCAGTGGACAGAGCTAGCCCGTATTCTAAACTAGTGGAGTATTTCTTACATATAATATTAAAAAACCAATAATAGTAATGTGGTTTCCATTTGCTATATATAGAGTAAAAAGCAGTATATATTCCTTAGGAATATGCCCCAGTATCTGGGTGGACCCTCCTTCAGGATTCTGCATTTATCCACTGTAAAATATTCGTGAGTACAACCCTAGGAACCTATTATAATAGGTATGTTTTAGAGGACATGCTTACGCCGATCTATTTTTAGCATGCGTAAAAGTCCTCCTCGCCTGGGTTGGTCATTTCCATTCTTTGTAGACATTTCCACAACTCATAGAATGGGTAGGCGAACAACGTACGACTTCATTTTACTCCCGCATACTGTGTATATATAACGTCGAAATTTTTTTTGTCTACTCTTAAATAATATACTCTGCAGGCATAGCCGGCCAATAAATTTCACAAACTGATCAGGTAAATAATATTACACGGACGTGCTAGATATTATAGATATGTATAAATCCAAAACGAGGTGGTGCCAATTTTAGTAGAAGTCGCCTAGCATATGTCCAGCATCTACAAGGACGTTAAAGCATATTAAATTTTAAGCAGTAAGTTTAGTATCTATTTTAGCAAGCGGAATTTAACAGTTCGTTTAAATTTTTAATTGCTTGCATTATTATAAGCCAGACGCCCGTACCAGCAATCCAAATCCATTATGTCGACTATAATAAGCACCAGCAAGTCTAGCACAGTAGTGCGATTCTAGTTGGTGCGAAATAAAATTTCTTGCTGATCCTAGCATGCTCTTGAAATTACTCTGATAATCAGTTCTTTCCATTTGACAGCAATAATTTTCGGCTCAACCAAACTCAGTAGGAATCCTAGGTCAGCGTTTATTATAACCAGAATGATAAGCAAAGCTGCCCGTGGCATGTCTCCGCTATAGCTAGTGACTTGTAACAGAATTTATCTATGCGTCAGAATAATGTAACTTTTCGAGGGCTGCAGTGATTTACTGGCTCAGTATTCTGCTGCTGCAACCCCCTTGCAGAGGAATCAAGTCTATCTGCAGCTCAGTCTTCATGCTTATACAAACCCTACATATCTCATCCCCCTTTAGTTTGCTGACAGTGCCAATTGAATGATGCCTTTCTAGGCTCCCTGGGGGGTTGGGGGACTATATCGGAACTCTCTCTGTGTTCTCTATTTATACCTGCATGTATCCCTCTGGGCATAAATCCCTACCCCTACATACCAGAATAGCATACCTCTTTCAAGTTCATTCTCTCCTCTTTTAGTTTTTTATTACTTCCTTGGATCAAGTGACTCTGTCCCAGCCACCTCCAATTCCACAAATCATGGCCATTCAAAGGGCATTGGATGCAGTCAAACCAGAGAGAGTCACAAACAATTTACAACAGCTCTGGCAAGCAAATGTTGGAGCCTCGTTCCCCGTTCTTGAAGATTACCATTGTGCAGTCAAAGCTCCAATGCTTACGAAGAACAACGTACCCTATATTACCGTTCTCCAAATATTGACACTGAACCCAAACCCAACTGCATCGACTGATTTCGCCGAAAGCTGTATCCTTCGGGTCAAATGCAAACCAACATCCCATGACACCTGCCAATTGCAAAAATACAGTCACCGGCCACTTTCTAGACGATCTTGAAGCAACCCGAAAGCTGTATGGGGCTGTTGCTATTGAGTAAAACAGTCAGGTTTATATCGCTTTGACGGCCAGGAGTCACCCTGACAGAAAAATTAAGCGCCACTTCAAAGCGACCCTTCAGATTTGAGTAACCAATGGCCTGGTCGAGTTGTGCGGCTGATGGATTTTGTGAAACTGAATGGACGGCAATGGGCAGGGAGTTAACGTTGATGTTAGAGCTGGAGATGATTCAGGATGTCATCAGAGCTTCTCGGGGCTTTTCGACAATCCGACCTCCTCCAATTGGAAGCAGGGATATAGAATCAGCAGCAGATCTAACAGCCTCCCCAATCACTCCATTTTCTCGATGATTACGCCCAATCTAGTCCGGCACACGCCAAGCTGCACCAACTCCAGTACAGTCGGCTACACAGCCAATCCGGAGGGTATCCTCAGCCACTAACCTCGTATCGCAGCCTCGCATCATCTTGGCTGTCATTCTTGCTCTAAATGGCCCCGAAGTAAGAGAAGCGATTGGAAGTAAGTAGGTGGGTATCTCACTGCTCAGACTGCCCGTCACACGATCTAGATTTACACTCAGTCTTGCAGTTGACGAGGTCTCTGACTTTTCTTATCTTCTGACAACACTGGATGCTGTTTTGTATCCATCGTCGTGATGTCGCGCGCATCCATCATGGTAGAGTATCCTGTTCTGTACTTGATTGTAAACTGCTAAGTGAGAAGAATATTGGAGAACATGAGTACCCTTCTAGAGGAAGTCTTTACACCTGCTGAGCAACCCAAGATCGAGTAAGGCGTTCTTCGTCCACTGTTTACTATTCTTTTTTAACATCTCAGCTTTGTGTTCGTCCACGGCCTCAACCCACGTGGAGAAATGACCATCCGTTCGAGACCTGGACCCATCAAAATGGCACCTTCTGGCCCAGAATCTCCTTCCCCATGACATTCCCCAGGCGCGCATCTTCATCTATGGATATAATTCCAACATTACGAACCCGCAGACTGTCGACTGCGGGTGTCAAGGATCATGCTAATACTCTATTGAACTTGTTGGATATGGGCGAAGTCCGCAGTTGGTATCTATCATCTCTGTTCTCTTCGGTATGTTGTGCATGCTAACAGAACGTTAGAACGTCCGACTCCCCAAGATCATCTTCATCGGCCATAGTCTAGGCGGATTGGTGATTAAACAGGTTTGTGTCATGCAATTCCAATGTATATCATCTAATGTCAACTTAGGCCCTGCTCAACGCCCAAAGAAGACCCTAAGTATACCGCCATCCGAACTGGAACCTCCGGCCTCGTCTTCTTCGGCTGTCCGCATCCACGGCACCAAAGGCGTCGAACTGGGCAAGATCGCAGCCAAAGTTGCCGGTTCGTATCAAAAGGCCATGCCAGCAACGATCTGTTAGATTGTTTGGAACATAATTCGCTGTTTACCCGACAGATGAGCGTGCGTTTCTCGCACCAGCTGGAGGATTATAAAGATATCCAGCTTCATCGAGGAAAGGAGGTGTTGCTTGGTGGTTCGGGGCCAGCGTCCATCAGTCACGTTCGTATATCCTCTCCCAATGCTGTGGATCCACTCAAACTCAATCAACACAGCTAGTCGTCGACGAAGAATCTGCCGTCCTGGGCCTCCCCGGTCAGCGTGAGACCCGCCTCAAACTCGACGCAGATCATCGCAGATGTGCAAGGTTGGCTCCCGCGGAGTTCGATGTACAAGCTCATCAAAGGAAACATCAAACAGATCGCAGATTCAGTCCTCGTTGCCGAGCAGGGATACATCCCGCAACCGTCGACGACGTCGCGTCTACCTCCCCTGTGCCTCCCCGGATGCATCTCAGCAGCAGCGCATCCTACCCTCTCAGTCGATCGCCAGCACCGACTGCCCAACAGTCATCGGAACGCTTTTTGTCGCTGTCGATAACGATCCCCGCTCCATGCAGGCCGCAGAGCAAAGAATAATTGGCAGTGGGATAAAGCTCGAGATATAGAATATGCCATCTTCCAGGAACATCTACGGACTCTGGGTCCAGATCACCACAACACGTTACTGGTCGGATATGGCGCGGAGATCGGCCTGCGGTCGGGTACCTTAACAAGGCGACAGGTGGTGTGAATGGGTCTCGAATAACACCCAGCGCGTATTCGACCGACGACATCCTCTCGCCATGAAAGCCGAGAGTCTCATGGGTGAAATTCTCTGCCACAAGGGCAAATACCAGGAAGGCGAGTCGGTATGCGCCAACGTCCCTGGCCAGGCAGCAGATGACCATCGGCGAAGACGATCTCGATACGCTGGAAACCCGCCGAAGACTCGCCGAAGGCGTATGGCTGTCTCGGTCGTCGCGAGGAAGGCGTCGCTGCGGCTGAGAAACGTGCCGCACGGCTGCAGCATCTCCTGGGTGAGAACCACATCCAGGCACTGGCTGCAGTGCTCTGTACCCTGAGCTCGTCGTCTCGAACCATACCCAGACCGAGGTGGAGAGCCGCCGCCTGATTTAACCCGCAGACACAGACAGCCGTTGATGAAATCTCCAAGGTCTCCGCGAATTGCACAATCTTCTCGGTCCCCGACACCCACTCACCATCTGGGGGCTACGCATCCTCGGCGCCAGTCAGATGCAGGCCAGCGCCAGCATCACCGAGCCCTCGGGGCACGCTGCGACGCGCGCTCGCCAGCGCAGAAGGTATCTGGGTGCGGACCACCCGGAGACTATGAACATCGTGGCGCACATGGGCATGATGGCATGCAATGCAGGGCGGCATGGCCAGGTTTTCGTATGGCGCTTCTGGATCTAATGCCGAAATAGCAGTGCCTTGGCTCCAACGGTATCTGACCTGGGCAGAACATCGGCTGGGACGAGGCCATCCCGGTAATACAGGGCACGCTCTCCATGTTGGCCATGATGTATATGACTAGACAGCGGTATCCGCAGGCGCAGGGCTACTTCGATCGACTTCTCGCTTCGTATGATGGGTCAGGCACCGAGTTACCGGAGAATGTACGCACGATGGCGGAACTATGTCCGGATGAATACACGGTTCCTGGAACCGCAAAGAGGATCAAGTCTCCAGGGATTGTTGAAGTCGTTTCAAAGACGAATATAGGTGATGATCCATGCTATTGAATATTACACTATCGACGATTTCCCGATTATCCTATTCCCAATTCTCTAATTCGACCATTTCTCCGACACATTCTTTCTACATCAACCAGTCAGCTACTTGCAAAGTCAGGGACCGATCTAAATACCCAATGAGACTCTCAGAATTTTTCGCACCTGCATCTGTGATCTTCTCATTGACATCGCGCGTCTATTTCGGATCGATTTTTCCTTCCGAACTTTCTCTCCTGGGCATATAGAGCTGCGCTTGTTAATAGCTCCGTTGAATCATGGGAGGGCTAGTTACCCTTTGTCCAGATAGTCCTTGTGATTGCCACCTCTTGCGTGGGGTTCATCCTCGCTGGCTTGGGATTCGGCTTTGTTTCTGCCGAAGAGTTTTGCAACTAGGCAGATAAGCATTTCCATGATTTATTGGTGGATCGCAGATTGCGGGGATCGGGTAGGAAATAAGGGGAGGGGGCATAGGTAGTCCTAGATTTGCGATATAATCTACTCTTTTATCCTGGTTTCTGGAAACGTTGTTTACATTCATAAACTCTTAGCATTCTTTCACTGCTATGTGAGTATTTCTTGCCATGCAGTGATGAGCAAAGTAGAGTGAGTACTGTCAGTCAGGAGGCAGTTATATGCACCGCCACAGGATTTTCACATCCATGGTCCACCCGAAAAGGAAGAATAAAGTGAAAATTGGCATTGCCAAGCGGACTCCGCGGGACTTGCCCAATTGAATGGGGATTGGCCCACGATCTGACCATCCTCCCTGGTGTGGCTAGGCTACAAGATATGTATCCATGGATTGATCAGGGTTTGATGACCCTGGGTAGTTGATCGATTATAGGATATTAATTATATTGATTCTACATCCCATCCAGTGTTGTATACTATTTAATGGCAGTAGCAGTAATATCCAGTACAGACTATACGGTGCAGGCACAATTCTCTTAAAGGAAGTTATGAAATTATGCGAATGATGAGTCATCTTCCGTTACCGGTTCGTGGGGCAAAAAAAAAAAAAAAAGGGCTGCCCAAAAGATCAGAAAAAGGACTGGGAAAAATGCAAAGTGGGGGCCTGGGGCCGAATTTCAGTCTTTCTGAACTGACAATCGCTTCGGAGATGTCTCATCTCTTATCCAGCCACACTGCGCCATAGAAGAGGAGAAATTGCTGCCTGAAAGCACCCTCTCAGGCGCCCCATATGCCTTGTTGTCCCTGGATCACTCAGTCAGCCACGGTGTCCTGTACAGACACAGCGAATACAGAGCAATCCCATGCTAACCTTCAATAATCATGTTGCCTACAGCCCTATGCCACTGCCGGACTCGATTGGGGTCACGATTGGGGGATTATCTCCACCGGGCACCGTATCTTCGTTCCTTGTCGTTCCGGTTGGTCCACGCTAACTGGACGCTATTGACGGGGCTGTACCAACGGTGGATCAGGTGGTTCCTTGGGATAAAATAAATAATATAATGCTCCGTCGTTCTTCTCTGACTGTGAAGTTTCATAGATCTCATGCGGGACCGCCCAATGAAGATCCCTCTTCTGTCCCTTGCGGCAGCTGGTCTGTCAGCGCCGCCTCTCTCCCCTCCGCGTGCCCTTCCCAATGCCCCTGACAGTTTACGCCCCGGCCAATGTCTCCTGTCCTGCCCTCGTCCCAGCATCCGATCCGCCGGAGGTGTCTGCCAAGCAGGACCGACTGGCTCAAGATCCGTCGCAAAGGGACCCTTCAACCCCTGAAGGATCTCCTGGGCCGACTAAACATCGCCTCCTTTGACGCCGCCAAGTACATCGATACGCATTCCAGCAACATCTCCATATCCCTAATGTCGCCATCGCCGTCTCTGGCGGTGGTTGCCGTGCCATGACCAGCGGCGCCGGTGCCCTCAAAGGCCTTCGACAGTCGCACCGACAATTCCCACCGCCAAAGGGCCAGCTGGGCGGCCTGCAGTCGGCTACCTACGTCTCCGGCCTCAGCGGTGGCAGTTGGCTACTGGGTTCCATCGTGGTTAACAACTTCACCACCGTCGGCGCCCTGCAGGCGGACGAGAAAGGTCTGGAATTTGGATAAGAGCATTTTCGGGGTCCCAGCTACAAGGGGCGTGCAGATCCTCAGCACCGCCAGCTACTGGAAACATCTCATCAAAGCGGTGGACGCTAAGGAAGAAGCCGGCTACAACACCTCCATCACTGACTACTGGGGTCGTGCCTCCCACCAGTTCATCAACTCCACCACCGACGACGGTGGCATCGACCACCTGGTCCTCCATCGCCCTGACCGACACCTTCAAGCGCGGACAGATGCCCCTGCCATTGGTCGTTGCCGACGGACGTAACCTGGCGAAAGGTCATCGGCACCAACTCCACCGTCTACGAGTTCAACCCCTGGGAATTCGGCACCTGGGATCCCTCCGTCTACGGCTTTTGCGCCACTGGAATTCCTCGGCTCTCGATTCGAGGGGCAGCAAGTTAGCTGACGACGAGAAGTGCGTGCGAGGCTTCGACAACGCCGGCTTCGTCATGGGCACCTCCTCGTCACTGTTCAACCAGGGTCTCCTGCGTCTCAACAAGACCGATGCCCCGACTTCGTCAAAGGACACCATGTACAAACTACTCAAACATGGACCAAAACGACGAGGATATCGCCGTCTACTCCCCAACCCGTTCTACCGCTACCGCAACGCCACCCATCTACGCCCAGCAGCGCGATCTCGATGTTGTCGACGGCGGCGAAGACGGTCAGAACATCCCTCTCTGCATCCAGTGATCCGGCCCAGTCGCCATGTCGACGTCGTTTTCGCTGTCGATTCCTCCGCAGACACCAACAGCTGGCCCAACGGTTGCCTCACTCGTCCACACCTACGAACGTAGTCTCCACTCCACCGGTATCGGTAACGGAACCGTCTTCCCCGCTGTTTCGGACAAGAACATTCATTAATCTGGGTTTGAACAAACGTCCGACTTTCTTCGGCTGCGATACTAAGAACCTCACCGGCCCGTCGCCCTGATCGTGTATCTGCCCAGCTCGCCCCACACATACCACTCTAACGCCTCCACCTATAAGATGGAGTACTCCGACTCCGAGCGCGACGATATCATCCTGAATGGCTATAACGTCGTCACTCGCGGTAATTCCTCCTAGACGCTGACTGGCCATCGTGTGTCGGCTGCGCGATCATCTCGCTCCGCAGAACGAACCGGTACCACCCTGCCTAAGGCCTGCGAGACTTGTTTCAAAACTACTGCTGGAACGGCACCGTCGATAGTCGGGGCCGAAGAATTACGAACCGGGTTGCAGATGGAGGAGGCTGCGTCTTCTGCTACCCGCGGGCATCTGAATCGGTATTCTGCGCTGATTGCTGTCTCGGTCGCGTTCTTGATGACCATATAGATAGTCACTGGATGATTGGATTGGTTGGTGGCTGGTCATTTTACTTTCTTTTCTGGCCTTGAATATATACCTTGATTTTCTTTGTCCTTTTTTCCCTTCTTTTTGTAGATAGTTTTGCATAAAGCATATAGTTACCTTGGATATAATAGAAATTGCATTCAATAGGTACCTGTGGACTTGTATGTACTCGTAGTTCAACCCAAGTTTATTAGTAGGGAGTCTTAGGCACGAGCATCCTCCTTGATATCCATGGGTCCACCTACGAATTATTGAAGGATGATTGACATCATAGCAATGAACTCATTCTCCATTTTTTTTTTTGACCTTATGATATTTAACGTAGCACTAAAACGTCCGAGAAAAAAAAAAAAAAAGTTACTCCGTGTATGGTGCATCCGACGAGTGCTATTTAAACCCAGCATATCCAGAGGGTTATTCCCATGCACCCTGTTTCGTCGTACCAGGGTTTTCCCCCAAATAGGAAACTGGCCCGCTTTCCTTTGGAGTTGCATGGTTCTCCGACTCCAATATTCGCAAAAGGGGTACCTCCTTTATTGTCATCAGACCATCGTCGTCCCTTGACCTCTGCGGAGGTCAAGCCAATAAGTGCTACAAGTTCTAGCATCCGTTGCATCTCCAGCAGGTAAAACGATGGCAATGGATATGTCGTTGGATTGTGGGTAGTGGGATTATACTGTTCAGGAGAGAACCTGCTCGGTGTGTCGTCATTCCACAATTTTAGACTGTTTGCAGTCGTCGAAATTCTTGAGCCCAAAGGGGATGTGCTTTAGAAGAGACAGCTATGAAAGAGTGGTATGGTAGTTATTGCATCAACCTGCGGGGAGCTATAAAAATTTGGAGACTCTTCCCATCATCGCTTTTTGTTTGATGGGCTTTAAAGATGGCCTTCTACCTCTGCCCTCTATAACCTAGATCGACTTCTGCTACCGCTCAATATACTCGAAGCCTTGAAGCAAGTAAAAGTCGCCAGCCTAAATATATGTTAATCAGCCAACTCTGCAAGATTGCCACTGAGGTGGTCACGAGCCACCTAGGTCACCTGATCACACAAGCAAATTAGGCATTCAATACAATGATCCATATTAGACCTCAAAATAGTGCTATAGCCAAAATTTCTAGACAAAAAATCTTCTCGTTCAGAACACTCTATTGAGGTAGTTAGATTGTTATTCCACCTTCGCCAGCGTGTTTATCAGCTGGCAAAATCAAATGAGCAGACCGGGTATGCCTAAATCTACAGTAATGCGTATTTTTTAGGGACAGGCAAACAAAATGGAGACATTCTTGGGCTTCCTTTTTGACAGGCAAGCCGTCAAGCTTAATCAGCGAGTTAAAGGAGCTCTAGTTAATACGCCATATTCGTGAGAGTTTTTCAAAGTCTATTCTTCAGCCGGAGATTTTTTATTTCTAAATATCTTCATCTCTAAACTACGTGCCACAGCCGTGGTCTCCACACTTTTCAATATGACGGCTGTGTGCAATATTTAAAGCGTAGTTGATGAAAGCGCCTTACCAAACCACCAACTAATATGGTACCTGCATCCTGAAGAAGGGCGAGGATATGCACATGGTCATTATGCTTGATCTTCCTTCACAGCCCTAACATATGTTCGGGAATGTCGGCATGGACATGCGGCCAACAGTCACCCCAGCCGTAACAGCCTCGTACGTGGATCATATGGATTCTACAACACAATATGTACGTCAGTGGGGAGAGTAGCATATGACGTGCGGGGTATGGGTGAATATCAGGTTATTTTCCCCGTAGAGTTGCGGATCTGTCTCTCTTACTTTATGTTCACTGACATGGTATTAGGCCGTTGTACAAGTTGCATGGGGCATTTTATCTGACTGGTCAAGGTAAATGATCAACAGAGGGGCTACCGGTGCGTAACAAGGATAAATACTCTCCGGGGCCGTCACTTCTGCAGGCAATTTCCTATTACCTTCGCATGACACGACCGGTTCTAATACGAGTAGACTTAACATGGGTAGACCCTTGGCTATTGCGGTGGCCGAAACATCTTATCCTGCGGTGTTGGTGGCCGGACTGGCCGTTGGACTGGTAAGTGAGCCTGCGTGATGATAGCAACGGAGTCTATTTACCAATAACATATCGTGGCTAGGAATTTTATACCTCATCGGTATAATTATCTACAATGTCTACTTCCACCCTCTGGCGCGATTCCCCGGTCCCAAAGTCCTTCGCAGCGACACGGATCCCATACATACGAACCATCTTAAAGGGTCGTATACCCCAAACCATCAGGGATCTACACGTAAAATACGGCAAAGTGATTCGCATTGCCCCGGACGAACTGTCATTCGTCGATGGCGACGCCTGGAAACCCATATATGGAACTCGTCCCGGCCATGGCCAAAAGCCAAAGGATGTCCGGGTATTCCCACCCACCGCAAATAATGTCCCCAGCATCATCCAATCCAACGATGCGGATCATTCTCGATTCAGGCGTCTACTATCGCATGCATTCTCCGGAAATAACCGAGGCCAAGAGCCAATCGTCAGAGGCTACATCGATCTTTTGATTCAGCGTCTGCATGAGAATGCCAATGATGAGAACAAGCCCGTCGACATGGTGTCGTGGTACAACTACACCACGTTCGACGTTATCGGGGACCTAGCATTTGGGGAGCCATTTGGTTGTCTCGAAGAGTCCAGATACCATCCATGGGTGAAGTTTATCTTGGGAACATCAAATTCGGTGCCTATTCTAACCTCATGCGGCGGATTCCAATACTCAAGCCGCTTATTACACTGTTCATCCCCAAATCTATCCTTCGGCAGAGATACCAGCATCTCGAATTAACCAAACAAAGGTTCTGGGCCGGTTAAAAGCTCCAATGAGAGGCCCGATTTCTTCAGCCACATCCTGAAACATCAAGACACTGAGAAGGGCATGAGTTTTGGAGAATTAATGACAAACGCAAGCACTCTAATTATTGCGGGATCAGAAACAACCGCGACACTGCTTTCGGGTGTTACTTATTACTTGCTAAAGACCCTAATGCATACGCCAAGTTGAAAGAGGAAGTGCGAACCGCGTTCAAATCCGATGACGAGATAACTCTGCAGGCTTGCAATCAACTGACGTATATACATGCCGTGATTAATGAAGGACTGAGAATGTATCCCTCCTGTCGCTGTTGGGTTGCCCCGAATTGTAGATCCGCAGGGGGATACTATCGCGGGGAATGGGTTCCTGGGGGCGTAAGTACCTAAATTCTAGATCTTTGATCCTTGCTAACATATGTTTTAAGACAATTACTTCCTGTATATCAACTCGCGGCATACCATTCATTGTCAAATTTCACCGAGCCTGATAGCTTCATTCCAGAGCGTTTTTGGGTGACCCTCGGTTCGAAAACGACGTAAGACTGTACTTCAACCATTTAACTTCGGGCCTCGGAACTGTATTGGGCGCAAATTATGATATTTACCGACTTTGGGAAAGCTTAACTAATTCTTCGTTAGTCTGGCATACGTTGAGATGCGTTTCTATTTTGGCGCGGGTCGTGTTTAACTTTGACATGGAACTGCATGATCCCAATTTTGTGTGGACAGATCAAGACTGCTTTATTCTTTGGGATAAACCGGCTTTGAAGGTGAAGTTGACTTCGAGGGTCTAACGTTGTCTTGCCAGATCATGCGATGGTGGATGTGATCTTGTAGCCTGTGGTATATTAGTCTACTACCCTGTAGTCAATACGTCTCGAATGCCAGAATGAAGTGTAAAATTGAGCATAGCCCGCACTGGTAAGAGGCTTTTTTATTTCGTTCAGTTTGCTACTACTCTATTTCGTTTGTAGCACTAGTATTGTCTTGCCGGAGCAACACTTCTAAACCACAGTCTGTCAGCTATTCTAGAATATTTCTATATACCTGGCGGAGGAGTATAGTACATTTATTGATTTATCTAGAAGAGCTCATTTACACTTTCACGAAAATGAAGTACAAGCACCGATAAAGTGACTTCCTAGAATGGAAGTCCCCGGTTTTATTGACATTCAGCCTGGCATTACCATCCCTGTCTACAGAGCTCTTATGGATTTGATGACACCGCAATGGCTGCTTATGAGAAGTTGACAAAGACTGCATCAGATTGTGTTCGACCTGATTAAAGGGATGTGCGAGATGGCAAGTCGAGACCCCAACCGTGATGGTTTGCAGCCCGTTTCCATATATTCAGGATCCTTTAACTTCAGATTTCATCTTCATTGGGACGATGAAGATCGGCTGATTGTTTCTCCTGTCTGGAAAATCCATGTTTCTTAATGAAAAAGTACGCAACGAGGCAGTGCTGATAAAGTACATTGCGAACAATACCCGCATCCCTGTCCCTCGCACCATAGGCTACAGGATGTTGGAAGAGAATACAAACCGGCGTAGGGCCATTTATTGTTATGACTTGGATTGAGGGAAAAAGAACGTCTGATGTACTGTACTTCGGGACCGGAAAGGAGGACGCCTTGGATCCTGATATTTACCATGCGATCCTGGAGAACTTATAGGCCAAATGGCGGATATACTCTTCGAGTTATCACACAGTGTCACGAGCAGTAAGATATGTGTCGAACAAGGCTGAGAGGACTGCGAGCACTAGCCGATCTTTGTATGCTGAAGATGTCTAAACGGGGTATGAAGCTCTCGATTACGCATGAACCATGACTCAAGATAGATGTCAAGCACTTAAAATAGGCTTAAAAGCTATATTGGAGGCTAAGCATACACAGGCTCGACATGATAGGCATATGAAGGCACACTTCACAAGCATGGAATTGCGTCACAAAAGCCTCTTCGATGGCGTGCTACAAACGATCCTGCGATGGCGCGAACACTAAAACCACCCCACTAAGAATGACATCTCCGCCCATTCTCCGTCACATCATCATCCCACCATGACTTTTGTCGGACACCTTCACTGCCATCCCTGTCTTGGACTATTCTCTCTCGCAACCTCATCGGATACCAAGGCCACCTTCCTGAGAGAGCTGCGCAATGCTCTCGTCAATGTGGGGTTCTTCTATCTCACCAACCCGCCGGTGGCCGGAGGTGAGGGACAACCTGGTGGCCAAGGCAATCACCCTTTTGATCTACCGCTGGAGAAGAAATTGGAAATTGAAATGGTCAACAGTAAACACTTCCTGGGGTATTCTCGGCTGGGGCAGAGTTCACAGCTCGTAAAGTCGGATTATCGAGAGCAATTTGATGTATGATCTATCACTCTTCATCCAAGGCTGCGGTGCTCTGTAGCACTAATACATGCTGGTTTTGCAACTGAATTGCCTCCACCTCGTCCGGACGAGCCACTGTATCATTATTCGAGGTCCTAATCAGGTAGGCATTCACATCGTCAATTTATTATGAAACGCGCTGACCAACCAGTGGCCGGACGAAACTGCGATCCCTGGCTTCCGCCATGCTCTTGAGTCATACCTAGCTGAAGTAGGCCCATTGGCAGATGAATTCCAGACCCTTGTGGCGGAAGCACTAGATCTTCCCCAGATGCTCTGAAACCGTATTTCGAGCTCCCTCTCAACATAAACTGAAGCTGGTCAAATATCCCCCGCACCACCGGCATCCACAGAGGAAGAAACACAAGGTGTAGGCGCCCATAAAGACTCAGAGTTTCTCACATTCCTGCTCCAACACACCTCACCCGGGACTGGAAGTGCAAAATAAAAACCGGAGAATGGATCCCCGCATCACCGATCGAAACTCCCTGGTCGTGAATATCGGTCGCGCTCTGGAGGCGCTGACAGGCGGAGTCTGTACGGCCACCACGCACCGCGTGAGTCTGGCACCTAAAAAACTTCGTCGACGCGCAGGGTGTCTCCCTCGGTCCGCGGTTCTCCATCCCGGTGTTTCGGGGAATGAGTCTGGATCTATCCGCGGAGAATATCTCTTTGAAGATTCCGGAGCATATCAGGGACTTGGTGCGCGATGAGAAGATTCGGTCCGATGCGGAAGCCACGTTCAATCAGATGTACAAGGGGCGTATCGGAGAGGGGACATTCATTCATCGAATCACCAGTCATCAGGATGTGGGACGGCGATGGTATCCGGAGGTGTTAGCCTGGGCATTGGGAGAGTATGAAAAGCATGATTGCATAGAAGTCGATTAGACCTGCATCAACTTTTTCTGGACAGGGACTTGGCAGGTGAGATGTCTGAAACATCGGTGGGATTGTTTCACTTTGTAGAGAATCCCCGTATACTGTGTGAGCTCATCTAAAATGTTGAATGTTCTGTTCACTGGATATTCTTTACTGCTAGTACAAAATAGTATTTACGGGTCACCACGCATATGCAGACCGCGCGTAGCAGTCCCAGACAGAAATATATGATCCCTTTCTGTCTCATCGTCTGTTCTCCGCTGCCGCGTACGACAGCACCAGTGGGCTCCATCATTTACCTAATCGAGGGACCTAACAAATATTTAAATCCGAAGGTATCTCCGTTGTATGTCTCTCCTGTTCTATGCTGTTGGTTAATATCCATGCTAGTTGATGGGTTATAAATAGTACCCCAGTAACCTGGCAGTTGGCGCGGAAACAAGACCGAGGCACCTCCAAGAAGTCGAATATCAGTGTCTACGCTCTGGGGTCATCAATATCCATATGGCATGTATGCTCAAAACATGTGGAATATTCACCCCTACCTAATAAAACAAACCTGGAATAGATGCGTGGGCCATGACATACTGGGTAAATAAGACGGCGCTTTGAACTCGTAGGCAATAAGAGTGGCAGAGAAACCGCCAATCTTATAGTTACTAACTTAATTACCTGTTTAATTCTGCTATAGATTCGATAACTGGCGCTTGCCCCATCATAGAAACAGTTTCCGAGAAACTGTTGAGATGACAATTAATAGCAGGAGTAGGAAATGGCACGATTATTACCAGGATTGCCTACCTGTCTGATGACGATGACACTAACCGCGTCGCTGCTGTCAGCACACACAGGACATAAAGACAAAGAAATAGACTCGTCAGTCATGCAAGGCTTGCGCAATGCTTTTATGCAATGACATAATGGGGACGAATATGAGGTGATCTGCCGACTCATGTACAAAAGGCAAAATCAGAGACAAATTATAAATAAAAAAAAAAAACGCATCAGCCTAAGGCCTCGTCACTGAAACGGTCCTGAGCAGCGTCGATCCACTCGGCGGTCCGGCGGTCGTGGCATTGTGGCCAGTCGATGCCGCCGATCAAGACGACGGTGCCTCTTGGCGACGCAGCGGAGAATCAGCCTTGCCCCCGCTACTGGTCTTGGTCTTTCCAGATTCCCCAGATGAGACTCATGACTACCTGACTGTTTGCTGACGGATGAGACGGCTGGTGTACACAGACCGGATGTCGACGTAACAACACCTAATAATATCCAATGTCGTTGCTGTTGGTGCCGGGGCTGTGTCAGCGTGGCTGTGGTGATGCTATAAAGGTAAGCTCTCCCTTCAGCGTGTTTTGTCTTCTTTATTTTCAGTGTTGCTGTACCTACCCTCTACGTACATACAAATACCAATAATGTATATTCCTCTCCAGTCTACGGCCCTCCTGGCCGCTACTTTGGCCTCCGTCGCCTACGCCCAGGCCGGTGACAACACCGACGTGTCCCCTACTCAGGGGCGACGGCGGACCCATCTTCACCCTGCCCACCTTCTCAGACTCGGCCACTCCTCCCCCGGCGGCGTCACCTGACTGAGCTCCCTGGTCCTCCCACTGAGTCTCCCACCGCTTCTGGCACTGACAGTGGTACTGCTACCGGGACGGGCACTTCCAGCGGCACCCAGACCGGCACTGGGTCGTCTTCCACCGCTGGCCCGACCGGCTCCGGGCTCTTCAAGTGGCGTCAGCAGCTCTACCAGCTCAGGCTCGGGCTCAGGGCTCCTCAACCGCCGTCACGTCGACGACTACCCGTTCCTCCACCTCGTCTGCCTCTCGCACCAGCGATACGTCGTCCACCACAAGTGACGGATCCTCGCGCACCTCGTCCGGAACCAGTTCTCCCTCGGCCAGTCCGAGCGACAACGCCGCTGCCGGCTTTGTCGATAAGAACTGGGCTCCTTGGATGCTCGCCTATGTTGCGGGTGTCGGTCTGGCTCTGTAAAAAGCGACAATGTGGTTGATCTATACGATGGCTACGGAAATGAATGACTGATGGATTAATCGGTAATGAACTGGAATCTTTGGTTCGAATTATAATGTTTCGTTCTTTTTGATTGTATCGCACTTCTACTTGGCCTGCTGCTCTGTTCGCCGTAGTTCATGTGCATCATTCTATACAGTACTATATAACTTGAGCAAACTGTCCTATAAAAGTGTTTGGTCTACATCCATAATTATCTTTTACGACGTGGAGGCTTTAGTAAGGAGCCGAGAGGTCCGAGATGCTCACATTAATTACTAGTTCTAGTTTACCTTGCGAGACCCAGACAAGTCTTATCCTTATTTTGAAGGTCGTACTATTTATTTTTAGTACACCATAATCTTAGATCCATGGATGGCTACCGTGTCAAGAATAGATAGACCAATTGAATCCGACTAGATGCCCTGCTTATGGAAGTTCACCGTGGTACAAAAGTATCCTAGTACCACAAGTGGTCTAGAACTCCACTTGAACAGATGATTCTCATTGTTTTGACCGAGCTGAAGCTGAGTCCAACATTACAACGGATTGTCATCTTAGGTTGATGGCAACATGATAGTGATGATAGTGTCTAAGAAAAAGCAGGGGGTAATATATCCGCAACCTCTAACAAGAACATGTCTATTCTTTTTATTTCCCCTGTGGGAAATAATCAGGAAGCGTCGGACCCACCATTACCCTCTGTTAATCTCCCCGTTCATCACCCTTCCAGCGCCGTGATGTTGCTCAAGACTGTTGGATTTATCCTATGGAAATACTATAGTAGCGATGAATTCCTAGATCATCTGTGTACCCGAAATCTTGTAAAAGTACTTATGCACAATGAGTTGACGATTGACTTAGCCACCGGTTCCGAGATGACGACAGCCAAGAATCGGGTGGGACCATTCGATGCGGGATATGTTTCGGTTGGGGAGAGCTTTCCAAATGCCCGTCCAGTCTCGGGTTTGAATTTAAGGGTTGAGAGTGGTGGGTGGACCGCTCTCGTCGACTTATGCTGCATAATAATGATCTTCATTTTATTGTTTAGGGATTACAGGGATTTATTTATAATCTCCGTCTCAGTAGTTTGCCCCGGAATGTTAGGGTCAAGCAACTTCCACCCCTATTCCTACCTACGCCTAACATTCATGTTAGACGATAGGATTTATCTAAATGGTATGAGATATCAGTATCATCGGGCTGCCTATTTGGATTTCTAGTGGATTAAAGGCAGGTGTGGTAAGCACAGTGCCGTACTATATATATAACGAGCCTTTGAACAATATCCAGGGATATTGCGTATACAGGTCACTACTCCGGACAAATCAAAGAATAAATTGCCGCCCGTGTCTAATTTATATCCCTTTCTAGGGCCCATCATACTGTGGAGTCACTGGGACAATGTGATTTACTTCCGCAAAAGAATTTTGTTTTCTTGGTAGGCGTCAATCCGTGTATGACTGTCTAGTACGTAGTAGAGTGGAATATCTTATTGATCATATTATATGGAATCAGACACACTCCGAATCCTCGGCGGAAACGCCGGTCTGATGCACCTGCAAAGGCACAACCACCTACATTGTCGGCACCTGGAAGTCAAGACTACTGATAGATACAGGCCAGATGGGAATGCCTTGTACCCTTACATCCATTATAACCAGCGACGGTGAAGCCGTCTGGACCAACCACATCCGACAAGTCCTGGCCGACTTGAACATAACCCTGTCCCACGTGTATCTTATCCACTGGCACAGTGACCACACAGGTGGAGTGCCAGATCTCTTCGCACATCGGCCCGAATGCACCGCGTGGATCTATAAGTGTGATCTAGATCGAAACCAGAAGGTCATCACGGACAGAGACGTTTTCCGCGTCGAAGGCGTGACCGTCCGCGCTATCTTCAGCTCAGACCATGCCCACGACCATATTTGATTCGACCTCGAGGATACACTGTCGGAGATAAATAGGAATACCTTTGTTGAAATAGTATCAGTATACTAAGTAGATCTTCCTAATGCGGATGAGTAGCGAATCTTCCGTGAACGGCGCCAAGGTATGCTAAAAATCCCACTCTGCATTGATTTGTGTTCCAATGAAAGGTGGCCAGCAGTTATAAGGCTAAAAATACCAAACCAGATTCACTACCGCACCGAATCCATACCAAACTGCAAAGGTAGCGGATTCTGCATATAGGTGCGGTTTATCCGCAGCAGGTGGTTGCTAACCCCCTCCGCCGCCCGAATTCTTACCGAATGCAACTTTACTGGGTATCCGATCTTATTATACATTAACTTGAAATCAAAAACAGTCAAGAACAATCAAGAATAATGACCAGCACAACATATATTACTACCAGAGTGCTGGCGCTGCCCCCATGACCCTTTTTACTAAACAATGACTACTTTTCTAAGTGTATCTGTAAACAGCGCCACACTGTGCAAAGAGCTTGATCAAGGCACGCTATGGTCCCGTTCTGCATTTATTCGTGTTCCGGTAAAAGGCGGCCTGTTATAAGGCTGTGAAACCACTAAATTATGTTGCGGCACAGCTTGATCTGCATAGTGCTGCAATGTTGTCTCACTTTTGCAGATATTAGTCATAATCATGCAGCGTTGGGACGATGGCCTCGACAGCGCTACAAGTCCTCTAACATCCCTAGGTCCTATACTTAATGTTTAACAATATAACAATAGCTGCGACAGTAGTTCACACACACTGCTCGCAGGATTGGCCGATGAATTCCTCACCCCTGCTCCTATAATACATTAAGATAGGCCCTACTTTACTGTTTCGACGTTTCTAGAATCCAGCCCTGTTCTTGGCATATTCCTGATGGTAGGTATATCACCTATTCCCTCTAGGGATATCTAATGCTCACCAGACAAGGCAATAGCTAGATACCCATTATAAGGAAGCATACGCTATACATGCTACCAATGTTGGCACGTGGATTCTTATAAACTGCAGATTACCCCGGACCAAACTGCATAGGTCACAGCTGGCAAGAGAATCCCGTATAACTTGACTCCGCTAAATAGACCAAAGTATGGTTGGGTACGTGACTGTGGTTTTCAAGGATTTGACATAGAGACCAATAAACTCCTGTATGAAAGGAGGGGTCTGGCCACTGGAATATCACTAACCTGGTGGGGATACCTGAAAATAAAGCCAGAAACAAAGTAGTACGGGATCGTATTACATGAACAGTGTTTAAAAAAAAAGATGTTTACGGCAACTACCTTGTATCCACGAGAAATGCAAATGCCGTTGCATATATTTTTAGGTGATACCAGGGAATTCATTTGGATATTAGGAGGGAAGCGAAATATGTTTCGGGACCTCTTAGGAAGGGTTATTACACCAATACCAGACTGCAACACCATGCAAGGTTAGTCCGAAACAACACAGTTACATTGTTTAACAATGCAGTATTATTTGACGCACCCTATCAATCTCGGTGTATAATCATTGACTTGGATACAGATGCAATGACAGTGAAGTTGAGACAGAGTATCTAAGTCCTCACAAACTTGGATCGGACTCACGGGGATCTATGCAGATACTGGAGAACAACCATGTGATTTTGGGGTATGGCGTCAATAAAGGTTGGTCTGAATTCTCCGCCGATGGAAAGCTGCTATGTGATATCCACTTTGGTCCTGGATCAGGATTTGGGAAAGATAAAGTGGTTGTCTATCGAGTGTTAAAGTGCAACTAGGTCGGCCGCCCGAAGACGTCTCCCGATATCGCTCTTGAAAGGAACGACCTTTACGTGAGCTGGAATAGGGCGACTTAGCTCACAGCCTGGGCTTTGCAAGCAACTGAAAATAGGGACGTCCAGGATAGTAAATACGTCTCTCTTATCGAGGTTCAGAAAGAGGGATTTGAAACCAAGTTAACGCTCCCAGCGAACCAACCTTGCCGTTTTTTCTAAGTGGTTGGTCTTAGTAAGGATTAAAAGTGTTCTGGGGTTCAAAATCCATCGGCTTGAATGTTGGCCCAGGCCAGACTGAGGCCGATTTCCTGTGGACTCAACCGGGGCTGCCCTAAATATGACTAGAGGTATCTTAGTAAGGAGTACCTATGCAGATTAGAAAATTTAATACCACTTTTAAAAGTACTACCAGTATTATAAGAGGACTTTCTTAATTTCGGTTCGGAAGGCCATTTTACAATTCTTTTACTATTCCTGGTAAATTGCCATCCTCATTTATATACAGCTCTACTAGTACCGTGTTTACCCTCTATTCCCCTACTTAAATACCCGAATACTTCAATCGCCAGAATTGTTTAAATTGCTTGGATTGCTGTGAACCTCTGAGATTACGAGGAAACTAACCCGGGGGCTATGTAAACATTCCAAAATGGCCTGCACTCGTTTCTCCGATGGAGCCATCTCTGATTATCCATGATGGCAATGGACCCTCTGGGCAGCAACTCAGGCGTAAGCTGAAATACTTCTATTTTCTCAAGCTGCCCGAGTAAAACAACTTTGAGCCCCTTAACTGCAAGCCCGGCCTCCTTGGTCAGCGGTGCGAAGATGTCCTCTCTGAACCGTAGGGCAGGAGATAACGACCCCGGCTCTCGTGCAAGAAGGCACCCCACAATAGAGTCTGGCATCCCGCTTTTTCTAAACTGTTTTGGCACAGCGACTTGATGCTCAAGCCTTGCCAGCCTGGCCGTCGATCCTAGTGAAAGCATCCACAGCAGCCTATCCACCTTTACTGCGGAAACACTCCCCCGCTATGCTGGTCTGGATGGAGGACTTGTATCACAAAGAATCGTGGTGGTGATGCCTCATAACTACAGTCTGTGTGCCAGGAAGATTTATCCGTTGTTTCCGATCGAGCCTGATGATTCGGACATTAGTTTGGATGGGCTGGATGTCCCAAAACCAATCGCGGTGGGCACTGTGGGCGAGCGGGAGTCCGTGGTTGTGCCATGTGTGCAGACTATGAATGAGCTGGCGGAGATACTTTGCTGTCGTCGTCGTCAAAATGTAGGCTATCTTGAGAATGCAGATGTCCTCTAGAATGCGATAATACGGTGACATATAACTGTAAAAATTAACTTACTCACTGAGTCCAAATTGGTAGTCGTGGACTTCAACCAGCTCCCAGCTGGAATAGCCACAAATTCGAGTTCGTAGCATGTTACTGGTCGTGCATAGACTTGATCTTCGGCCAAAAAAAAAAAAACGTCGCTTGGTTCTAAAATAGGAGCTAGTGCCATGGGGTGAGTTCTCAACTAGCCGTTGATATATCAGCAGAATTTCGTCACTTTAGTTAGTTGCACATGCTCTTCTTCACCTTCTCTCTTATGTACAGACCATGCAACTCTGTTACCTCCCAGAAATGAAATGGGGGTAGAAAGACGACTCTCCAGATACGACAGGAACCCACATAGTCTAGTGCCCACTGTAGACCCTAATGCAACGCTGCACGAAAGTCATTGCAGAAATCGGGTTATCAGCTACTTGTAAAATCCTAGGAAAACCACATTGGTTTTCGTTTTCTTACTGGAGTAAGCTTGCAGCTATATGGAGTAGAATCAATGCATCGGACTAGCCAGATAGTCGGTAGGCCAGTGGTCAAACAGTATACATTTATGGCAGCCAGGGTGGTCTTTAAAGCTTGCATATTTGTGCATTTCGTAGTTGCAATCGATTTAGACATATATAAGCCACCGGGAGGTGACCTTGGGCCCAACCTGGGTCTTTTGAAGTATAATGGGCTAGACTATGACACAAAACAGAATGGGACTAGCAGTAGTGTTAGTTACTTGAAGTGGCAATCGGGGCACGAAACTCGCCCGACATCACTGGCCGACGTTGAGGGTTTATTGTTGCGAACCAACTGTAGGTCAGGGAATTGACATTAAACCGAGAGAACTAAGCCACTGAATTGTATGAGGGTATTTAACATACAGGAATTCGTCTATGGGAAGACATATAAGCGAGGACTTCGCTCATCCTCCGGATAATCACTCGGGGCCGATCTTATATTCATAATCTTATATTCATAACACTAATTGTATTGACTGCGCGGCCAACGCGCTCACCGACGTGCTCTATCTCGCTAATTACTATCTATGGAGGCCATTCAGGGGGTGACGCTGAGCGCTCGCCAAGGCGCTAGGAGTAATCAGATCCCGAATCCCAGATATTTCTCTATCACTGGAGCACCGTATATACTCACCTATTGCTTCTAAATCAATTGTCAATACGAAATTGAACCCTTGTGCTCGAGCTCAGCCAAGCGCTATCGGCCAAATTGTCTACAAATGAACGTCGTTTGTCTGTATCGCATGCTATCCGAGCCACCACCATATAACAAGCCACAAAAGGAACATACTGGCCGTAGTGCCACCGAAATGGAAATAATCGTCCCTTTCTCGGGTAGATCATCTATATTAGGGGCCAGCCTTGCCCTAGCCTAAGCTAATGTAAAAACAATCTCGTATTCCAGCCTCAGAGCCTCAGCCTCTGAGCCTGAGCCAATCCTCTATGCGACCAACCAGACCCTGCTGTCCGTGATACTTTGTCGTCACATGGGATGCGGTACCCCAAGTCTATGCCAGCGCAGTGGTACATAATGGGGCCAACTCCCAACCTGGATCTGTTCCTGCCGTTTCTGCCAAATCCCCTGCTCCTCTGTACATCTGAGTGAATCGCAGACTACTCCATCCGAATGGCTCCTCGACGCGGTGGCGGTGGCTCATTTGGAGGCTTTTCTAGCTCGTCTGCCAGCCATTGCTCTACATCTGCCTTTGAAACGACCATATCTCGCGTCTATATTGCTTTTCACGCGTTATTCTTTCTGGTCTTCGTCGGGGTATTCTACTATTCCACTGTAGTGCGCAAACGCAAGCAGCGAACAGTGCGAGCGCCAATTCTATGGATCTCGCTTTTACGTCTCGATTACTTTCGCAGTCCTGTACGTCCTCTCTTTTCCTCCGGTTTTCACCACGATATTGACTCTGCTAGTGTGACTGCCCTTAATATCATCTTCCTCAGCCTCTCCGAATGCAAGGTCTTCAGGAACGGTGAATTCAGTCGCGCGAATATCGCAACCGAGTGGCTCCAAGCACTAGCGGACTTCCTCTTGTTCCTGGCAATCATGTTTCCTATTTCCCAGCGTCTGCATCACGGAAATAGAACGATGAATAAGGTGATTTTGATCGTGCATTCTGCATCTTTGAGTGTCCTGGCAGCCCTCCTCGTGGTTGCCCTCAGCATCAGCACAAAGGTTATTGATGATATATATGGGCATAGACGCAGACGTATGTCTAGTTCCTATAATCTTGACGAAGATTCGCGGAATCTATGGGTGGCGTATTACGTATTTGGTGTTGTTGTCTGTATGCTTATTGCGGCTGTGACGATGCTTTCTGCTCTTGTTCGAAATTTGGGCTATCGCAGGGGTAAGTTCTTATATTATATACAGCTTGGTTGTTCTTTATACTAACCTTGTAGACTCTGTTCGTGGGTATTCCCTGTCTCGTGGTCTCCTCCCTGGCTTTGACGTTGCTCCAACTTGCGGGCTACGTCCAAATGGCATTTGGCTCCTGGAGTTCCTATGCTCTTGAAAGGCATTTGGAGCAGTCGTATGAGGCGCAGCTGTTCCTACGGTATTTCTTCTATGTGTGCACTTTTCTGGGTGTTTTAGTGGTTGGCAACGCTGCGGAGTTTTTTGCTGATTATGATATCTCTTCGCGGTTTACCCAGGAGCAAACCGAGGTTTATCAGAGGTGATGTGCCGGATGTGGTGGAGTGATATTATGATTTATAATTCTAGTGTTGGCGAGATATACCCCTATACCAGTATTGCCCTATTTGGAAGTTATAAAGCTTCGTTTATACCTTATGTGCTAATATTGGATATTCCTGTTGTCTATCATGTGGGCCTATTTTACCAAAATCCCATGCATACACGATTTAATAGATAACTGAATATCGTGTCCATTAAAAGCAGATTGGATAGTTGTGTTGCATTACCTAATTATGCATAACAATGCAGGATATACGTCATAACAGACAGATTATGATACAAACGCATAAGGCTGATCAAAACATACATCCCATGCTGTATTCCCCGAATCCCAAAACTTCTTGAGTACATCTCTAGCAGTTAGTGGAATAGGACTGCCCACGTCCAGACTCATCTCCGTCAATTGTTGCGTAACAAACGTACGAGCGGTGGCACTCAAACTGACAGCCTGCACACCAGCCACGACTAGCGGCCATGTCATACATTTCTTAATAGCAGGAGACATCATCGCCTTCCGGAGCTGAAGTAGAAGTCGACTCCCATGTGCGGCTTTCATGTTATTCAGATCGGTGCTGGATGGAAGGAGACATACGCTCTGCAGTGACGAGATACAGTAGACGAGTATCGCAGATTGGTATATCCGGCCGAGGATATGCCACTCATCGCGGGGAGCTGCAGATGTGACTGTCCACTGCTCTGGGGAGAAGGACTGAATCTGCTCGAGTAAGGTGTATGCGCTTGTTTGGAGGATCTCATCCGTGGGATTGGTGGAGCCTTGCATTCGGAGATGGTTGATCCGGATGATATCGAGAAGGAGTGTGGGTGGACAGAATAATACAGGGAAGAGTCCTTCTCCGTAGGCTTCTGCCATTAGATCGATTAGATCCAGGTTCGAAGTCGCTGGGATCTGGTCTGATGCGGAACTGGTGGTGTTTCCCATGACGCCGATGCTATACAAATAAGCTTGGGTTTAAGACCAGAAGAGTGGAGACCTTACATCATGAAGTACAGAAGTGACGGTCGTAACATCGCTGAAGTGCGCACGAGTTTCTTCAGACCTCCACGCAGGAGTATCAACTGCGTGGCACCTGTCAGATGGTATCGCCAGTACGGCGCTGCAAACTGCCGCACCTGTTGCAGCTCAGTATTATGCAGCCATGAATAGGATTCACTCACATCGGCAAATAAAACATTAACACGCTGAGAATGGTGGTATCGGTACATTGTGACCGGTCATTGGATATGTCCTCGCTCAACGCCCGCATTGCTTCACCGCGATGATGATAGAGTCGAGATCGCTCCTCTACCAAGGCTGCTTCATCCAGCTGCCATGCTAGCTGCTGGATGCGATGTCCGAGAGTGAGATAGCAAATGGTGTGGCGTACAGACGAGGATGTATCACGAAACGCCATCATCGGTATAGGAGCGAGATATGGATTCGGCACCAATTCGTGCATCACTGCCAAATCGGGATAAATGCAATCGTTGACTATCATGCATGAGAAACGACCTGTGGTAGTGGCAGGTACATGTACCTACAGTAGAGTACAGACTGGAAAAAGTCGTTTGTTTCCAATCCTAGGCTTTTGAGGAAAGTCACAGGGTTCAAAGGGTCTTGCTCTGATTGTAATGCAGCTTCTGCCTCCTGGATGAGTCTGTCAATTGCCCCATCGGGACAATTAGTGGTCAGGCTAGACTCTGCACTTAAACTGCTGCCAACAGAGATACTGGCATTATCCACCTGCGGAGACTTGCTCATAGACTTCGTTTTGGCAGCAGAAGTACTGCCTTTTCCGGATCCAGGTGGTCGACCCCGATTGCGAGACTTGACAGTCCCTGGAGTGATCCACTTGAGTGGTTTCTTACTACCATATCCCGGACACTCAGTGCCGGCTGCAAGACACTTATTACAAGCCGGTCGGGACGAGTCGCACACGAGTCGACGACGTCGACACTCCCAACATTGTCGTCTCTCTCCAGGCTCGGTGGCAGCAGTAGTGGATATCATGGTCGAGATGCTGTTCAACATCGACCATCAAGCAGCGAACGGTTAACATTTAGGTACCTCACACGAGGCTGAATCCCACCCACGATCCCACCAATAGTCTAATTGAGCCTGATCTCAGGAGCTGCACGTCGATTGGAGAAAAGGAGAAGTCTTGGTCATCTTTTTTTCCCAATCAGGTAAGAGTTGGATCCTCCAGCCCTAGCTGCTGGAATACGAGCCCAGCCGAAACATTCTTGGCCCGTTGGAGGACGATCAGGATTGCGGATGTGACAGGTGCGATCCTCCATCGGGTAGGACAGCTCTCTAATTAACTGCATCATGTGTCTGTGTTGGACTCTGTCGGCCTGACGAACTCTTGCATTCCGCCATGTGGGTGAGCGCTGCATATATCCAATTTGGGTCTAGCGGCTACGTGGTGGCGAGACTTTGCGTTGTCGATCTGAAGATGACGATAATTATAGTACTCTGTATTAGTTACTCCTGACCGGTGATGGCTGTTTCATTCACTTTATTCCTCACGGCCAACCAGCGAGGAGAATGCACGTTCCGAATACTGCAGGAGACATGGGTATCGCATAAGCTGCCAACAGATACAACAAAAGGATGTAAAACACGTCCAGGATCCCATTCCCTCTATGCTGATGCTCCAGCAGTAGTACTAGCAGCAGCAGCATCGTTATATCATAATACCACAGCTGCAGCGCCGTCATGACCGCTATGATCCCCCATTCCCGCCCCATACTCCCTGTAAGCGCACCGCCCAGAAACTGAAGCTTTAACCCTTGGTCATACTGGCCGACATATTCCGTGCCAGGTTCACTACTGTGCTCGCCTACCGTCCGTGAGAGTGAGACCAGTCTCCACCCGCACGCAGTATGTCCCGTTAGATCTTTGATTTCGCTCCCTTGACAGGTAAGCCATTCGAACCGTTCCCGTGTCGCCCCTTTCTCGCGTCCCCAGATATCAACTGAGAAGGTAGGCGGGTGCGTGTGTACGGAGTAGCGTGGTGCATCGCCTCGACCACTGGTTCTTTAAACGGGGTATTCGGAGGATACGGGATGGTGATTAAACATGGATATTTTCGTCGCCTTCGATGGAGGCTAAATCAGGGTCCTTATCCGATGGGTTCGTGTGCAGCATCATTGTCTGTTTACCGCTGAAAAAGGCGGTTGATACGGCGAAATGCTTATTGTCGACTATCGGGCCTAAATGAAAGTCGAGGTGAAATTTCCACTGGAAGTAGCCATTCAGAGGGTGGAAATCGGATGGTATATGCTTCGATTGACGTGGACTCTGCCGCCGAGTCGTGGTAGTCACGTAGAATGTCGTCTGGGTTGGGCTCATTAGATGCCGAATAAGAAGGTGCTTGGCTGAACTCTGACGTGTCTGATCGCCTGTACTCTAAGCTATTCGCTGCGCTGAGTAAGTTCTCATTTCTTATACAAAGGTATCGATCGAATGTGGGGCCATGACTGGTTAGAGTGTATGAGTTCAGGGAACTGAACTGTGATGGAAACATCACGCTTATATTCTAGACCAGATCTACTACGTCAGATGTGGCTGATTGGTCATAGGAGGGTATGCGTCACTCCATTTCGAGTCCACCTCTCAGAATAATTTGTAGGACGCTGATTGGCTTTTGTTAAGCGACGCAATATTGGGACCAAAAGACTCATGCTCAGCCCTGTCAGGATTTAGCCCATAGGTGATCGTCCTGAAGCACCGCATACGGGCTTATTGGGTAATTGACTGCGCTCCGTGTAGCTATCACTTCATGATAGGAATCCCGTGGGGAAGCCATAGCTGACTCTTATCAGAATGGATGGTGGAATTATGGCATCATAGACTTAACTTGGGCGCAAACATGAGCCAATCCTGATGTCAGAGCGTGTCAATACCTGTTCGGTTTCTTAGCCACCGTTTTATCCCTTTTGGGGCTAACAAGTGGTTGGTATAGGCATTTCCCGATCGGGTAGTAATCCTACAGCATTCACCTCAACTTGTTCCAGAGCTTGTCCTAGTATATACTTGTGGCTGATCTGAGAGTAGCTGTACCTGGGTCCATGCAGTGGTTAAGTTGAATAGAGGCTCCTGAGCCGTGTGAGATTGATCAACTCTGCTATATATATCTGGGTTCATCCCTGCCTCTAACATAGTTCATATCAACATGACTTCAATATGGCGCAAGAGAATGTAGTCCCAGGGAGCCTCTACATCTACGCTCCGAACAAATGGGCACCAATTATTTTTACTTTTGGCTTTACCATCTCTGGCCTTTTCCATCTATGGCAATGCCAGTAAGTTATAGCACATTATCCTACGGAAAGGAACTAACGATCCTAGTCGATACAAATGCTTCAAGTTGATGTGGTTGCATATCGCCTGCTGTATCATGTTTACCATCGGCTTTGCAACACGCGAATACGGCGCGTTTAATTACATGGACAGCGATGCCAATCTCGCCGTCTATATCGTTAGCACTTGCATGATCTACATGGCTCCGTAAGTATCCCCAAATATGGATGTTTTAACCTTATACTTACTACCTATCTATACAGCCCTATCCTCGAACTAGCCAATTACCATATCCTCGGACACGTACTATACTATATCCCCTATCACTCCCCGATGCATCCTGGCCGCGTCTTCACTACCTTCGGTATGCTATCCACCATTGTGGAAGTCATGAACGCCCTGGGCGTATCCAACCTAGCCAATCATAAACTGCCAGAATCCCGTCGAAAGACAGGGGAAATACTCATGAAAGCATCGTTGATCGTCCAGGTAGGTGTTCTACTGCTTTTCTGCGTCCTGGCTGCTATATTCCAACGCCGTTGCGTTAGAGATGGAATTTGGACAAGACGCGTGTCAGTCCCGCTTTGGACGCTGTATATCAGTACCTTTTTGATCTTGATTCGCTGTGTTTATCGCATCGTGGAACATTTCGGGTTCTCGTCGCTTGGGCCTGAGAGCTTGAAGGATGGTGAGGAGATCAGTTATATTCTGCGTTATGAGTGGTTTTCTATGTTTTGAGGCGGCTGTCATGCTGGTTAATACACTCATGTGGAATCTGTGGCATCCCAGACGATATCTCCCCAACATAAGAGTACATATCTAGCGCAGGACGGGATCACGGAATTGGAGGTCCGGGGTGGAAGGATAATCGACCGTGGTTGGTGACGCTGATTGATCCGTTCGGATGGTTGGATTCGAAGGATGATAAGCCGCCGTTCTGGGAGACGAATGGATATGCAAAGGTATATAATGAGCATTTTTAAATGTATTATGATGTGGTGGACATTCTGCGTATAATATATCTTGATAGATTTATATATGTTTTATATCTGGTTGATTTATGTTTATTATCTATCGATTGAAATGTGGTCTACATGCCCGTCCTCCGTAAGTCAATGCAAACAATAATCTATTAGCTATGGCTATTTAATATATTATAACAATTGGTATTTAACATGTACATCTTCAGCTCATAAACTCTTTACATATATATATATATTTCTTCAAACACTGGCATCATCCCACTGTCCGACAATATGAGACTCACCCAACGCTCTCTTCAAAACCAACACCAGATCATCAATCGCCCCCAGAAACTTCAAGTACGAGCTCACAGCCACGCAGTACCGTCGATAATTCTCATCTCGTACCAATGCAATTGTCAACCGCTGCTCATTTTGTCCCGCCTGCCACGACTCATGACACCGTTTGACTAACGGCGTGGGCAGTCTCTCTGGAAGCGGATTCCCCAGTCTCAACGCCTGTGCGATGACACTAAGCACGGCCATGATGTCGCCGATTCGACGGTGGTCGAGAATTCCCACGTTGCGCGCGAGCCGCGTTTGGAAGTCTATCGGCAAGGTGCTGGATAAATCAAGTAGTCGACCCAGTCCTTGGTTCATCTCCTGACAAAGACGGCGGGTCTGGTCGACGGTTTGCGAATCAAAGGGTCCGATGCTCATTTCTAGCTTCAGGATTCTAATACTGCCTTGGAGAGAATCGAGGGTCTCTGCGATGCTGAGCGAGATTTCCTCGGCCACAGACCCGAGAGGACTGCTGCCGTTGGCGTCGGTGCGGCCCCAGTGAGAGAGGAGTAGCGCGTAGTGGTCGGATAGCGTGTTGACTGTGTTCGATAGTGTCTTGCATGTGTGTCGCGTCGCAGATGGAGGGCGGGGAAAGATTTGCACGACGAAGGCCGCCACAAATCCCAGCAGAACGGTCACCAATCGCTTGTAGAACGCGGTGTAGCCGTGCCCTGGGAGTCCGTACTGCGGTGTATGCGTGTCGTCATAGCTGAATCCGATGACCAGCATGAATGTGACGCCGCTCATAATGGCCGCCATCATGAATGCCGGCGGAAGATAGAGACGCCACCACATCAAGACGACTGTCATCGCTGCCGTGATAGCAGCCAGTCCGTATGCATTGCCGGGCCCGTGGCCGGACCCGATATACCAAGCCACCATACCCAGGACGCCGCCGAGCACGGTGCCAATGCATCGACCGATCAGAGACAAGGTAAAGTCGGCCATGTACACGAGGATGGTGGTCTGCGCCGTGATGGCGAGCCAGATACCCTTTTCGCGATAGTAGAATCCAGCAGAGTGCGGGAGAGCCGACGGGATGGCCGTGGCAATCGTCACGATTACCATGCGCAGAGCATACATCCCGCCTGGGTTGGTCAGCCAGCGAAACACAGCAACAATGCCGCGACTCAGGGCGTTTCGTCGCACTGGCCGTCCATACCCCTGACTGATGCGCAGGCGTCGATACGCCTCTTTGCTCTGGCTTTCAATTACGTCTGGATCGGTTCCCTCGGTGGCAGATAAACCTGCCACCGGGGCTGGCGCATCCGTATTGGTTACCCAAGAGATTGCATCCCTTAAGCGCGTAGGCAACCATACGCGCACTTTGGTGCGAGTCTGCAGAAGGCGAACAATATGGTCCAGGAGGTTCTCCAAACTCTCTGCTGCTCCAAGGACGCGCTCCTCGACTACCATACCCAGCATCAGTCCACGCAGGGCATATGGCCCTACGGATTCGGCGGATTTCAACGTGCCTTCCTCGTCAAACAGATCGGAATGGTTATCGAGCAGTCGCTCAGTTGTCTCCGTCATAAATCTGCCCCGTGCTGTTCGGAGGGTTTCGCGTAGTGTCTGTCCTCGAGTAACCAGTTTGTCGATCTGGCTCTGTGGAACCCGTCGAAACCAATAACGCGAGTTGACGGTGTGGATGCACTCGGCAACAAGCGTCAGCGACTCTGAGCAGTCCCGCAACACCTCTGCTGTCGTTTGTCGGAGTGCTTCTCGCGTTTGACGGCGCATATCCATTGCTTCGGGGGTATTTAGCGCGTCTATCAGATGGCTGCTCTCCTGTAGTTGATGCTGACCAACGGCCTGCGGGGGTTTCTCCTCCGTCGAGATGCTATAATCTGTCTCAAGCGATGATAGGTTCTCCAGCTTTTGGTATGTCCTCATATGAACGATGTGAAAGTCCAGCAATGACACGTTTGTGAACATGGCCCGTCGCAGGGATTCATGCAACATCTTGACATCGTCGGGACTCCACCGGCCCCAGGACACGTCGAGCGGAAGGAAGCCCAGCATGGGCGTCATCGCCTTGAACAACGCAATCATTTTGGACTTGGTGCCCTCGAGATCTGCCAGATCAACAGGCTCACTGGAAAGGCGCGCACGAGTACACTGCAACGACTTCTGTCCGATGCGCACAAGGGTCTCCATTTTAACCAGCACCGCGTGTGAGGCTGACTGGGGAAGAATATAATGTTGCACGCCACGCCTAGACCGATACCAATGGAGCCCGGCAGGACGAGTACCCTTGCCAACAAGCCATTGAATGAGGTGAGAATCGGGCCGTACATGAGGAAGAGGTCGGAGACGATAACGCCAAATACCTGCGCCAGGGCGAACTTGGGGTTCGCGGCGCGCAGTCGCGACAAGGCATATATGAATACACAGATCATGACGTAGTACACAACCGTGACACGAGCGTCGAGCATGAAGCCGTCGTAGACTAGCTTTTCGACAGGTAAGCTGTAGATTGTCCCGTCTGTTGAGCCTCAGTCATGACTTGTTGTCGCAAGGCTTGGAGAAGCGCCTGGGTCTCGGAAGCCGGTCGCGCTGCCAGCGCCGCCTTCATGGTGATTAGTCCCCATCCCCAGGCAAGACACATGCCAAAGAGCAGTGAGACCGACGCAAGCAGATAGATGAAGAAAATTGTTCCTGGAGGCACGATGTACAGCGTTATTCCCGCGAAATACGCGCTGATGCCGATTGCGTGCAGGGAAGGTCCAATAAAGATCAGCAGGGACGCCACCCATGTGGCGGCCCAGCAGCGAAATAACACCTTCAGGTCGCGTGCATTGAAGTGATCCAACCAGGCGGGAAGAGAGAATGAACGTCGTGCATCTTTTGGTGCACTCGTAGACGCCTGGGCAGAGGAATCGGGCATTTTTCACGCGTACGTGTCACAATGGTGGAGAGAGAAAGTCGGAGGATTTGAAAGGTGCAAAGATCGGAAGACAGTCGGCGTCCGTCCACGGTCTCGGGCCGACTACGTCATGACAATCGGTGCATTTTACCTAGTAAAAAGTCTCTTCCATTCCATCAGATTGGATATATGGAAGGAATTACCTGAAATTCCCAGTGACGATGCATTAAGTGTGTCCTGATCGCTAAGATTGTCGATCCGAGGCAAAGGTGAAGCTGTGGAGTGGCTCCCAATAGTTCCTCCCCACTGTTAGTCCTACCCCTCACTCTCCGTCCACCAATATGACCAAATTCCGAGTTCTCCTGGTCGGTAGCGGAGGCATTGGCACCATTGCCGCCCTGAATCTCGAGACTGGCCATCAAGCACAGGTATCCTGCGTGTTGCGATCGAATTACAAGGCCGTGGTTGAAAATGGGTTCACGATCGACTCGTGCGACCACGGGAAAGTGTCGAATTGGCGACCGACCGGGGGTATTACACGTCCTTGACAAGAGAAACGCAGTCCAGCTAATTCGCGCAGTCTTGAATGCAGTCCCTCATCATTCTTTTGACCGATTCGATTACATCGTCTGCTGCACGAAGAACGTCCCCGACTCCTCGCCAACTCTGCCAGATATAATTGCCTCCGCTGTGGCTCCCGGTCATACCGTCATCGTACTGATCCAGAATGGACTCAACATCGAGCGTCCCTTTATGGCCCGATTCCCTGACAACGTTGTGCTCTCCGGGGTAAGTCGTACCGATGCCCATGAGATTGCCCCGGGGGTGATCCAGCACAAGCAGCCGGACGTGCTGAATATCGGGGCGTTTTCGAACCCTTCTCTTCCGACCGGTGACTCAGTGTCCGCAGCCAAGAATTTCGTCCGGATGTACTCTGCTGGTGGTAAGACGAGGTGCCGATTTGACGAGGACGTTGCGCTCGATCGATGGCGAAAGCTTGTCTACAACGCTACCTTGAATCCCATCTGTGCTTTAACGGGACTGGATACGGGGACTTTGCAGCTGGAACAGCGGAGTATGGAGACATTGGTCCGTCCGGCGATGCGCGAGGTCATTCAGGTTGCTGCTGCGCTTGGACAGCAGTTGCCGGATGGTATTATCGAGACAACAATCGCTAGTAATCCGGTCGAACAGCGGATTTCACCCAGTATGCTGATGGATATACGGAAGGTGAGTTATTGATTCTTTGGTAGGGGGGTGATGCTAACCTTGTAGGGCAATTTGATCGAGCATGAGAATATCCTGGGAGAAGTGGTTCGAGAGGCACAGGCTCATAGCGTTGACACGCCAACGCTACACATGCTGTATAATTTGTGCTGTGCGGTCCAATTACGCACCAAACAGAGCATGGGACTTATTTCTAAGTAGGGTCTTGGCCGATAATTGGCTCTTGTGCACGGAGTTCTGCATTTAGGTTATATTCAACTACTTTTGCGAGTGCTTCAGGATAGAATTACCCTCTAGAATACATATCTATGGCATGATACTTCTGTTTATAGAAGAGTAGCCGAACAATGCGATGTCACACGATGAGTTTGTCCATATATACTACAGCTCCCTCTCCAACGCATCCGCCATCTCCCCCAACGTGTCAAACTTCCAATCGTACACCTCCTCTTCCACCCTCCCAATGATCGCCCCCGGTCGCACAATCCACACCGACTTGATCCCCGCCTTCTTCGCAGGATAATGATCATGGAACTGGCTCTGCGCCGTCTGCAGCACCTGTCCGATCTCCACCCCGAACTTCTCCTCCACAGCCCGCAACATGTACTCGAAATTGCGTCGATCCGGCTTATACGACCCGATATCCTGTGCCGTGAGCACCAGATCGAACGGCACGTCTTGCAAACTGCCTGCGTTGGTCTTTGCGAACGACGCGCGGTCCACGTTGGATAGAACCACCAGTTTGTAGTGTTTTGAAAGTCGTCGTAATGCATCCACTGTGTCTGGGAACGCGGGCCAATTTCCTACTGATTCGCCGAAGGATTTACTTTCTTCGGCTGTGGGAGTGGGTAGACCTAGCTTCTGTAGGAGAGGTGGATAGATGGTCGCGAGGAGGTCCGAGTATACCAGATCTGGGGTTTGGGTTTGTTGATCATGCTCTAGGTCTTGGAATGTTTGGAGGATGTCCTCCTTGGAGACGGAGACATTGTGTTGGGTAAGGATAGGCTGGATGGCGGCTAGAATGCCACCTTCCCAGTTCACCAGTGTGCCGTAGACGTCGAAGGCAAGAAGACAATAGTCGGAGAGTCGAGACATCGTGAATCGAAGAATGAGTTGTCAAAGAGAGGGGTAACGCGAGGTTTTGTATCCATGCTTCATGTCGCTTCCTTTTGACTATTTGGGTCCCCGATATTTCATTATTTGGGTCCCCGACTTTTGCTTATTTGGGTCACCGATTCAATATAAGTGAGATTGTAGAAAGTCAGATGGGCTAAGATCATAGATCGATCCGTAGGCGTTTTGACAAGAATCCAGCCCCGTACCCCGTCCGCATTGGCATCGCATTTGGAGAGGTGCAGAGGAAATATTCGTAAATCTAGCGACAGCGGGACTCAACCTCGGCTCAACGATATGAATAAACCCAGTTCGCTCTGTTTACTGGAACCATTATTATCCTAGATCGATAAAGATCCAAGGTAAATCTCAATCAATATACCGATCAATCCCCTGGTCCTGTCATCCGACCTCAGCGGTCGCTGGTCGGTCGCGCACCTTCGGACTGGCGCCCGAGCCTCAGGCGACGGCATCGGCAGCGGTCGCGCAGCAGCCGTTCTGCTAGCCGAGGATGATGTACCATGGTCTGTGTCGATATCTAACTCTCCCTTGCGGAGCGAACGGTCCAGATGATTGAGGAAGAAGGCAAGGGCGCTGCTATCGTGGTCCAGGCTGACGTGACGAGTGCGTCCGACTACGGCAACGCAGTGTCGGTGTTGTGGGCGCGCCTGGCCCGGCGGAGACAGTGGATATAGAGCTGTGGGCGGGCCATCTGCATCTGAATGCCTCGAGTATGGCGATAATAGTCAAATATGTTGTGCTGGAGATATGTCGCAATGATGTATCGGCCGGATACCGAGGGAGTATTGTGAGTATGGGCAGAGTAGCGGGCCTACCAGGTAGTAACTACACCACATATGCTCTATCCGAGGAGCAAGGCAGCTATTGTCAATATGACCAAGGCGATGGCCGCGCATCGTGCGACGGACGGCATCCGATGAACTGCGTCTGTCCCGGCATGGTATGTACACCAGTGTTGTATGCAAAAGGCTGGGTACTGAGGCCAGAGAGGCTCGTTGGAATCGCAGTCTGTTGAAGACGAAGGGCAATAGATGTGACTTGGGAGTGGCAGTGCGTTTTCTGGCTGGGGATCAGGCTCGATGGATGATGACTGGAGTGATCTGACCGGTCGACGATGCACAACAGCAGCGGTTGGCACGGAGTTATCGATTTCTGCCAGTGTCAACGGCTGAGTGTGCTGACGCAGAGTAAGAGCTAAGGAACTAGCAGACTGAAGCAGCAGCAATGCAGTTTGATTACTATTGACAAAATAATACCGCAATATGCATTAAGAAGCAATATCCATATAGTCGCTCATGACACAGCGAGAACCGCCACAGCCCATGCAGCCATATCAAACTTGTAGCTCCCTCTCTGGTTCGTCACCTTCTGCACACTAGGCTGGACAGTGATATTGTGCGGCCGGTTGCTAGCATCCCGGGGCCCTGAGAGCATCTCCAGTCTCCCCGACCGAGTGTCCGGCACTTGCACATGGACTGTTTGCTTTTCCTCGCCATAGTTCGCCAACTTGACGTAGTATGTGCTATTGGCTCTCGAAGCAACCCAGTACAGTGGCCCAAACTCAGCAGTGGTTTTAACAGGTAGAATGGTCGTGCCACGGTTGGTCGAGAACATCTTCTGCACGTAGTACGAAGTCGACAGCGTGATCGAGTCTGGGCCCGAATCGAACCCGTACAGGGTCGGCTGGCTGATATCAGCCTGAATCAAACGACTATCGGGTGTTATCAAGAACGTACCGACCACTGGGTGAACCCAAAATGCTGAAGCAGAGGAGTATATGCTGCCATCTTGACCACGTCACTGTTCCTCTCCAGTCCGATCATATGGACGGCCTCGCTGCAGCTGCACTGGACGAAAGACCAGAACACTCCCCTTTCCTGACTCGTATTTCGGCACCCATACTCACCCACCATGACAGGCTGGGATCGAGGCTGGTTGTCCCATTCATCGAACATGGCAGCCAGTTCATCCGGTCGGCGGTAGTAATGGTAGTCATATATAATCCCAGGCAACGCCTCCGGGAGACATCGTCCGTCTATGGTCGACGCGACGATCGTAAGCTGCGGGTACTTTTCACTAATGGCATTATAGATCTGCTGGAATCGATCCGGATATGTATTGCAGCCACCGGAGAAGTCGTCCTCGTTGCCGATTTCGATGTACCGAACGGACCATGGGTCCTCTCGACCATTGCTTGCACGCATGCCTCCGTACGTGCTGTTTGGCGGACCAAGTAGATACTGCGTTCTTCGTTAGACATAGTCACTCTGAAATGATGAATAACCCACCTCCAGTTCATCCAGAATATCATCCACATAGGGTTGAAGGTCCGATCCCGTCAAGATGCCGCCGAACGATTTCCCGTCCCAGACAGCCAGCACGGGTTCCATGCCCATGTCCTGACACCACCATAGATATTCATCCAGGCCTGGGGATCAGTATCTACAAGGGATCCAGTCATATGGAAACTCACCTAGCGCATCAGTATTTGGATAGAACCAGTCACCTGGCGAGCATTAGTCGCAGAGTCTACCTAGAATTACCGTCTCTTACTCTCTCCCAGGACGGTCGACAACAGGTCCAATGGTCCGATTCCACGCCCATCGCGTGTCAGTCTGGAGACCTTCCCTGATTTAAATAAGCATGTCACTTTGACATTCAGAGAAATCCATACAGGTTATTTCCCCCTGGGAATCTAAGAAAGGATGGCTTCATGTCCTCAAGGACAGCGGTCAGATCCTCCCGCAAGCCATTGGCTCTGTTGCACAGGTCAACCAAGCACTAGACAAGATTGTCGACTTTACCTCGAGTGATATGTCGGTGGGAATAATTGGATCAACCCAAAGTTCAACTTCATGCCCGGTACTTTTGACCCGTCAAACAACAAGCGGAACTCGTTATCGCCATCGGGGGACGCAGTGGAATTAAATGTAGTTTCATAACGCGTGAAGGACCTCGACGTGCTATTCACGGTCATATTGTGCGCCGCATACACAATATCACTGGATATGCCCACGAGCTGGAGAGTAATCACATCTGAGTACTCGCCCCTCATCCAAAATTCACACCTGTACGTCGCGTTCATCACTGGTACGCCGTTATATCCCTTGTTGACGAACCCAGCAAACCCAGTCTCCCACGGCATTACTTGAACCTGGAGAGTGGAGGTTATTGCATCGCTGAGAGGGTTGAGCATATCCTGCGATATTTCCACATCTCCCACCGCAGAGTAAGCTGTTAATCCGGGATTGGTACCCTGAAATCCATTGTTTCGCAGCAATTGACCATGGATTCCTCCGTCACCTAATTGTATCAGCCGATATCACGGACAGGGTTGGAACGTTATACCTGAGCGATCCATTTCCTATACAGATAAACGTCCGCTCCTTTCCGGTAGCAGTAGTAGTTGGAATAGTAAATGGATAACTCACCTCAAACATGACCCCATATAGCAAAGGACTGGACTGGTTGCCACTTTTTTTCTGCACGGTCAAAACAACTGGGGAAACATTGGACTTGCGGTGCATGTGTACCATATCACACACACCACTATAGCTCCATAGGAGACACAGTAATAGAGGCGTGAATATATACAATACCCTCATCGTAACTAGAACTATTTCGATTGCAGTGCTTCAACAAGGTGCTCTCCGTGATACCTCGGCCGATATTGGATAACCCTTATGTATTTATTAATAAACTGTCGTACAATGCATTGCGGATTTCAACTACCAGGGCTACATCAGGAACCAGTTTTCACCCAGCAGTGCTAGAGCTTGTTCATGTGGATGACATCACCACGTCGGGAGATACGGGGAAGTTCGGAGGTGTGCGAATCATACTATTCGGGTCGCTATATAGTAGCTGAGTCCCTTGTGAATATGGGATACTAAAATCAGCAATTGGAGAATCTGTAGGCGTTTCTTGCCGTTCTTTTCATTCCGTGGCCATTGTGGACCGCAAGTTTTGATCTGGTCGCCATTACACGACGCTCGACAACCCCGCCGCTTTCTTTCCCCAAAATGCCCAAGACACGTCTCCATCAAGGGGAGATCGCATTCTCTACCGCTAAAACAGAGGGGTTGACCATTCTCCATCGCGACCATTCTCCATCGCTTAAAATACTATAATCAAAGAGATAAAATTTTCGCACGTGCTTGGGAAAGCGCCAATGGGTAGAAGACAGAGTTGTTCATCACCTTAACCTGGGATCATCCGATTCGTGCTGTGTGGATGGTGCTGAGAGCTGGCATATGGGAGCTTTAATCTATGCATTCCGAATAAAACTTGGATTTTCCAAATGTAGGTAACTAGCCTGGATGATAATAGTTTCAGTCCGTCCGAGCCGGATTGCCGGGAAGTCGATATATGTGGAATGGCCACTGGGTCGCAACGTGGCAGTCGCCTGAGAAATGGCTTCATTGGCACTATGCATAGTGCAAAAGCAATCGTGGGACTACGGGCTGTGTATTCTCCGACCCTGCGAAATATAAGACAGCTTGTTATTGGTGAGGAGATTGGGAGGATCGTTTCCAGCACATTCCTGCGGATGGTCTCGATAAGGAGAGTCAGTGTCGAATATTTCCTACTGGAGATCGAGGGTGGGATTATGAGCTTACGTGTGGAACATAATATCGAGGTTATCATTACTGTTATGGTTCCCAGACGATTTCCTGGACTTCCGTGACGGTTTGAAACAGTGCTGGGGTAATTCACCTCGTTTGATAGTGCAGTTGCCATCACTCGACGGGTGGTGGACGTCGTCGACATGCTAGAATGTCAAAGTGGTGGAAAGGGGAGTGAGGAATACCGCCCTAGGTAATGTCCTTAGCTACGGCACGGTTATTCGTCCAATACCCAGCGTGGTAAGCATGAATATGTATTCAGGAAAAGAATTCCCAGTACAACCCCGGCTAGACTGGTGCATTCAAGGCGAGAAAGGCGGGGTTCGAGTGAAATCGCCGTTTCTATTCGTCTTAGATTCAGGTTTGGGAGGAGAAAAAGTCCTGTTTCTGCTGCAGGTTCTACGTTTAATATATTATTCAACTCGGTGGGGATAATGGTCCCGAGCTATGTCATCATGCAGGTGGGCTGGAACCTCGTCTTTGTGTCTATCGTTATCTCATGCCTTTAATGCTTGGATTGTAGTGGAGTATACGGTACAACCTAACTGTAGAGGCATGTATTATTGAAAGTACTCTATAGGTGATAAATTCGATGCTGACATATGTCTGGAATGAGGAAATTCTATGAATACTTAGTATAACCCCGCTTCCGCTGCATGCCACGTCAGGAAATACACGCATCATTCGTCCGTTGCTGCCAGATATGACACACCAGAATAACCCCTGAATGTTTGAAATCTCGTACGATCGATCCGGTTTCAAGCCTCTAAACCCAACAGACAGCTGGCGTAGATTTCGTAGTGGAACACTCGCTGGAGTATGGATGTACTGGACGTAGCTTAGTGAGGTCTAGAGTTTAACTTCCTAAGGTCTGAAACCGGAGCCAGAACTACCTTCTTCCGGTTAGACCTCGATGACCCTCTGCCAAGTATGTACCTTTTAGACCCTAGAACTGTCGGGGACTAAGCTGGAGATCTACTGTAATGAGACAGGGAAGATTGAGAAGGTCGTACCGGTGTCGGATGAGTGGAATTTTTGCCTGCTTTTGCGCAGAATATTGCCCGCTTGTACGAAGCATATCGCAAGAATGAGTGGTATCCTATATTTGACTGGGCGCTGAAGCGACACGAGATGATTGATGGGATGTGGAAAAAATTCGATGCAGATAGATAGATCAGCGTAACACAATCACTGTCCCTTGCATAAGTTGTGAAAAATAGACGTAGATGGAAAGGAATAGCCAATCGATGCTAGCTATACAGGATGACAACATGAATTGGAGACTCCGATCTCGCATACCCATGGAGACGCAGATATCGACAGAGTCAATTGGAGACGAGATAAGGCGTAGAATAATTACTCACAAAATAAAATACTGCAAATTGCAAAAGTCTACGTGACACAATTGCGGTCCACTATGATGTGATGCGCTATCCGGAGCGGTGCAGGGGCAAGCCGATTCGGGCTCGAAGACCTCAGATACGCAATGGATGGCGTGTAGAGACGATCGCTAGACGCTATAATCCCCGCATTGGTAAGTAGAGCGCCCTTTCGTCGTTGCAGGCTATGATATTTATATGGCAAAGTTATCGTCAGAGCTCAGTAGCATACATCGAAGCTAAGATCACCATGGCCGTCAAAGGACCTCTTGTTGCAGCCACAACGCTTCCATTCTTAACCCGAGATGCATACAGTCCTTCAGCTGTGGATGCGGTCCCTGTGAATGTGAAGTCCCCCGAGAGTAAACCAGCATTTGAGATTGAAGAGCATCCGATTGACCAGGTTCGACCGATCAAAGTTGGTGTGATCGGCGCTGGGCTAGCAGGCATCACAGCGGGCGTGCTCTTTCCTGCCAAGTTACCGGGTCTGGATTTGAAGATCTATGACAAGAATGCAGACGTAGTACGTTATGTTCCCTCCTTAGAATGGTCAATGACCCATACTCACGACCCGTAGGGAGGCACCTGGTAGGACATCTCTCAGATCGCTCTCTATCGCGCTGACAGAACAGGTTCGAGAACACATATCCAGGTGTTCGATGCGATATCCCGGCTCATGTCTACCAATCTGGATTTGCGCCCAACACACAATGGACAGAGGAATTTGCCCAGGGCGCAGAAATCCGCGAATACTGGCAGGGCGTGGCGCGCAAGTACGACGTCTATCGACATCTACGGCTGCAGCAGAAGGTTGAGAGGGCGGAGTGGATTCCCCAGCTTGCTAAATGGCGTGTCACTATACAGGATTTGAAGAACAACAAGGTACCGGACCTCTTGTTCATTATCAGACTTGAACTGACGTATCTAGACATATCAAGAAGAGCTAGATGTACTCATCAATGCTATCGGTCACTTTAACGACTGGCAATTGCCCAACTATGAAGGTATAAACCAATACCAAGGAAAGCTCTTCCACTCGTCACACTGGCAACACGACGTGGAACTACAGGGGAGACGCATCGCGCTGATCGGCAACGGTGCCTCGGGACTGCAAGTGCTGCCCTCTATCCAGCCACTGGCTCACCACGTTGACCACTACGCTCGCAACCGCACCTGGGTCGCCGATTCATTTGGCACCACCGGCGTGCGTCGGCTCGAGCCAAACATTATTCCTCCTGAGCAACGCGAAACCTTTAAGGACTCCGAGCGATACCAGCAATACCGCAAATCTATCGAACAAGGATACTTTTCCCGCTTTGGGGCCATTTTCAAAAACTCACCGGAAAACCTCGAACAGCGCGAGAAGTGGACGCAGTTGATGCTGGGACGCGTCATCGACAAGCCCGAATTGGGTGACTTGATCATCCCCGATTTCCCGCCCAACTGTCGTCGTCCCACGCCTGGACCGGGGTATCTCGAGGCGCTGACCAAGCCTAACGTCAGCTATATCCAGACGCCTATCCAGCGGTTCACGTCCACAGGAATTGTGACAGTCGATGGCCAGGAGCGGCCTGTTGACGTGGTCATCTGCGCCACGGGGGCCAATGTTGACCATGCGCCGCCCTTTTCCATCATTGCCGACGGCATCGACCTCAAGACAGCCTGGAAACACGATGGCCTTTGGGGATTCCCCTACAACTATCTTGGGGTGGCCACCCCGGGATTCCCTAATCTGCTATGGATCGGAGGACCACATTCCACCGGCCACGGTGGCAGCGTGCCCAATAGTCTCGAGAACCAGATCACGTATATTGCCAAGATATTGCGCAAGATTCGCAGCCAAGGCATCCAGTCGTTGGCGCCCTCCAAACAGGCCGCTGATGACTTTATCGAGTACTGCGATCGATTCTACCCCCGGACCGTGTGGACGGGGAACGATGACTCCACGCCGGGCCAGAAGAACTGCCGGTCATGGTACAACGGAGGTCGTCCCGGGGGACGCATCCACGGGTTGTTCCCCGGTAGCGCGGCGCATCTCAACTATCTGCGTCGGGATCCCCGATGGGAGGACTGGGAGTACACCTACACCAACCCCAGCGGCAATCGGTTTGCGTACTTTGGCAATGGATGGACGACGCGAGAGACGATGCAAAATGCGGACTTGACGCCGCATGTGCTGCGGCCGGAGGAAATCGATCTGCGGTCATATATGGAGGGGTGGTGGGATGTGTGAGAATAACTAGATGATTAGATATATTGATAGGAACTATATCATTAATACTCAGAGATATCCTGAACACCTTGTATATTTTATTTATAGAAAGGATAAAGTAGCGATGGATAATAGATACAAGAGGCTAGTCATTGTATCGCCTTAAACAACCAGATGAAGAAGCACTCTCCTTAGACATCATCTTCCTTCGCCACACTGCTGGTCCTGCCTCTGCGCGAAATGATATAGTAACTACTATTTATCAATACAGTAATTAGTTTTCTGTCAGATTCCCGGTTCCCTTGTAACTTGCTTTTTCTTTTTTACAGGCTGTAATGGGTGAGGAAGTGAACTCGGAGTAAGGCTAGACTGTGAATATAGGTATCATCCTTTTGATGAATTTTCAACTGGCTTCGAAATGATTGGGGCTCGTGACAAAAGGGCCTTTGGTAGGGTAAATCTCATACAGATGTACTCATCTTTTGCCAAGTACTAAGTCCATATTGCTTCTGACTTCATAATTCTACAATGTTTATATCTCCATAAATGCATACAGTTTATACTGTCCGGGCATATTCTGGCGTCTCCTCACCCTCTCGCCAGAAATACTGCGCCCCTGGATGCGATTCTGGCAGTCTCGTGTGTCCCTGGGCCTCGTACATGTTCTCACGGAAAGTGCCCCCAGGTACGGCATAATCTTTATGAAAAATAGCCCGGCGCTGCAACTCCGGAATCAGATAACGGATGATATCGTCAAAAGTATCTGGCACCGAGGCATAACTGAGGTTGAAGCCATCCACGTCTCCCACTTCCACCCACCGCTCTAGCTCGTCCGCCACAGTCTTCGCACTACCGATGACCTTGGCTCCATTGCCGCCCAGAACGAGATACTCGGCGATGGTCTTCTTGTCCCATTTCTTGCCCTCCGTGCCTGGAACCGTGCTGGCCCAGTGATTGACCATACTGCGCACCGCTGGTTGCTCCACGAACCGGAAGTCCTGATCATCTGCCCATTTGGAGAGGTCGTATCCTGACCATCCTCCGAACAATGCCAGTGCCCCTTCCTTATCACCGTATTTGACCAGCTCGGCGAACTTGGCATGTGCTGCTTCGTCCGTCTCGGCCACGATTACCAGCAGACCCGCCACCACCTTGATGGATGTCGGGTCGCGCCCGAACTCCTTTGCCTGCTGTCGTACACTGTCCACTGATGGCCGTACAAGCTCAGGCTTCTGTCCATGCAAGAATATCGCCTCCGCGTGTTTCGCGGCGAACGACTTCCCCGCTGTCGAGGTGCCCGCCTGCAACAGGAACGGCGTGCGCTGCGGACTCGGTTCGCAGAGATGGGGACCAGGCACAGTGAAATACTTCCCCCGGTGATGGATCTGTCGCACAGCAGCAGGGTCGGCATACCCAGCTACTCCGTCGCGGTTGTTCACGGCACCGTCGCGCCATGACCCTTCCCAGAGTTTGTACGTCACGTCAAGGTACTCGTCTGCGATGCGATATCGCTCGTCATGCTCCACTTGCGTGTTGAGGCCGAAATTTCGCGCCGCAGAATCCAGATACGAAGTGACAATGTTCCATCCCACGCGGCCGTTGCTTAGATGGTCAACGGTAGAGAATCGCCGGGCCAGCGCATACGGCGCGTCGTAGGTCGTGGACGCCGTCACGCCGAATCCAATGCTCTGCGTGGCGGCAGCCATGGCGGGGATGCTGTACAGAGGGTCGTTGATGGGAAATTGGGCTCCGGCGGGGATGGTGGGCTCTAGGTTGGCCGGGCCTTTGTAGACGTCGTAGCCGCCTAGCACGTCGGCGAAGAAGATAGCGTGGAATTTGGCCGCCTCGAGTTTCTGTGCCAGTTCAATCCAGTTCTGTAGCGACTTGTAGGCGTGGCCTTGGTCGGTGGGATAGCGGTGCAGCCCCGGGTTGAGGTGCGAGGGGGGGATTGCATAGCAAAGGCATTAAGGATTAATTGTTTCTTAGCCATGACGATGGATTTTGGGAATAGATATTAAGAGCTTTGGAATAATGAATCCGAAATGGAGATTCACTGTCTAATATGACTCTCTGCCCCTCACTGAGATGCTCGATGAGGGGCATGATGACGTGCGAGCCACCCTCAATGGTGTCAGTTGGGGTACTCCCAACTACTTTCAGTCCAGTATTTTTACTCTTTTCTGGGTTACATAGTTAAATTATTTCATTGAAATGCATTGTCTATCGTCTATATACGTACTAGGTTTTGGCCATATCCACCACGATGCGTTTCCCCGACACCGCACCCTGTCGCAGAATCTCCAACGAGTCATTAATGCCGGCAAGCCCTCCATCGACTCGGACAATCGGCGGTAACTCCAAAGCCTTCGACTGTAGCAACCTCTCTAACCAGGAGACGATCGCTTCTCCCACCACAGGCGACGTATGGAACAGCTTTATCGGTACCGTATGATGACAGACGTTGGCTGCTCTCTCCTTAGGCAAACCCGTCAGCCCCAAGAGGTGCGCATGCGATCCATCTTCTTGCTCTAAATTATCCAGAGCTCCCTGTAGAACCGTGGCGGTTTCCTTGCCCACGATGTCGATTGCGTAGCGTAGCTTTCCCCCCGGTGATACCGCGGATAATCTCGATGGCACGCGACGAATCCTGGCGGTCAACGAGGGCGTCTGCACCCAGTTCGACGAGCCGCGCGCCGTGGCGGGCTATATCAGCTACGCATATGACGCGTAGACCTGCCTGTCGTGCCAGTTGCAGCATGATGGACCCGGTGGTGGTGGATGCTGATGCAAGAGTCAGTAACATTCGTACTGTCTATACAGAGAAAGAACATACCCCCCCAGATGGCGATCCAGTCTCCCTTCCGTGGTCGTTCAATCTCCTTAGCGGATGCAAAGCATTGATCTCGAATATCAACCGGGATCTGATCTACCGCGAGGTTCTTCACCACCTCGATGAGATCCGGACCAGGACAGCTCGACCGCGACAGACTGAGTCCCAATGACACACCCAACGCCAGCACAGAGGCCACAAATGCCACACCCAGCGCGGCCGACGCATGCACGCATCCTGTAGATGGGATTCGCACCGCATTGAAATGCGTGGCTACGGCGTATTCTTGGAAAGCGGCCTTACGGATATCGCGATAGTCAGTTGACGGCACCAGAACCAGATCTCCTTCCCGGACACGCGCCGATTCGTCTGCTTGCACGACTACCCCCGCGAGATCTCGTCCATTGACCCAGGGGAGACTGGGAATGCCGAAATTGAAGGCCCTGAGGATGTTAGCCACGGGTACTCACTTATGCACGGTGTAGATGTGGTCTTACGGGCCTTTCCAGTCGATCGGATTCAGACCGATTGCTAGAATCTTGACGAGAATCTCATCTTTGCTGTGCGTCGAGGGAATAGCATGATCCGTTACCAGGGTGTATTGCTCGCGAGCAGCCTTGAGTAGCAGTGCTCTCTGAGTGCTTCTCGGAGGAATGATCGATTCCGCTGGTTGATATGCCGTGATATAACTGTTGGCTCGTTGTTCGATAATCACCTCGTGGACAACAGCGGAGGGTTTCTTGTCCAGCGATGTCGCTGTATATGTGGATACTGTGGTCATGATGGTCTGGAATCTTGTTCTAGAGATGGAAAGTAGGGTTGCTACGGTTGGGATGTCGGCTATTTCAGTCCGTCCATCGCCATACACTCTCCACTGACTCGAGAGCATTACCAATCGTCATTCACGAGTCAGCAGGATCTCTGTAATTTGCAAATGAATTTGCATTTGTGGAGGCATTGCGAATGGCGGGGTTGAGATGGCGTGATGAGGTAATCGGAGCGCTTGTGTCGGGGTATCGCTTGATCATGGAATGGAGTATGGTCTGTGTACGTCTGGAAGTATTCATTATCAAGGCGTGTTGGATTATGAACCAATCCTTGTGTGCATGCAGATTGATCTGACCCTATGATATATCAAGTCTGTCAACGATGGCATACCAAGAATGGGCAACTGATCGGATGCATAACTTTTACCTGGAATGACGTGCTACATCCCTAGAAGACTATCACCATCCATCTGACAAGTCTCGATTGCTTGGTAATGCTTAATTGACTAATTCTTATCATGATATGAACCTGTTCTCCTGTCTCTGGAGTGGTTCCATTCCACACTCACAATGGGGGATACAGAACGACAGCCACTGCTCGACGCAGCGTCCATCCAATATGATTATGATACCCTTCAGGGTTCATATCTCCATCATCTCGATGTAGACCTCAGCGACAGCGACACCCTACCAGGCACTGTTCCAGAAGGGAAATCCCTGACCTGGTCCAGTGCCTATATTCTCGTTGTCTCGCGTGTCATCGGTAGCGGTGTTTTTGCAACTCCAGGCTCCATTGTCAAGTCCGTCGGCAGTGTAGGACTGGCATTGCTGGTCTGGATCGTGGGTACCGTTCTAGCCGCCTGTGGACTGGCCGTGTCGATGGAGTACGGATGCATGCTGCCTCGATCTGGTGGCGACAAGGTATGGAAATATATCGCTCTGGGATAGTAGAGTTAGAAAGAGAGGCTGAACTCCCAGGTGTATCTGGAATATACCTATCCTCGTCCCCGATTCCTCGCCTCCACCCTGATTGCCGTGCAGGCTGTCGTATTAGGGTTTACGGCGAGCAACTGCATCATTTTCGCTAAATACACGCTGTTTGCCTTCGATGTTGAACCCACAGAAGTGCAGCACAAGATTTTGGCGGTCGGTCTGCTCACGGTTATTACCTTCGTACATGGATGTTTCCCAAAGACAGGCATCTGGGTGCAGAATCTGCTGGGATGGATCAAGATCTTCCTGATCGCGGCCATGTCGCTGACAGGCCTCTGGGTGATTCTTTTCCGGCCATCCAGTAACTCTCTTGGAGTGTCACCAGAAATTCCCACCAGTCCACTAGCATGGGATGGGCTGTGGGAGGGATCCAACTGGAGCTGGAGTCTGCTATCGACCTCGCTGTTCAAGGTGCTTTATTCATACGCAGGGCTCAACAACGTCAACAATGTCCTCACCGAGGTGCATGACCCCGTGCGGACGCTGAAATCCGTCGGTCCAGCCGCGCTATTCACAGCGGGGGGTCTTTACCTGCTGGCCAATGTCTCATATTTCCTGGTCGTGCCGCTGGACGAGATCAAAAGTAGTGGTGAACTGGTAGCTGCGCTGCTGTTCCAGCGACTTTTCGGTGATCATGTCGGACGCACGCTCCTTCCTCTTGCGATTGCCATCTCAGCGGCGGGCAACGTCATGGTGGTGACTTTTGCGCTGGTATGTCTACTCTGTCTCTTATATCCAAGTCTCGATATTGATTAGAGCAGGCTCGAGTGAATCAAGAAATCGCCCGTCAAGGCTTTCTTCCTTGGTCTCGTGTTCTCTCCTCGGCCAGGCCCTTCCATACGCCTCTTGGAGGACTGATTGTCCACTACGTGCCCTCATTGCTGGTAATCGCCGTCCCACCCCAAGGCGACGTGTACAACTTTATCCTCGACGTAGAGGGGTATCCCGGACAGATCTTTGCCCTGGCAGTAACGGCCGGTTTGCTTCTGGTGCGATATCGCGAGCCCTTACGACATCGCCCATTCAAAGCCTGGCTTCCTGCAGTGTGGTTGCGCATCGTGGTCTGTCTGGCCTTGCTGGTGGCTCCGTTTATTCCGCCGCCAGATCGGAAGGGCGATGTGCATTTCTTTTATGCTACGTATGCAATCGTCGGTGCTTCTGTGTAAGCCTCTTGTCCCTGTTATGTGGTTCCTACTAATTATGTAGTGTTCTCTTTGGAATTATATATTGGTACGTGTGGACGGTAGTGCTTCCTCGTTGGGGGGGATATAGACTCGAGGAGGAGGTTGATGTACTAGATGATGGGATTGCTGTTACCAAGCTGGTGCCATTTTATAGCAACTAGTCTAGATATAAGACTCTATGAAGATATATAGAAGAATATGACGCGGTTCAGCGCACTTTACTTTAGCATTGCGCAAAAAAACATCTTGCAGATGATGTAGCAGTTGATTACCAATTTTGTTGTATGCAGGGAAATCAGGTATCCAAGACAAGGCATCCCTAGATTAAGCGTGTATTACCAAGTTTAACGTAAGAAGGATTCCTAGAGGACTTCTGGATCCAAATGCCCAGTGATATTATTGCCGCGGACAAATCTGGTCGCCATGACCAAGTGTTTTGGTTCCAAGAAGGATCGCGTAGGTAATTCGGTGTTCTGGATCCTGCGACGAAGGGTGTACAGACGCCCAAGAATATCGAGTGCGCGTTGGTGTTTCATACGGAGGATCGGAGCAAATTTTATCGACTAATCTATTAATTAATAGCTAACTGTAGTACATTAGTTGGTATCTGACTCCAATACGCGTGGTATTTTTCATTTGTGATGTCTACATTCCTGCTAAAATGCCGTGCGAGCACGTAATCGGGCTGAAACATCACGGATACATATCGGCAGTTGGCATATTAATGATTGGAGTCTACATCTATATATAGAATCTGGCTAGCATATATCGAATGAAGCATAGCAGGGATAATTCCATGGCAGAAAAAGATATCCAGACTAGAGACGAGGAAGTGGCCTCAACGGAGAGTCCACAGGGTATGTAGTCATCCATCTATCTCTCCGCTATGCCTCTGATCATCCATAGCAAAACATTCTAATCCCGTCCACTGGTACCGTTCTACCTTCTACAATGCCCTCATCCTCGGCATCTGCAACTTCCTGGCCCCCGGAATCTGGGGCGCCATGAACTCCCTAGGAGGCGGCGGAGCCCAAGAGCCCTACCTGGTGAACACGGCCAACGCGCTGACCTTCTGTCTGATGGTGGTCTCGTGTTTCTTCGGCAGCGTTGTTGTGCGCTTCGTAGGCATCAAATGGACTCTCATTCTGGGTACCATGGGCTACGCTCCTTACGCTGCGGGTCTCTACACGAACAACCGTTTCCATAGCGAATGGCTAACCATCCTGGGTGCAGCTCTCTGCGGCCTCTCCGCAGGTCTCTTCTGGATGGCTGAGAGCGCCATTGCGCTATCCTATCCGGAGCCTTATAATCAGGGCCGATTCCTAGGCTTCTGGCTCAGTTTCCGCGTCGGTGGCCAGATCCTCGGCGGCGCTATTAATCTCGGCATCAATGCCCAGCGCAACACTGCAGGAAGCGTTTCCTATACCGTCTTCCTCATCTTCATCGCCCTGCAGGCGCTGGGCCCTTTCGCCGGTTTGCTCTTAACCTCCCCAGGGCGCGTACAGCGCACTGACGGCCGTCCCGTTAAATTGCGCATCTCGCACGATCCGCTGTTTGAAATCAAAGCAACAGCAAGGCTGTTCATCAGTCGTCCTTTCCTACTTGTTGTTCCGCTCATCGCGCAAGCCGTCTACTCCGAGGCAGTCATGTTCACCTACCTCTCTCTATGGTTCTCCGTGCGCGCGCGCGCTCTGGGCTCATTCCTATCTGGTATTCTGGCTCTCACGATGGGGAATCTTCTCGGCGCGTTTCTCGATCGGAATCATATCTCTTTGAAATCGCGCAGTCGAGGTGCCTTTTTGACGATTCTAGCCCTGCAGGGCGCATGGTGGATCTGGGGATCCATCATCGTCACGGAGTTTCATCAGACCCGGCCAACGTATGACTGGGTTGATGCCGGGTTTGGACGTGGGTTTGCTCTGTATCTGTTCTGGGTGATAGGGTTTCAGCTGAATTATATGTTTTTGTATGTATCCTCTACTTCCGTTCGTGTATATGCTGACCGGGCAGGTACTTTATCGTCGGAAATATTGCTAAGGATGAAGAGGAGGTGGTCCGTCTGTCGGGTTTGCTGAGAGGAACGGAATCAGCCGTGCAGGCTGTCTCGGTGAGTCGCATTCTTCTTTTCTTCTATGTCGATGCTGATTGCGTAGTACGGGTTGAGCAGTGTCGCTGTCATGGCGAGTGTCGGCAATATCTATCTCAATTTCGGATTGTGGGCTGTTTCTATCCTGCCGGCTTGGGTGGTTGTTCGGGAATTTGTGACGGATAGAAAGCTGGGAGATGATTCTGCGTAATTGTTTCTTCAGTATAGTATCGAGAGGTTGTAGTATGAACAGTATATTGATTATTTAGGTTAAATACATCCAGGCCATATATATCCACTGTCGCTATATCAGTACCAGTCCAGCTATATTCCTATTATACCAGATTAACCGTTATTGACAAATATTTCCATTTCTTTTATCTCCAGCTCATTCACACCGCGGCTACCACTCAATTCCACCCCCAGCAGGGTCAGCTGACAGTTCCACAGATGTTTCTTTTGGTTGAGTCTCGACAGTTGGACTCATAGGCTTTGCATCCGAGGCACTCGCTCGATCAAGAGAAAAAGATTCATCTGAAGGTACTCGACGTCATATAAGGAAATATTTAGTGCCAACACTACCACCTGAGCTACCCCTAATACTTGCTCCTCTAGCTGGACAGACCCTGTAAGTAGGTAATACACGCTATTATATTATACGTACCTAGTACCTTTCCTAGACACTGCGATAGAGTAATTTTGATACAGCTCAATCTGGTGACTAACCAGTTCTACTAGCTCTCCTAGAGAGATGGGAGACAGAAGTGCTGGTTGACTGCTAGGCAAGAAAATAAGGCATCCGGCTCACTCACGGAAAATATTAACCTTGCTATTCAGACCCCTCCCGGAATTAACCCCGTTTGACCAAAGCCCCCACAGCAGTGACCAATTCATTCCACCTTGAATACCTTGTCCACGGGTATCCAACCTTGATCCCAGCCTCATGACTTGGCAACGCAGGCATCGAGAATCGGAGTGGAAACTTGACATGCTAAAAAGAGCCCAACTGCGTCCAGCGACAAGTAGCCCAACGTTCGCCATGTAGTCTCGCGTCTGGCCATGCGACAAGCCCGTCAGCCACACCAGTCCGATAGCTGCATATGGAGGTGCCGCCTTTGTAAGCGCACGTCCAGTCCAGGATCTTATTATACGCCATCCCGAATCTGAATGACGGGGACGGTGTTTTCAGCGATGCCAAAAAAGGTCCAGGATATAGAGGTTCGGCGATCCGTGGAGAAATATTTATAAATCCAAAAGGTGCACATCGCATGCGCCAATTTACGGACAAAGGTCTTATTTATGACTTCTTGAAACGGTCCGTTTGTATCTCCCTTTTTGTGATTATTATCGGTCGACATAGTTAAACTGTTGTGTACCTTTGTTCGACGATAGTAGAGCCTGTTTAGGGTTGAACATAAATCTTCTCCAGAACTCAACTGTTGCAACGGGATGTTTCCTAACAAAAGTCTTTTTGGCTTTCTCGCTGTCTCAAAAGTAGAGAACTAAACATAGACGTCCGTCCCCACTACAGCTGACTTATACAGTTAAAATTGGCCTAGAATGTATACAGCTCCGCTACTCCATGGTGCACCTGAGTTATTATCTATCGAACCCAACCAAAGTACGCTATTATTTTCACTTCTATAGGCTATTTTTGATTGTTGCAGCATTACTGACCATTTAGAGATTAGTGTATCGAAGAATGAGGCAACCCGTATTAACTGGCCGGTACAGAGATATGGCGCAGGACTGTATCTTCTGCTCCAACTGATAGACAGCCAGTGGCCCATAGGTATTTAAGAGTCGTCAGTTAAATGGATCTCAGACCTCCCTCGGAAGCGACGTATTGTTATCTTTGAATTTTAGGCCACTTAGGTAACAGCGCCCTGATTTTACCGTAGTCACCTCACATCCCAAGTTATAGTTACAACGTTGAAAGAGTGCAAGTATAACTGTGCCGAGTTTGTGTAAGTTTCATTGCTCAATTCTAGCTCTAACGTCCTGCAGATACTTTCTGACGTGGTATTACATCTGTCCGGTAATCTAGATCAAATAGCTGCATTTCAGGAATAATTGTCTACCTTTCATGTCCCAGAGCACCTGGTGAAATGTAAATCACACATCCCTAACTGCCAACACGATGCGAAAGCCGGCGTCAGTATTTTTCCCCCAGGACAGATCATGTACTGCTCCTCAAAAGATCAGGGACGGAAAGCTACCCCAATCCCTAGGAATATTCAGGTGGAGGCATTGAGCTTGATGGCAAGCCAGGGCACATTGAAGAGTCAATTATACATGCTGCTGTGCGAATGCCGCGAAGTGACCCAATTACATGTATCCAATTTTATCGACGTCGTTCAGGACAGTGGATTAAGGGAAACCAGCTGGTGCGAAAGTTCATATTCATGGCCGATGTCTATGAGAGCCAGAACCCCGAAACGCTTTGGACTAGGTAGGATTCAACCAAGCTGAGCCCAAGCATTCCTATGGGCGAAGAGAGCTGAGGTAGAGAGTATGGATGAGGATATGTTTTTTCCAAAACAGAAGGACACCATAGTAGATTCTTTTGAATTCGTTGATAATATGTTTTGATAAAGTCGATTATACGCGGCTAGATGTGATCTCTTATTGTCTCCTCTTTCCTTTCTTTCTGTTACCTTAACTAATTAACACAAATCGATATGACTTATCAGACCATACCCGTATATTTTTTTTAAAGAAAAGAAGTAAGGGATACAGAAACATAGCGTGTATTCCACAAAGAGGAAACTCAATGTGAATTTTGTAGCATGCGGGTATCAGTGGCGCAGTAGGCAGTCAGTCACCCGGCGTAGTACTGTTGACTTACTCACCCTACCTCGTCTGCTCTCGTATTTGTCGCTTCATAAGGGAGACTGAGGCAGAGCAAAGATTAATTCAGCAGAAAGAGATCACCGTTTAATAAACTTGCGGAAGGCAATCTAACCAGTAATGTGGAATTGAGAGGGAGGCTTGTACAGTAGCGAAAGTGTCAACAGAAGAGTTTTTCCATATCAGTTTATTACAGCGACTACTCGGGATACACTAGGCGTTCGTACGCTCCGTTCGATGCTGAAAAGATAACGAAGAACTGGTCTATAACGCCACTCGCTGTACATACATTGCATGTTCCGCTCCTAACGCTAACGCCCTGCAGATTGCAGGTGTGCGAATAATGGTTACAATGATTAACTTGGCTGCAGCTTTGGATAGGTAAGGCAGTTTGGAAGAGTTTGGTGAACAGTGCCGTTCCCCGTCCTAATCGTCCTGAATATTGTATCAACACCAGAATTGGGCTACTCAACCCATCAGGAAAAAAGAGTGTAAAATATTAACCGGGATCTGGCTTCCCTAAGGAAACTTTCTGCTTTTTTAACTATAGCTACAGTTGTCAAGACTGGCGAGGCGGTGATATCGCTCATCACTTCCAATCACCAAAAAAGCTTGGATTGAGATACGGGATTCAAACAGACAACAGTTAGGTTAGCGTTACGCATCGATCTAGATCGCTTACGGGAATAAGGTCAAGTGTCACAAGAATCTCCACCACCAGCAAAAATAGCGAAAACTGTCAGTAACTTCGCATCGAATCATAAATATGACTAGCTGCAGCGTTAGCGATACTGCTGTTGGCCGGGAGTGGTTTCACCGTGCATGTGTATGATATATTCACGCTTGCATTCTGGAGAGCAGGGGCAATCACGAACAAGTTATCGGAGTTAGGTACGGTGAAGTTCAGACTTGCTGAAGCTGTAGTTGGGGAGATACTGGAGTACCGTGTAAGCAGGGTAAATTCCCGCCGCTTGAGCTAGCAGAGGAAGTATAGAAGTTTGGGATAGTAGGACAAAAAATAGACAGTGTGAAACAGATTCGTCTAGAAGATATGCAAAAACTTACTTGGAATACTCTGCTCCCTCATCACCAAGGACCTGAAGCTGGTTCAAACTCCCCGTAATATACAGTTTGGTATTGAAAACGCCCGGTGCTACCCCTCCAACTGGCACGAATATATTCCCATCCCATTCAGGGCTCCGGAAATCGGGTCCTGTCGCCAAATATTGTATGACGACGATATCAGTGTGTTATCTCCGTCTTTTTGTGAGCTTATCCGGTCAGACCGCTGGAGTCCGGACACGGCATTTCTCTTGGAAATGCGTGATGATGGGACGGTGTCACAACCGGGGAGCATTCGTACAACGAATCTGTCACCAGTCTGTAGATTATAGTACCGATTGTATTGTCTGATTAGGGAGCTCTGGATAGAGTTCTGCCACCACACAATGCACATTGTATGCGCATCAGCATCACCTCCTTCCATAGTTAACCCTAAGTAGAAGTAGAGAACGTATACGTTAACAAGGAGGACTGGATGGTCGTGGGAGTACAGTACGTACCAAAAGCGAATTCATCGCACTGAGTTGGTTCTTTATACTTCGGATCTATCGTGCCTGTCGGACGGGAAGATATCAATCACTTCGCCCAAGAATGAATTTTCTCGGATGTTGGGTAGGTGAGAATTCCTACCTGGACAGTCTCCTGGACAGTTTGGGGTTTGCTTTCTATACCCTCGCTTTGCCAAGATCATCATGTTGTCCCCTACTCTACCTGGCCATTGTTTATGCTGGATTCCTACAAGCCCCGGATTAGCTCGGGCTATACACTTTCTGCATATAGAGTACACTTACCTCCACACATGCTCTCGACCAATTCTTCCGTGAGACCATCCAGAGAGACAAAGTCCATTACCGGTAGACATTCGCCATTAATTAATAGATAGTCTCCATTGTCGTATGTACCACTTGCCACGCTGCGGGTTCCCTTTGGCTTGCATGTTGCTGTGGGCAGTTTCGAGGTAGATGTTTTCGTGAAGGTCTCGGTGACGCTCTCTGTGAATCTGTCTGTGAAGGTTATTCTGCCAGTAATGGTTGATTGTCCTTTCTGAGTTGAACTCTTGGTACTCGTGCTATAGGCCACTTCGTCATATTCACCGTATTGTAGGACTGGTAACGAGTCGAGCGCACCAGGGTTGTCTACTAGAAAAAGACACACCCATAGGACTATAATTACCACACTAGAACAAGTCTTCATTATGTCCCGTATTAGTCCCCACGACTTAAAATTTTAAGGATAGAGGGGAGGAAAAAACGGAAATGGTTCAAAAAGAGGCTCTTTATACCCAGTTTTCCTTATACAAGCCCCTTGTTTCTGTATATCTGCCCCGCAATCGCACCATCCTCGTATTCTCAGCCTAGTTGCATGAGCCTTGGCAAATGGTTTGCGACTCTTTGACAGCCTGGTATACCTAGAGTTTTCTTGGGGAATCAGGCTATAGTTAAATATTCCCCTCAGCCAAGGCAATCAAAAATAAGATTGGATGACTGATTCCGCGTGAAGCACAGCCATGTCCCTCGGTTCGACACCTGCATGTACGTCAATAAGTGCGTCTCCCACCAAGCTAGTGTGCATGTTGGACTAGGCTGTACGCTGGAAAACACAGTACGCTGGAGGAGACTGTGCGCTAGAGGGCCCCCGTCCCCCGCACTCAGTTGATGAGTATAACAGACAAATTGTCATACGTAAGGTTCACTTATAACCTGCCCGTGCGGTTGTATTTTTGAGATTGACCTTGGTGCTGAGAGGAAGCTAGTGAAGTTAGTCCACTCTCTAAGCTGAGAGCGCATTGCTTTTACTGCTCCTCCGCACCAGCCACTGGCGGCTGGTACGCGGAATGAACGTAGAAATTCCCTACCCAGTTACCAGTCTCAAACTATAATCCTAGGCCCACATTGGTCTATATCGCTATGGTTTTGGTTGCTCAGTGCCTGGGTACTGGCGAGTTACCAGATCAGTAATAGCTTCAATCACTTTAAGATTTGTTCCAGAATGAAGCAGAGTAAGCGCTGAGATTCGAACTCCAACCAAATAATATTTTCCCCACATAGTCTTAGATGTTTGGGGGTAGGTATGTAGGTAAGTAGGTAGGTGAGCAGGCATACAGACAAAAGGATTAAAGAATCAATTTAAAGACACTGAATAGCTTCAAAAAACACACTTTTTGTTGAGAAACATGGCTTTATGACCTGTCATTTATCGAAGAGCTTTCGCATATAAATTACCAAACACCCTTGCCGCCAAGACAACAAAAATACTAGTGCCTGCTCATGACTTTTGAAACAAAGCTAAACGTTACCTTTTGTCAGATATTCGGCCAGTCCCGAAGAGTAACTAGTGTACGATTGGTAAAAAGGTCTTATTTGAATGAACTGAGCTGGTCGGGCTCATCTTGATTATATTCTTCTTGATGTTTTCTTGTGTGCTCCGCGGGGGTTTCCCCCCGATCTAATCACATGATTCTGAACACCAACGGCCATATTCATAGTTGTGTACCATTCCATGTAGCTAGATATTTTCTTCTTCTACCTCCGCCAACCATCTCTGCACTCAAAATGGATAATGAAATAGATTATCCAGAGGCGGGCGGGCCTGCCTGGGGTAAAATTGTTATCGAACAATATTTGATTGTATGATTTTGCTGCAAACAACATTCTATCCATTCAGATTACTGATAGCCTCAGTAGAGAAATTGGTATTTTTCTTCGGCTGAAGAGCCCAGCCTACAGCGACAGCGACTCGTTCAGGCGTTTCTCGAAATGGATGAGATTCCTGACACATGGGATGATTTTAAGGATCCGCCTCCACGTCTACCCACCGAGGAAGAAATAAATACTATTCTTCGGCCGTGGAGGTCTGATGAATACCTTCGTATAATAGCAAGTCAGATGTTTGAAGAAGACAACATTCCTGTTCTTCTACGCACCTATTACAATCCAGAAGACGATGGCAAAATAAATAAATGGACTGCAGATCAGAATCTGTTCGAGAGAAATGACACATGGACCCGTCTTGACGATCCGGAGTTTTTTAATTTTGGCCCTGATTGGAGACGTATATATGACATTCTCCCAGAGGTTGCTGGTCCCATGAACCACCCCCTCAGACGATCTGTTGCAGAGGAGCATATTAAGAGTTTCCAAGAACAATTCAAAAATTTCTTATCGTCGTGGAAGCAGAAACATCCGGAGGAATGGAGTACAGATCCAGAGAAATTTATTGAGAATTGTGCGCTTCGTCTACAAACTATCTTTGTCAAGTCGATGCTTCTTATTGCAGACCAGGAGGCCTTTCAGACTGGAAATGCTTGGCTGCTCTTTTTAGATGGCCAGCGAAATATTATTCGGGAGGGCCGCGTCAACCTGAATAAAAAGGGCATTGACGATATAGCTATGGACTATGACCAGACTAGCGAAATACCGGAAGAGCTAAATGTCGGTGAGAAGTATAGGCTAAATGGGGAGATAGGGAAGGATCTGTACCGCTTAACTGATGAGGATCTTGCGGATCCTTGATTGCTTTTTGCACTTACCGAGAACCTCGCAGAAGGTAGACGACCACTTTGGGTACGACAATAACAAACGTCGGCTTCGTACCTACAATGTGTGATCAGATTTGTGCCGTCCTACCCGAGGAAGAAACTAGAGAAGCTGTTTCATTCAAGCCATATCCGTACCCTGCCGGCGCCCTTGCTAAGGGCAGACGAATAGTAAGGTAGCGGGTAGTAAAAATGGAATAACTATAGGAGACGGTAGTTTGGAACCGGACGGCTAGTAGTATACCTGATCCCGGTAGCAAAAGCAGATTTTATACCAACTAGACTGCCTAAGGCAGGCACATCGAGAACAAAACATCCGCTCACCTAACACGGACGCCATATGGCCGGTCAGAATCATGATAGATAAAACGCAGTCAAGGAAAGGCAGCTATAGCCTTCCCCAATTGAGAGTGGGAGGAGCTTAGGAGCAGCGTAATACATACTTTTTGTAATACAAAGAGGGAAGATGGTTCTAACCCCCCAAACACACCAGCTGTGTGGCGGACGGCAGAGTAGCAGTGGGAGCCCTACATCCAGTAATGCGGTGGCCGCAGCGCAGGCACTCGTCTGGGCATGAGAGAATAGTGAGAGTCGCTCGGCATTAATGTAATAAGAGGATGGCGAAGCGAGATGCAGGGATCATCCATAAAGCAGCAAGCACGTAAGGAAGCAGAAACGCAAGCACATAAGCTCAAAGTCACATGGGCGAGACAATCTATGCTACTATCTTATGTCTTACGGGAACCACGAGGGACTCGATGAGCGAATCCAACACAGACGCCACAACAGGCGAGCCGTCTACTCGGATACACTCTAGGCACATTGCCCAGAAACCGAATCGATTTATTGACGATCCTGAACGCGCAGCGGTCACGGCAGTCCAACCCGACGAGACAAGAAATTCAGACGCATCCTCACAGATAACACGACACCAGAGACCCGAAATGCGATAACTGACGCCACTCTAAGGATTATCTTGAAGGGAATCAGTCTCCAGGACTCAGAAATACTGAAACTACAGACCGGTTTGCAAGCTAGGGATCGAAAACTGAAAGAAAAAGAGGAGCAGATTGCTACCCTCCAAAACTGCATTAATAACCTCAACAGCAGGATAGAAAATATCAGATTGATGAGCTCAAGAAAATGGTCTAAGAAATCCATGAGACTACATCTACTGGGGCCAACGCCTCAACACCACCAGGAACGCAAACACCCAGCCTAGGCATCTCAACTCACTACTTCCTCTGTTATTTCGCCAGCATCTAGAGCAACAGACACAGCACTGGCACTTCCAAATATAATCATTCAAGTAAGAAACACTGGTGAAGACATCAAACAGAAGTTAGTTGATGGAGCCATAGCCAAGAGAACAATCCAACAGGCGCTTAAAAACAACCCAGACGCAGAGCAAGTCAGAGTTCAAGGAGTTAAGGTTACCGCAGCATCAAATTTCAAGTGTTCTTAGCTAGCCAAGAGGATGTTCACAAAGTACGGGAGCAACAGAAATGGCTTGAAGCTTTTGAAGGAGCGAGATTAAATGGTGAACCATGGTTTCCTATCAAGTTTGACAGCGTACAAAAGACAGGTGTATTTGATACAAAAGGGAACGTGAGAGAAGACTTCTACTATAGCTTTAAAGAGAAAAACAGTGCTGAAATAAGAAGAATCCACTGGTTCAGCGGACCAAAGACACATGGATCAATGGTAACTTTCCTCTCCCAGGAAACTGGCATGGCCCGGCTACTTCACCAGAAATTTGTGCAGATCCCGGGAGAGATCTCATTTACGTCCGAATGCCGTTATATACCGAGACCAATGCGATGCCGCAATTGCCAGAATTATGGCCACAAATAGGCGCGCTGCAAAGCTTAAACTACATTGCCAAGGTCTTGAGAACACCCTCCAGAATGAACAGAAGAAGCGCCAGCGTGCAAAGCCTCTTATTTTGATCTACATACCCATGAAGGTGGTAATGCAGTGTTCTACTCACCACAGAAAACCCAGCAAGCTCGGATCTTCAAGCGGAAAAAGAGAAGGCAATACAGCTTGCTAAAGCTTCAAAACAGGAATAGAAGCTTCGCCGACAGCAGGCTAAGCTAGAAAAGCAACAATTAATGGAAGAAATGAAGAGAATTTGGGCATCTAATAGAGCAATGCGTATTAAAAGCGCCGAAGGCAAGAGGAACAGCTAGCTCAAGAGGCAGACCTCCAGACTCAAAATAACTTCAAGAATGTCACAAGAGGCAAGAAAAGCTATCTAGGACTTCTACACCTCAAAATTCGCAACCTAAGGTCCGTCCAGCCGCTGAAGTTGTTGAACAGGTACCTAGTACTCTAAATCGCCGAGGAAGGCATGTTCGGCTCCCAGAACGCTTCCGAGAAGTTTAAAAAAAAACCTATATAGCTTCGTTATGACCTCAACCTTATTACATGAAAAGATCTCCATATAATTTAGTTATGGAATTCATAAGAGATGCGCAGGGAGCTATTCTATCGGCTACAGGCCAACTAGCCTAACTAGGAAGTACATAACATTCAGTGGAAACACCAGGAATCGCAGTATCTCAACCAACTGAGCCTACTAAGCGGTTCCCTATATTCTCATTGAGGTGTTCAACTATCTAAAGGATTCAGGGGTTGAATCGGTCGTCAGATACTCCGCACCGCCAAGTCGGGCGGATTATGGTGTTTCTGTAGCACTCTACTTTGTTCAATACCCCATAGCCTTTCTATAAATAAATGAAATAAAGCCATACAGACTTCCTAAACTGGAAATAACAGTGAGCAATGCGGAGAGGTATTGAACGCCTCTAAGTAATTAATCTGAAGGTCCTAGATGTTTCATCCATAGGATCTTAGTTCTCCAACCCTTTTAATTGCAACTCCTTGACTATTTACTTCAATCCTTCGGCTCGTACTGCCTTTGTGAGTCCATCTGCAAGCATTTTAGATATAGGAATATAGATTGCCTCAATATCACCATGTTTAATGAAATCCCTGATTGCATGAAATTAGATGCGAATATGCTTGCTCCACAGGTAATTAACCAGGTTATTTGCAAGTGCCAAAGCTTCCTGGTTATTAACACTTTATTTAACTGCTCCGCATGGCTTGCGAATAACTATAAGAAAATATCTAATCCAGATTACATGTTTAGCGGCTTCTGCAGCAGCAACATATTCAGCTTCAGTAGTAAACGTAGTAGTTATAGGCTGCTTTTTACTACACTAGTTGCTTAACAAGAGTTTCTTCTTCAAAAACTGTTAATTATGGCCATTGGCATGTGTTTCCGACCGTGAATTATATAATTCCATTAAGCCCACTAATAAGGTAGATTTAGGCATTCGAAATACCGCCGCAGCCCTTGATTTTGACTTAATTTGTTCGCTTTTATAAGCTTCAATCGCCATTTGTATTCGATTCTCTTGGGAAGGAGGCATTTTATAGTGTAGTGGTGACAAAGTGACTCGTTGAAAAATAGTTGTGGTAGGTGGGTATGGGAGTGGACGGGATGGCTGTGGAATACGTTATCATATTCATCCTTGGATCGGTTGTATCGGATCTCCGAGTCCTCCGAATCCTCTCACCTCCATATTCTTACAGAATTCCTCCCAATGTCCGAGCCTCGCAAACGTAGACGTCCCGCCTATTCATGCCTCGAATGCCGCCGTCGAAAGGTGCGATGTGACCGCAACCAGCCTTGTGCCCAATGTACGGCGCACGGCGCATCGTGTGTCTTTGACCAGCCCCCGAACCGAGCCGACAGTCCACCAGCCCAGGAGAAGCCCCAGAATGACTCCAATGTCCCCATCCACGGCACCGTCTCCAAGACGCGTGTCTTTGGCCCTGGTCACTGGATGAGCACTGTCCTATCTGTATGTGCATTCGTTCCTCTCTCCCTATACCGATGTTGACAGTCCAGAAGGACGAACCCTACCGTGGCCCTCTAGCCGCCTGCCAGGAGATTTATGAAGAGCCACCAGAGGATCTGGCCCGGACGGTGGCTCAGTGCAAGCAGTTGGCGCGCGATATCAAGAACCAGCGTCCTAGCCGGAGCTGCCTACCGGCCGATCTGCATCGCTCCGTCCCAGACCGACCCGTCCTAGACGAGCTGTTGCATCGGTATACCCTCTCCTTTGAATCTTCCTACCGCATCCTGCACGTTCCATCGCTGCACGATGACTATCAGGCCTTTATTGACCATCCCGATGGGGTCTGCAGCGCTATCCTGGTGCAATTGTTGTTGGTCCTGGCTGTCGCGGGCCCCCTTCATGATGACCCCGAAGTACGGCGCGATATGGCCACCAAGGCACGCTTCTGGATACACTGGGCGCAGACATGGCTGTCAGCGCCGCTGGAGAAGGACCGCTTAACCATCCAGGGCCTGCAGATCCATTGCCTCCTGCTACTTGCGCGCCAGGTTCATCGCGTTGGTGCCGATTTGGTGTGGATCTCGGCGGGCTCCCTGGTGCGTATGGCCATGCAGATGGGCCTCCACCAAGATCCTTCCAATCTGGGCGAGCATCGCATGCGTCCGGCGGAATTGCGTCGTCGTCTATGGTACACCATCCTCGAGATGAACGTACAGGCGGCATTGGACGCAGGCATGGCACCCATGATATCCGAATCTGATTACAATACTCAGCTGCCTTCCAATGTCGATGATGACCAGCTGGATGAGTCTACTCCATCGGGAGACACGTCGTCAGAGCCCTCGTTCCAAGGTCTACTGGCGCGTTCTTTGCCGCGACGACTGGAGTCCGTGCGCTTCATGAACCGTCTGCAGGAGGAGCCGTCGTACGACCAGGTGTTACGTCTGGGTCATGAACTAGACGACGTGTGTCGCGATGCTGCTACGGCAATGGAACAGATGGTTATATCTACGGATCGTCAATTTGCAGCTAGTCACTGCATCCACCTTTTGCGTCGCTTCCCTCTCTGTCTGCATCTCTCTTACGCCGCACGCGTCTCCCAGAACCCGCTATACAGCTACTCGCACAAGGTGTGTCTGGACGCAACCGTGGACCTGGTCTCGCTGCTAGACGACGAACTCTACCATCGTCTACTACTGTCTGGCGGCGGCATGTTCCGTGATATCATCACCCGCGGGGCGCTGTGCATCTTCATGGAACTTGGGACGCATCTCGAAGCGGATAGTCTCAACTTCGCGCGCAAGAGAACCCGCGCTCGTCAGGAACCACTGCTACGGGACGCTCGCCGCATCGTGCAGTACGCCCGAGATCGCATGTTGCACGGAGAGACTAATATCAAGGGATACCTGTTTCTGAGCATGGCTATGGCGCATATCGAGGCGCTGCTGGATGGTAAGCCCCCCAGGGAGGCTGCCGTCGCCGCGGCGCATCAGAGTCTGGAAACCTGCCATTCCATCCTGCACACTGTTGCAGATGAGACGGAGACGTCCCAGCAGATGGGCCTGGAGTTGTGGTCTCAGGGTATAGAATCAACTCAGGGGGTACTGGAGACAGATTTCGACTTTCTAGAGCATCTCAACCTGGACAGATTGGGATGGACGGGGTGGGCGGAATGGACGGGAACGTTAGAATAAGTGGAGATAAATATATATATCATACTCCAATAAACGCCACTACTGTGCATGGACATCATACAAATCACCGATCAATATCCCCTGTCAACTCCGGATAGTCTGGTAGCTCCCATCCCTTGACGCCTTCACGCAGCACAAACTGACCCAGAAAATTCAATCGAAAGAACGATACGATAGCCATGACCACGTAGATGATGGCGATGCCCCATGGGGTCACCACGAATCGCTCCCAAAAGCGATTCTCGTCTGCCACCCCATGCTGCACCTGGTCCATAAATGGCCGGAACGTTTCCTCGTATGCCTTCAGTGCTATAGAGAGACTCCGCCCATCGGCATCCTTATGTCGTGACATCTCACCCGCCAGAATATATGCCCCCACGATACCGCACGTTGTGCCCATGCCCGTCATGGCAGATGGACAGTAGGCTGCATCACCGACCAACACAACACGCCCACGAGACCAGCAGTCGAGTTGCACCAGCGCCATACGCTCACAGTAGAAGTCGTCCGCCCCCTCTAGGGAGCGTAGGATCTCCTCCGTCTGCCATCCAGCGCCGTGGAAGATCTCCATCATTGCCTCCTTTTCCTTCTCTATATCGCCACGGTCGACGCAGTGTAGTCGTCCCGCGTCGGATTGGCACATTAGATACGTCTGAATGCGGTGTGGATCAGATCGTCGCGTCATGAGAAACCGGCCCTACGTTGCGAGATAGCAGCTGGCCATGTATTGCTCGCCCGGCTGGAGTTCCCGCGCCATGGTGAAGTATCCCGCTGTGGTTCCTACGGGTCGCAACGGGTCCGGAGCGTCTGCGTCTAGCATCATGCGACGCGTACGTGATCCTAGACCATCGGCACCCACAACGAAATCGAAACGATCTTGCTGTCCGTCGGAGAAGAGCACAGTGACGTTGTGCGCTGTCTGCTCGAGGTGTTGCACGCGGTGCCCGAAGATATATCGCACGCGATCCCGGCAAGCGTCGTACAGCAGCCGGCAGAGATCGCCGCGCATGATCTCAAAGTCCGTAGTGAAGTTCTGCAGGCCGTGGCCGGATCGATTGGCTGCGAACCATGCCCAGCGGCGATTCCAGCTGTCGACGAGTTGCAGTCCCTGCTCGTGGACAGTGCACGCGCGAAAGGCAGTCTCGAGACCCATCCGGCGTAGTACCTCAATACCTGGTCCTCGTAAATCTAGTTGCAATCCGGAGTAACGCAGGGAGGGAAAGTGCTCGATCACCGTGACATCGTGGCGCTGTGAGAGCCAGAAGGCGAGGGCGTTGCCGCTAATGCCTCCGCCGCAGATAAGGATCTTGAGGGCCATGGTATGAGTTTTGTAGTTTGGAAAGGCTGAGTATTCTCTGCTTGGTCTTTGGCTTTATACCTGATCTTTATGTCTCGTTCCTTCAACCCGATAGGCCCGAAATTCATCGATATCCGATATGCCCGATATGACCGATCGGTGACATTGCGTCTTTTTTGAATAATACATTATCCTTCGTCTCTCTTATTGGATGCACTTCCTGTCCATATTGCGGAATCGATAGACATTCTGCTCGGAAATCCATTGTATTCCACCCTCTGAATGTTGATTCCATCAGCGCATTTGCATGTCGCTATGGTGCCCATCGGGTACTACTCCGTAGTTGCAAGTGTATTAAGCCGATGAACAGGTGTCTCTTCTGCTTTTTTCTAGGAACCCATGCATCTCACTCCAATACTGTCTCCTATCCATTATTAGTGATTTAGCACCATATTTCGGTGAGAATATATTCGGCATGACATCAAGGCGTGATATCATCATGGTCCGCCATAGTAACCTGTGTATATCAGTATACATCCCCGAATAAATCAAGACCAATCACTTCTTATATCTGTCTTCTTCTGACCTTTCTGTTCTCTGTAAATCGAGAATTGGAAATATATGTGTTATTCCTCAAGTGGACACTGGAAGAACATTCTTCCGAGCCGATCCTATTTTCGCAAATTAAAACAGTAAATAAACTCTTCCATGTGAATAGCTTCACCATGGCCCGTCGGTACATGATCCCCTGGCTCTATGACCTAGGGGTCTGGGTCTTCACATTTTGCCTCGACATCTTCTTCCGCGAGATCTACGCTCGCGGTGCCTGGCGCATCCCCAAGAAGGGCCCCGTCATCATCATCGCTGCCCCTCATGCCAATCAGTTTGTCGATTCTATCCTGTTGCTGCGCATCCTCAAGCACTATGCCGACCGTCGCATCTCTTTCCTCACCGCTGAGAAGTCTATGCGGGAGCCCTATATCGGTACCATGGCCGGCTGTATGGGTGCCCTGCCCGTCGTGCGTGCCATGGATAACGTGAAACCCAGCCCGGGCCTCGTCTACCTGCCCGACCCGGAAGGAGACCCCACGCGCCTCTGCGGTCGAGATGTCGACTTCACCTCCGACCTCTTTATGGTGGGCGGTGCCATCGTCCTGCCGCGCGTCGGTAGGACCAGTCCAGATCAGCAGGCCATCGCCGACATCGTGGGCCCCCACGAATTGCGCCTGCGCCAGCCATTTCCAGCCTACGAGCCCGACCACCCGCACTACCGAGCGCTACGTGACGGTATCACCTTCAAGGTGGCGCCACATATCGACCAGAGTAAAATGTTCGATGCGGTCTACAGTGAGCTGTGCTCTGGTGGCTGCATCGGCATCTTCCCCGAGGGCGGCAGCCATGACCGACCCAGCCTGTTGCCCTTGAAAGCAGGCGCCGCTATTATCGCCCTAGGAGCATTGGCTCGTGACCCAGATTGTGGCCTATCTATCATCCCTTGTGGTATGAACTACTTCCACCCGAACAAGTTTCGCTCGCGTGCCGTTGTCGAGTTTGGGAACCCCGTCCACGTGCACCCTGACCAGATCGAGGCCTTCAAGGCCGGCGGGAAGGCAAAGCGTAATGCCGTGGGATCGCTACTGGAGACGATCCAGGAAGCCCTGGAAGCTGTGACGCAGCAGGCACCCGACTACGAAACACTGGCGCTCATCCAGGCCACCCGTCGCCTGTACAAGCCGCTGCGCATGAAGCTACCCCTGCCGCTGGTCATCGAGCTGAACCGTCGCCTGCTAAAAGGGTACACACAGTTCAAGGATGAGCGCAAGGTTGTGCAGTTGAAGAAGGCCGTATCTGACTACAATGGCCGGTTGCGTGCCTTGGGCATCCGCGACCACCAGGTGGAATGGGGAGACGTCCAGCACCACCCCTGGTGGATGGTGCTGGGCACTTTGCTCTATCGTATTGGCGAACTGCTCACTTTGGCCGTGGGCACTCTGCCATCCGTTGCCCTATTCTGGCCCGTCTTTGTCACCACCAAGATTATCTCCGTCCGCAAGCAGCGCAAGGCACTCGCCGGCTCCGTCGTGAAGCTAGAGGGACGCGACGTCGTCGGATCCTGGAAAATCCTCGTCACCATGGGCCTGGCCCCTGCTCTGTACACTTGGTATACAGCGATCGGGACCTTCTGGCTGAATTACTGTCGCCATAGAGGTTACTACGCCACCCTCGCCCCGTGGTGGATAAACGCCAGAACATATATCCCCGACCGTGTTTCCCTACCCATTTTCGCCATTTTCTTCTTCGGATTGATGATCGCCGTCTCCTTTGCGGGCCTTCGCATCGGCGAGATCGGTATAGACGTGTTGAAGTCGCTGCCACCGCTGGTGGTGGCGCTGAGCCCGAGATCCGGCAACTCCCTGGTGCAACTTCGCGCCCAGCGCCAGGAGCTGTCCGCCCGCGTGGTGGATACCATTGACACTTTCGCGCCGGAGATCTTCCCGGACTTCGAAACGGAGAAACTGGTGCCGCATGGCCACTCGCCGGATGACGGTGCTTACCGATCGTACTTGAAGAGCATGCCACCCAGTCAACCGGAAAGCCGTAACCGTAGCCGCACGAGGAGCAACCGCAGCCGGTCACAGAGTCAGGGACTCTCTCTACAAGACTCCTTGCTCAAACCTTTGACCGTCGCATCCAAAGAGGACCTGGGCGAGGTCAACCGCCGCATCCGAGATTCTATGCAGGAGCGAGGCTGGGCACGTGTACGAGCTGAATACGACGCGGACGAGGACGAGGACACAGTGGTGATGCATGGAATTTCGAGCACTGCCAGCACTGTGGATTCTGAGGAGAAGAAAACGCGATAGTTGGATGCATGGATGGATGGATGGGTGGATGTGAATAGTTAGCTTCATTAACTAGTTATTTTGGTGAGATGAGTCAGATATTGCATAACCGGAGTTGCACAATTTATTTTTGTACACAGTATTCCTTTTCTGGCGCTTCTCATCCTCTCACTTCATCGCGCCATGTCCTTATCCTACCTGGCTATCGTGCGCCAATGCGACAAGTCTGTTTTCTTGCCTGATTCCTTTTCTTGAACTAACAATCCCAGTTTCCCCTACCACCAAGACAACCCGGAAGCGTACCATGCCGCCCGACAGCAATTCTACGCCTTTCGCGTCAGCGGATGCCATGCAACGGTCGGACACATCCCTGCCAGTATTATCCACAAATTCAAGTGGCCTGCTTGTTGGTCCATCGATCATACAGCGAAAACAGCCGTGCTAGGATCTGGATTCCCTGAGTCCGCCCGCGTGCGCAGCGAGTTGCTCGCCACGACCATGCACCAGATGGCGCACACCGATCATTTTGCCATCCTACATGGATGGCGCAATGAAACATTCCCCGTCTACGGCCCTGGAGGAGAGGTGCTACTCGAGATCGAACGGTCGGCAAGCGCTCTCTTTGGCATCGTCACCTACGGTGTTCAATTGACCTGCTATGTCCAGGAAGATCGCGGTCTTCGCATCTGGATTGGTCGACGGTCTCGCTCGAAACAGACATACCCCGGTATGCTGGATAACACAGCAGCTGGTGGTCTGGGGACCGGCCAGTCACCCTATCGCGCTGTTGTCCAGGAAGCGGTGGAAGAGGCCTCGTTGCCAGAATCTGTGCTGTGCCGGGGCCTCCGATCCGTCGGTTGTTTGTCTTATTACCGTGTGCGAGGAACCCAGGCAGGAGGGGACGATGGTCTGTTGCAGCCCGAAGTCGAATACGTCTACGAGCTGCTGTTAGATGCTGATACTATACCACAACCGGGTGATTCGGAGGTGGACGAGTTCCATCTGTGGAGTGTCGATGAGGTGGGGGATGCGTTGAAGCGAGGAGAGTTCAAGCCCAACAGTGCCATTGTCTTGGTGGATTTTTTCATTCGACATGGGATCCTGACTCCGGAGAACGAACCCGAATATCTGGAGATTATAGCCCGACTTCATCGGCGGCTGGAATTTCCCATCTCGATCACTCGATAGTTGTTGAATGGATTGCAGGTGATGCATACTTGTCTAGCGTTATTGAGAGACCTTGTGGATGTACTAGTTTTGAACTCCCCTTGCAACTGATGATAGTGGCTGAGGTGTGATGTCATGGTCTGAATCAATAATTAGGGACTGTAGGCTTCACAGCCTAGCACATAGAATATATAAATTATAGGTATATAGAAGAATTCTATTCCATAATATAAATTTTGTGGTGGTTATAGCATAGTATATACAGGCCATATTAGTTGGACAATGAATACAGGAATCAATATCAGGGATAGCTTTTAATATCTTCCAACTACTAGCATGCTTTACGGTTTTTGAGTTAAACTAGATATAAAAATATTGACTATAGAGTTGTGTATATTTCTCTTATATGTAACATTTTAGGCAGTTTGATTATTAGACTAGAATATATGTATGCTAGGAATCCCTGCTTTCAACAACCACCCGATTAGGTAACAGTGAGATCAGGCATTCATGGAAAAGCCACAATCCCAGAATCCATGAGAACGTTACGCATTTGTGGATTCTGGATTGTCGGTGTGTAAACCCAAGATATTATTACGCAGGATCGCAGATGCTAGGTGCGCTCAATTTTACAATAGCCTAAGCCATTTCTCTTCTCATTATATAGTCTTCCAGCCTGACGAACTATTTTAATTTCAACAGTTAACTTATTACCTTGATGTGGTTTTATTTCGTATCTCTTTCTGTATGTATTCCTATCCGTGGATCAACGCATGATCTTTACTACCTTGGGGACGTCATTGGTCTACTTAAAATATCCCTACTATAAAGAGTTATACAGTCACGAGTATTCCAATAATTCTTTCGACTTCATTCTCTCCTCCGGAATCCACTGCAGCATTGCGCACAAAAAACCGAAGAAAAAGCTGTTAGTTTCGTCCACTAAAATTTTCTTCTGATCCCTCCAAGAAGATTTCCGGGCTGGAGACACCACTCACAGCTACCCATGCTCACTAATTTTGAGTTTACTGGACCTAGGTCGCATTCGCAGCGCATGGATTGGCATATGCATGGGTGGATGCACTCCAGAAGGGCCTGGAATTTCTTAGAAGCTCGCCTACATTGACTGGATAGAACCGATCGGGTCCGTAGAAAGGTATCCTTTCCTCTTCAATGAACCTCGTAATATCAATCTGGAGGTTGAGTACCGATGTGTCGTCTGTGCTTGAAGATTAGCTGCTGGGAACTAAGCAGCTTCAATCTGTAGTGGTGTGCACTATTTCTGATCATGACTGGAATTCGGAGATCATTCAACTGGCACAAAGGGGCAGAAAACAAAAGACAATGGGATGCATATGTGTCGTGGAAAGGAATGAGCAAAGGTAAGCTAAGGTCGGTAGTGTTTTGACGCAGGGGAAGAAATGACCAGTCAACCCTTGCCAGATCGGGCTATCCCATTGTGGTAGACCGCTGCGGGGGAGGGGAATTTTGCAGATCTGCCCCTCCCCCTCCGTGAATCTGAACACATCAAAAACATCCCTAAAAATGGATTTTCGGGATATGATCAAGTCCAATAGGCTCTATAGTCCGGAGTGGCATATCTTACACCAGCAAAGTCAGCCTATCTTCATTGCCCCTCATTGGGTGGCAGTGCAGCCATCTGGTGAGCAGACGAATATCCTCGTCATGGGAGCCTCTCCTTTTAGAGATCGGTGAGCTGACATCTCTACACTGGTCGGGCTCTCGATTAGGTCCTCGTTTCACCTTGGGTCTTTCCTCTGTGGCCCAAGATACAGGGAACCCCCCAGCTATTCCGCACCAATCGTACAAGATTTGATATTTCGAGCAAATGAGGCCTCGCGTCGACGCGTTGCAGCCACAGTCTCATTGGGCCGACGTACGCGGTGGCGGCCGACTGACGGACCTTCTGCGAGGCAGCGTATCAACGACCACCACACGTCTCATTCACACATGAGGCTCGGTTTTTCTTAGGCAATGACAATAGCGAAGGAAACCTAAAGGACGGAAAAATTTTTAGGATTGAAATGGGTTTAGACTCTATATGAGGATATGTTATCCCCACTGGGTGCGAGGCTAATTTTATACATAGCGGGAGATCTACCCGCTAAGTGATGGATCACCATTTATTCATCTTTTTTATTTTGTTGAGGGAGTTCGTCTGTGACTAATTCCTTTGCTACCATGTCTGCGTCATTGAGGGACAAGCTTCTCCCGTACACTCAGACACTGTTGCACAACTGTGCAAGGGCCACCGTGCTGACGTCTGAGACCCAGTTCCAGGATGATCTCAGCACATCCCAAGACAAGACTCTCGCCGTGCTTGTCGAGTTGGACGTCGAGATAAAACATCTACTTCGACACGTTCTGCGACCGCGGGCACAGCGCCCACCTCCCAATGCTCTCTTCACCTCCGTCGTCCTGGGTTGTACCTGGGCCGTCAATCTATTCGAACAGCGTTTACAACTCTACAGGTGCAGCAGTAAGGGGAAACGGTTTGTTTGCAGCTCATGGACTCGACTCGTCGAGACTCTCCAGCAGTATACTCTGAATCTTCAAGAACTGAATGCCGCTTTGGGCCCAGTCACGTACGTTCTCATCTCGGACGCATGGAGTCCATTCATTATGCTGACAGAGCCCTACTACCTCTAGTCCCAGCCCTATCTCCGATGTGTCCTGCCTCCAAAGAGTATTCGACAAACAGAAAAACGATGTACAGCGGGAGTTGGAAGCACAGATGAGGTTCGAAGCACAGCAGTGGGACGAGGTGCCAGATACACAAGGGTACATGGAAGTAGATCCTGACTATCCATCATCTACCTATGCGACTCCGCCAAGCAGCATCGCTGATGGGGATATTAACGACGAACTTCCGCCTATTCCCGGCCCTCCTCTCCAATCTTCTAGCATTTCCCCAAACGAACAATACTATCTTCAAATGGCAATGGAAAATGCTCGCACGGAGGAGCGTACGAGGATTTACAACACCCTGAAAACGATCTGGATTACTGAACGCGAGGCCCCCGAAAAACGATCAGGTTACCTGTTGCGAGCCATCAAGCTAAACTCCGTGGACAGCGTCAATCTTCTCCTTGATCTGGGTGCGGAAGTGAATCAACCCTGTGAAAATGATTTGCCGTTGTGTCTGGCAGCCCGATCTGGGTATGACCGGATAGTTGAAACACTCCTAGACCGAGGTGCGGAGATTGATATGCCAACTGCGTATGGCAATACCGCGCTCCTATCTGCCGCTGGAGCCGGTCATACCTCAACCATCATGCTTCTCCTGGTCAGAAATGCCAACAAGGAGGCCAGAAGTACCTCGCATCTCTGCAAAGGATATACACCGCTGATGAGAGCCGTGAGATCCGGCCACATGCATGCAATTCGTGTGCTTGTCGATGCGGGTGCGAGTGTTGCGACTCTAACCGACGCAGGGGAATCCTTATTGCATGTTGCTATCCAAGGTGGTCGTAAAGAGATTATCGAAGAGGTTTTCTTATTGCAGCATCAACCAGGCATCGCAGACAAGAATGGAAACACAGAGCTGCATCTCGCGGCCATGAAGGGCCTAGTTGAAGTATCCAAATTACTCCTCGCTAAAATGGGGAGTCTCGTGAGAAATACAAACCTCAATCAGGAGACGCCGCTGCATTACGCAGTAAAGGCCAGAAGGTGTGAGCTGGTGAGGTTATTTCTTGAGGAAGGGGCATTCGTTGAGTGTCCAGACGAAAACGGGAAGACACCACTACATCTCGCCGTCCAAGCAGATAGCCAGGAAATCATCCAGCTGCTACTTAATGTGAATGCGTCCCCATGTATGCGCGACAAGGATGGAAAGACACCGATGCACTATGCCGTGGACTCATCCCGTGGCGATATAGTCCGACTGTTGGCGCAAAAGATGCCCCCCGTCGTCAATACTAAGGATAAAAACAAACAAACGCCCCTCCACTATGCTGTGAAGTCCCTGAACACGGAGATCGTGCGTCTACTATTATCACTGAGGGCAACAGCTAATTGCAAGGACAGGGCTGGTAAGGCGCCGCTCGAATATATTATGGAAATGCCTCCATCCGAAGAGGAGATGGCGATACGCCTCATCCAGGAGTTCTTATGCGTACATGAAAAAGGACGACCGCTTACGACAATTTACGGCTTCCCGGCGCTATCAAAGGCAGCAAGGGAAGGCAGATTGCGTTTTATCCACGAGTTCTGCCAGCATGACCCTCGTCTCGCGAATGAAATCCCCACCCTGGAGTCAGATTTCGAACCTGCCTTGCATGAGGCCATCAAGTTTGGTCACAAGGAATCGGTAGAAATGCTCTGCCTGTTACCGGAAGCGGACAAGAATATCCTTGACCGCGAAGGGAATACGCCATTACATCAAGCTGTGATTCACTGGCAAGATGGATTGCTTGCTATGTTGATATGTACCGGAGCGGATAAGGACTGTCCTCATGGTAAAACCGGGTTGCCGCCGCTCCATTTCGCTGTGCAGCTACAAAGCCTCAAAAAGGTGGAAGAGCTTCTGAATAACAAGGCAGATCCTGAGAAGCGGATAAATGGAAAGCAATGCACCTGGTGCAGGGAGAACAACAGACCTCCTGGCATGAATTCACGGTGTGTGCTGCAAGCAATTCCCGAGCACCGTCGAACTCAAGACTATTCCTCAATCAGTCGCACTTTGTCTCAGTCTATTAGGCCGTATTTGGCAGGTTCTGCATCGACAAATAGCAGCAGGAAAAGAAAGGCAAAAAATTATCCACAGATGGGTTCGCGGGCTTCCACATAGGAGTATGTTTGAATAATGTATGGTATATATATAGTGTTTGTACGGTGACATTCGTGGGATAGAAGACCTGGATAGAATTACTGAGCTTTCCAACTCTTCTTTAATTTAAGAGACTAGTGGTAAATAATCGCAGGTGAGATTAATGCAACCTTGCTAGCTAAATGACAAGTTGTTGGAAGGTCAGCAGGCTGGTTGAGGGAGAGAAGCTGACGCTGTACTATTACACTTCAAGGTCGTGGATATTCGAACGAGGCTCCCAAGTCATTTGCAATGAGCCTTACCTGATGATTCATATGCACCTCTCCGCTGTAAAGACTGTAAACGAGATCCGTAACTGCTTGAAGATCCTCCTCCCTGCCAAAGGGATCTCTGAGGTAAACTCCAGACCGCTCCACCAGGAGATGCTCTGTGGGAGGCAACGTTTCTCCGTCGATGGCTTTTTAAGCATTTACTGCATGACAGAATACCGTTCAGGAATTAAAAGCACCATGGCCTTTTGTGAGTTTAGTTTGGTATTATCATGCGTAAATTTATATTGACCATATTCGTATCTCTCCTTGGCAGATATGTCCGGGTGGTTCAACCGTTTGAGACGAACTGGCTGCTCTTTTACATATGGAATAGTAATATAATTTGACTGTACTTTAATGGCAACTACCGGACGAATAGCAGGAACGCCTCCTAGTCGCTGCTCTGGTTTACCAGCCTCACCTGCTGACAAGCCTGGCCGTACAACTCGGCGACAGTCCCAGGGTCCTTCGATTTATTGTGGATTTCTTACCTCAGTAGAAACCAACTGGATATTCGATTGTCTGTCCGACATAATTACCCACACCGGGTAATTTCTCCGACATATAGGATTTCCAGGGCATTAGAGGGCCGATTTTGAGAGGCTTGTCCTCTTCCTCCCTATATGAAGTAGTACCGGGGAATTAAATTACTCACTGCTAATACTACACGGTGATATGGTATTTGGCCCCGATGCTTCTGGCTGGGATTAGTCCTGTAGTACCACTTCCGATACGTTCTGACCAAGCGGTTTTTGGGATTTGTGAGCTCGTAAAATGTATGGTTGTGCTTTAATGCATAAAGCACTCACATTGTATAGTAGCATAGGGAAGAAAGATTGAAGGGCTGACTGGACATCCCATTTGCAGGGAATCTTGCCTAATGTTCCATCGCAGTAGTACTTCCCTTCGATAAGGCATAGAGGGAGGTTAAATGGAAAAGAGACGTTTTGGTTCCAACTATGACGAGCTACAGTTCGTGGTCGCCGCTCTCAAGCACTTACCATGGCTCGCAAGTCGGAGGCGAAGGCAAAGCGTACAAATAGGTAGCCGAAATCTCAGAACGGAGTTGGTCAGACTAACATATAGATTTGTGGGTTGGCTGCCCAGTTACAGCACAAGGATGCCATACGTAGACTTAAGTAAATCAAACAACTCACAACTGATCTATCAATAATTTTCCTGTTCTACCATTAGCTTAGGATAGGTCGCCTAAATCACCCATCATCATAAAGAGCAGATCCGCTAACCGATACACTTCAGCCTGAGGCTGACAATGCTTGGTATAGTCTTCAGAAAATGGCTGACTGAGAGTGACGCGTTCTTCTTTCTATTTTCTTCTTTATCTTTCAATGTGTTATCAAAGATTATATCATTCCTAAACGTCGTTGCCTTCCTGGAGGTCTATAAAAGAACTCCCATCCGTCTGGATGTCGGGAAGTAGACGAGATCACAGCCTTCGAAGTACAGACCTAAAATACACGAGAAATGCCGGTGCACTTTTATTTCCTCACAAAACAAACGCAGTACTAACCAGGCAGTACAGCTTCTTTCAGGGTACGTCACCTTCGGCTGTAGAATATCCAGTTAATATTTACTTGGACAGCGTCACTATTGCCGACGAATGCCTTCACGTATTTCGAGACCTGTACAATGTACGCAGTCGCAACAAGCTCAACTTCGTGATCTTCAAAACCACCGACGACGAGAGGACGGTGGTGGTCGAGGAGGCCTCATCTGAGCCAGAATACGAGGTCTTTCGCCAGAAGATTACTCGGCGGTGGACAGTCAAGGACAATCACTTCCAAGATACGGGGTATACGACGTGGAGTATGACCTTTTGGAGGATAAGAGGTGAGGCCAGAGGGTCGGTTGTTTGATATCTACTGACGATAAGTAGAGCTCGAACTGTCTTCGTTACGTGGGTGCCAGAAAATGCATCGATGAAGGTATGTATTATATTCTCGGATCTAATTTACAATAAAGGCTAATGATAACAGCTGTGCATGCTGTATGCAAGCACCACCGAGCAGCTGAAAAACGCCCTGAATATCAAGGTGGCCACCCACGCAGATATTGTCGACGACTTGAAATGGAAGACCATGTTGACGGCAGCCAGTGGTGGCAAGGCGTAACTAGATAGCACCATAGATAGTCCTCTCGGCTGTTGTCATAATAGTATTGAAAATACTCACTCAATATCTATTGCACACCTAACGCCATATTCAGATTCATTTCCACAACCCCCTAGTCACCAGTCCAGCATTCCACCTGTTCTTCCTCCCCCGTCGTCGCCACTTCTGATGCATCGTCATGTCCGCCATGTCAGGGTCCCAACGCTGATGCGGCCCTTTTCGGAGCACCTGCGCCAGGGTTAGCGCCTGATACATCGTGCTGCGGCCGACGCGATCCAGATGGTGAATGGTGCCGCGAACAACTTGGCCGTCGATCCCACCGAATTGGCTACGAGCAACGGCGATGCTAGGCGGTGCATGACTGCGGCAGAGTGATGGCGAGATTCCTCTCTGGTAGCGCCCAGATAGTTGGGTACGATATAGCAGTTCTCTTGGTATTCCTCCATAGCCATACTTGCTATCTTCTCCAAACGTTGGCGAGTGATCGGATGGCTCTTAGTGATACTATAGGTGCTGATATGATGAGCAGAGCTGGTGACGCGCAGATCCGAATTCCACGCTGCTGGGTCATCGAGCCGTTGAGTGTTTATTGCGTTATCGAACACCTACAAACGATCTCAATCCAACTCTCGACATCGCAGGGAAGGTCAGTCTCCCAGGTGTGCTACATCCAACGGCCGTTCTTCGACAGCCGCTTGGGGGGTACATCATACCAAGTATGGCCTCCATCGGCGGAAAGTTCAACCCGTTCTGGCCAGTGACCACGTCCAGAATAGGCCCAGCCCTCGTAGTAGATCTTTCCATCATGGATGATTACTTGCCTGTTCCAAGGAGTCGTAATGGCGGAACTTATGGCCATCTCCTAGATTTGAATGCCGTCAGTTGGCCGTTGGTTTTCCAATCTGTTGATTGAAATACAGACACTCCTTGCTTAACGGAGCCAGCTACGGATTCTCAATTGCTTTGATGCGATATAGCCTCTTGACGCTTCATGCCCCGATATAACCGAGGACTGCCACCTGTACGGGGTATCCATGGATCTTTTGGCAGTGGTTCTCCATTCATCTCCCTGGCAAGCACGACCTCATTGGCCTTCCTCACCTTGGACCACGGGACGCTGACCAGGTAGTTTATCTCACTTCGAGGACTTTTACATATGCCTCAGCGCCAGAGTACGAGGTGTTTCGCAGGAGCTGCCAGTCGCCATTCTTTGATTAATTTCTTTAGACTAATGACGACGTATCGCGCTGTGCCACTAGCCCCCTGGGCCCAGGGAGTTTAGATAAACATATACACTTAACTATATTTATATTAGGTACGAAACATAAAGGGTAAATTATATTAATGGCTAACACTGTTCAACCACCAACCCAGCTCGACTCCTAATCTCCCCTCCTGATCGTACATCACCAGGTGTCCTGCTCCTCCAATCAGCACGACGTCCCGGGCATTCAATATATTCTTCAATCTTTCTGCAGTCTCCACAGGAATCCATCGATCCTCTGTCCCCCAGATCACTCTGACCGGCATCTTCTTCCCCACCTCTTGATACTCCCCTTCCACCTCTTCCGTGCTGCGACTGTTCGCCTGCACCATCTGCCGTACAAACCCTCTTCTCCCCTCCTCACTGGCTATCCATGGACGCTTCAACATCGTCATCGTCTCCTTATTTAGCTCTCGATATGCCGCGTCCCGAATGTAAGCCTCCACCATCCCTTCAAACACGGGTCCGGTCATCGCTGTAAACACGTCCTCGTTTTCGGCCACCAACCGGAACAAAGGCTGTCCAAACGGGCCCAACGCAACGACATTAATCAGACACAGACTCGCGTACTCGCAGCCATGCAGGATATGTGCCCGCAAGCTCATAAGTCCCCCATAGTCGTGTGCGACCACATGCGCCGCGTTCTGTCGCCACTCCCGCGCCCAGAATTTATACAGCGCCCCAAATACCTCCGACTGCTGCGCCAGATCGGCATCTAGTGCTACCTCCCTGCTTATTTCGGCCTCCTTGCCTGAAACAGGACGACCAAGGGGACTCTCGCCGAATCCCGGGTTATCGAAGAGGTAGACGTGGAAATATCGCGCGAGGGATTGGGCGTAGACGTGCCAGACGCGCGACGACCAGGGTGTGCCGTGCACAAAGATCAGGGGCGGATGAGAGGCATCGCCAAGAGATGTCCAGCGAATCTGGTAGCTATGCGTGGCGGTGGAGTGGTGAAACGTCTGGGTGAGCTGAATGGAGGCTGACGCATCCATTTTATTCGATACAGTAGTATGTTGTGTAGTCGCTTGGTTGCAGTAGGAGAGCCGATCAACCCGTATTTTCCTGGTAGATGGGTGGACTTATTATAGATACGAGTCGTATACAGCTAGCAGGGTTCATAAGCAGCATCCGACATGCCACTTCGTATTAGTGCTTATTCCCGACCCTGATACGAGATATTAATAAGCGACTGACTGATGATACCCACGTGTTGATTGCAGCTCAGGATAAACGTTCTGCCTGAAATGAAAGGAAAACTGTAGTCATCTCAATCACTCGGTATTTGGGAGCCGAACGGGACAACCACACAGTAGGTAGAAATCTAGACCACTCCGCAAGATGGTCACGTGGCTCATCGTGGATAAGGATAAACTGTACGAAGACTAGGGTAATCGTTCTGTAGAACATTAACTCAAACTCCATCAGAGGTTACCACGCCTCACGCACATCCCGCAGTTCCTGTTTGCTTGTGTGGCTGCTTCGACTCTCGTGGGTGACCTCGACCTCGTTGGAAACGACAATCCCAGTGGGGGACACGGGTTCAGCGATGGGCTGGGGGTATTCCTTCAGGGTCTGCATCTTCACACCATCCATCATCCGTTCCTCGCTCTCAGTGAAGGTCATGTTGACGGTGATGGGATTCGCAGTCGGCGGTCCGCGGCGATTCCGGCTGGAGGAATCACCGCCCCCGCCACCACCCCCGATACTGCGGAACCCATACGGTGATTTGGACGTCTTTTGGGACGAATTAAACGGACGACCAAAGAGAAGAGCGAGCCAGGATCGGAAGAGATGGAACATCATGGGAAGATTCGTCGTGATAAGCATTACAAATGTCTCTCGCGTGCCCCAGGCTCCGGCTTGCTGGGCACCATTGTCCTCGTCCTACGAAGCAAGCGTCAGAGGAAGACGGTAGGCACAAGGAGGCTGTCAGACTCACCACTAGGACGAAAGCCGTCTTGAGGGTCGCGCAAACAAGAACAAAGATGCCGGAACCGAGGATGATGCTCGAGGCAATCTTTTTCAAGAGCCTCAGTTTTGACTGCCAGAGCATAGGAAGGGGTATGAAGATCAGGTAGATATCGGTCGAGACGTTTGCAGCGAAGGAAACCCAAACAATCGGCTTTGACACGGCAGGCTGACAGACATCTAGAAGCAGGCTTGTTAGCAGGGATATGAGGGATGTGGACAGGGGAGACATGCTGCCTGGGTTGGGATTGATCTGCCAGTATTTGTGGAATGGCCGACATGACGCCAGGACGGCGATGATGCTCGCGACGAATGTTCCGAGGACCAGGGCAAATCCAATGTAGATGCGCATGCGATAACTTCGACCAAGACCTTCCTTACGGGGTGTCAGTTTCCCCCTCGTGATTTATTTCTATCGGAGGTCCACGGTGGAAATACATACCGTAAGTCGAACGTAGAAGGCCAACACGGATAGCTTGAGCGACCAGATCAATGCCGAATAAGTCGTCCAACCAGCCAACTGGATCTTGGACCCAATCACCCTACATATGCCCACCGTTAGCATTCCGCGTGAGGGTCTACCTGGCAAGACATACCGGAATCGATATTCCGCATCGTCGGGCGACAATGCAGCACGCTGCGCGTCTGTCATGCTATTGTTGGCGAGGCCATGGGCTGCATTGCCGACGCTGTAGGCAAGAGCTGTCTGCGCAGTGTAGAACAACTGCAAGGAGCTGGTATCAGCGAGAATCCCGGGTGGTCCTGCTGGGGAGGGGGACACGAACAATTCCGACCCAGACAAGGTAATCGTCAGCTTGGAGATGTCGAAATCCCACTGTCCTTGCTCGCGAATACGTCCTGAGCACTGTGGCAGCAACACCAACCGCATACAAAGTCCACGACTCAATTGTCGACTCTTCAGCAGGGTTCGCTCTCGCCACCAGGTTAAAAGGAGGCATCCCGGTCGACAGATATGAAGGAATGGAGATCAGAGACACATGATGGAGAGAGGGCCGGGTTAAAAACAATGGGACTATTAGACGCCTTTTTTTTTTGTGTGTCCCTTTCTCCTTTATCTTGTCAGGGCTCCGTTCTCCGTAATCCCGTGGCCATGGATCTAAAGGCTGATAATGTGCATAAGGGCTGGTAAGTTCTACGCAAGCCGTCTAAATCCCGATTCCACTGTACAAATTAGAACTGATAAATGAGGCGGGGTATCCATACTGTTTCAGACCCACTTACGGCCAGTGCCCACGAATGGCACCACATACCCATATATCAAGGTTTTGGAGGCATCCGGCAAGTCCGAGACAACCCAATTTCCCTTCCCCCATAGCCAATAGGACATAGGTGCTCGATAGTCTTCCATTTTCCTGTCTTCTTCGTCTACTAATTAATTCGCGTCGGGATTCGGTCACTTCGGTGGGGGCGACTAACGTGACGGAGGGGGCCGTGTGGGTAAACGATTCGTTTATGCTGGACAGGGGAACAGGTTCCCCTGCGCAAGGGCATTTTATTTTTAACAAAATGGGAGTTGCAGAAACAGATCAAGAGATGTCTTGGCTGTGTGGAGGGTGAAAGTGTCTTCAAGGGGCACGAGGATCCATTCCGATGGGTCACTCAACCAGTGTCAAGGTGGTCAATGGTGACGCACATGCCAGGTTGCATTAATGCATTCATTAATTTAGTTACTTAAATTAATCCCCTCTTAGTGCAGACGGAGATTACTCGGTTACCCGGCGGCAGTTGTTCTCCAATCGCACTCGAAATAAATTGTCGGTACCCGCGCTGTCGCAATATTCCCACCAGCGTGTAAGTAACTTCCGACATATCCCCCAACGTCAGCACTCTTTTTCGCCTTCCTCCCCGCATTTTCTCTCTGCGTGTCGTCTTCCGCTATGCAGGGGTTCAAGTTGCAGGCCCTCACGGTGGCCGCGTGGGCTGTCAGTGCTGCCTGCGCCAAGGGATGCAATAGCACTAGGGAGCTCGGAGCGAAACTTTCGCAGAACGCAAAGATCTACTGTCCCAGTTCGGCGGAATTCAAAGAGGCATCAATCCGGTGGTCGAACCTGGATATCCCCAAAGTCAATGTCGTCGTGGTTCCCGGCACGGAGAAGGACGTCGTCGAGACGGTGAGTTCTCATTTTTTCTTTTTTTATACCCCGCCCCCCCTCCCCGGAAAATCAATAGATAATAACACTGATTACGTAGGTCAAATATGCCAACCGAAAGAACGTGCCCTTCCTGGCGTACAATGGAGCGCACGGAGCTATCACCACGCTGGGCAAGATGGACCATGGGATCGAGATCAATCTGCACCAGCTGAACAGAGTCGAGGTTGCAAAAGATGGCAAGACAGTTACTATCGGCGGCGGAACCAAGTCCAAGGCTGTCACCGATAAGCTTTGGGCAGCTGGCAAGCAGACAGGCAAGTCGCCCCTCATTAGTACCATGGTCCATAGACATAGACATATTCAAATGAAAGCAGCTCCAAATGTCCACTAACCGTGGATACAGTCACCGGAACCTGTGAATGCGTCGGCTTCATGGGACCGGCCCTGGGAGGGGGCCATGGATGGCTGCAGGGACACCATGGATTGGTCGCAGATCAGTTCGTCTCCATGAATATCGTTCTGGCCGATGGCACCTTGAAGACCATCGACGCATCCTCCGATCTCTGGTGGGCAATCAACGGCGCAGGCCACAATTTCGGCATCGTCACCTCGGTCACCACCAAGATTTACGACATCGAGCACCGCGACTGGGCGATCGAGACTCTCACCTTCGCCGGCGATAAGGTTGAGGCCGTCTACCAAGCTGCCAACGACCATCTCCTGAAGAATGGCACCCAGCCCGAGGGACTCATCAATTGGTCCTACTGGATGAACAACCCGGACGCGGACCCAAACAATGTAAGTCCGTCCATCCATGCATCCCGTGGACTTCGTCTGACTTTGGTATAGCCCGTCATCGTCTTCTACATCATCCAGGAAGGCGTCAAAACCGTCGATACGGCGTATACCAAGCCGTTCCACGATCTCGGACCGCTGTCCATCGACCCCCAGTCCGGAAGCTACACTGATCTGGCTGAATGGACCGGGATCGCCACCACCTCCCCCCCATGCCAGAAGGCTGGACTCGTCAACCCCCGTTTCCCCAACTACCTTGAAGCGTACAACCCCGCCGCCCAGAAGAAGGCATACAGCGTCTTCGCCGACGCCACCCGCGGAGACTCGGTCTTCAGCCGCTCACTCTTCATGTTCGAGGGCTACTCCATGGAGGGAGTCAAGGCCATCGACAGCAAGTCGGCTGCGTTTGCCTTCCGCAGCGAGAACATCCTCTCCGCACCCCTCATCACCTACAAGCCTGCCGGTCCGGAACTCGACCAGAAGGCCGCCCAACTGGGCAACCAGCTGCGTCAGATCCTGCTCGAGGCCAGTGGCCGCCCGGAGGTGCGCGCATACGTCAACTATGCCTATGGAGACGAGACGCCTCGGGAGTGGTACGGCAGTGAGCAGTGGCGCCAGGACCGTCTCCAGGCGCTGAAGAAGAAGTACGACCCGCGGGGCAAGTTCAGCTTTTTCGCCCCAGTTGCCTAGAGGACGAGCAGGTTGTGTAATTTGTACATACTTATTATTATAATTTGAACCAGACTCCACCGTGGATCTGGCGGTGTAACCTAAGATTACTTCGATTCCATTCTGTCGAGAGAACTATAGAACCGCTACAAGAATTTATAATACGCTTTTCCCAGCAATTCTCTCGAGTAACGACGTAGCTCTTGCATGCTTGACCTCAGTTTGGACTATACTATATGCAGGAGGAGACATGTCATGCAGAAGCAGTCAAGAATCCAGATCGACGCGGAGCGGAGCCAAGAAAAAGTTAAAATTGTGGTCCAACACCTCGGGTCGAACGGACACTCAAAAAAAAAAAAAAAAAATAATAATATGGAACTAACCCAACGCGAGAGACCCATGGAAATTGTCAAGGAAGCTGGCGTACCGAATGTAACATTAACCCGCCGCCCCTGGAGATAAACAACCCCTAGAAAAGAGGTCTCGGACGATGTCTTGAGCTGGGAATCCTTGACGGCGAAATTGTCCTGCAGGGAGGAGCACGCTAATAGCAACACATGTTTTAGATAGTCCCATATTTAGGTACTGCATTGCAAACTGACCGTTAGCGAGCGTCTATCTCCAACTTGTTCCAACTCCTAGCCAGTAAATTTTAAATTTTTGATTCACGTGAGAAGAAGGGTTTTCCTCTCCTACTCTCCTAGCACCACCAGAACATATCGACCGAGGCAAACTCCTCTGGCATTCACTCCGACTCCGCATCCGACTACCAGGAGCTCTAGGCTAGAGGACAGGGCAGTTCGTCCATCCCAACTGCCGGCTGAGAGGTCCGAGGGATCAGGGGCTGTTGAAGGACCAGTGGGTCTTAGGCATCAGCATCTTTGGTACTGGTCCTGTGGATAAACCAATCACCGATTCAACCAGTTCGCCTAAGTTAAAAAGTTAGCCCCCACTCGCCCTACCAGTTCTTGGTAGTCTACAGGAATGTACATGTCCGCGAACCGTTATGTAATTTCACTTGGTTGATTCTACTCTGCACCGACATCTTTTGCTCCAGCATGGACCTGGATAACAGACAAATGGTATTATAAACTAGTGGTTGATCTTATTTAATTACCGTGTGATCCACGCACTTCGCTGCTGTCTTGAGGCTTCGTAGTTGATGCATTCCTGCCATGCCGAAGATGTTTCCTGATAAGCGGATTGGAGACAGTTTTCCACGGAATTCCTAAATCCGAGCCTGTCTCATGCTGCATACGGATCCGTTGCTCTCTAGCAATACCCTGGTATAGTTTTCTAAACCATATCTATAATAGAACTCTTACCTCCTAAAGACGGTCCCTGGAATAGTATATTTCGAAGTTCAAAGACGCTTGACGCAGAGGGATTAATCCAGAGCGCATTGCAACGGAGTGGTACAGGATATTCCTAAACCTTCGAGGGGTGTATGCCCAGCTGACGTCTACTCTCAGTGTTATATGCAAGATCATTTTGGTAATGAACTAGACGGAGACAGGAACCATATAAGTATGGATAAAGAGATAGTGCTTCGAAATTTCAAGCCTGACTAGTCTATTATATAGGCAAAACCCTAGGTTCTAGTTAAAGAAAGACCAGCTGATCCATACTAAGACCCAGTATATATGGTAGACTAATTCTAGAAAGCAAGACATATATTTGGCCAGTAGTGCCCTTAGAAGTATTTCCAATCCAAATCCGCACTCCCCGACCACTGCTGTCTCCGGTAACTGGAGATGCTTAGTTTGTGTGGACAAATATGTGTGGGTAAACAAGATCGAAAGGCTGTTTAGATGTTATATAAATGGAGGTTTTTCATCACGTTCCCTCTTCCTGACAATCTCATGAAGCTAGACGCTGATTGCAGTCGTCCATGCTTAGGACATCGAGAGCATATGTGCAAACTTTCAGAGGGCTTCATGCCTCGATTCAGCCTATTACTCTTGTGAAATGATAATTTATTTCAGCTGATCCTCCTCTTCGTCGATCATTTCCCCCAGTAACCCGGTAGCCTGTTTTATTCTTGAAATTGAATTGGAATTCATGTTCCACGAGCTTTCCTTTCCTACATATGGTTTCCATGATCCTGCTTACATGTTGTTCGTTGCAGGGCGCTAGTATTTCCCACAGCTCGTGGCCGATATACAGCATCTGGGATGGTCAAAATAAAATGGTTCTAAGTTCGATTATGGCTAATATATCAAAGTAGCATCACCTACAGTCGTGGTAATGAACAGTTGCTGCATACGCCATCCACCATGCTGCAGCTTGCATCGTGGTCTTGACGGTCCCGACCTCGTCTTACGCATAGGCAAAAGTGATATTAGCAACAGCCGCAGCGGCCCTTGCTTCCAAGGCGATGGCAAACGAGGCTATTAGGTCTGCCAGTCCGTTTACTACCGGGGGAGTTACACTGCAGAATCTCTAGACATTCCTTCTAGCAAACGTAGCCAGTGCCTCCATCGACAACTCCCAGCGAAGCGATGGAAAGTAGACAGATAGCTTGAGCCCCTGCGTGGGGAAACCGGACTCAGACGTCAGATGGCTCCATGTTGCGTCCACAATGCATGCTGCATCTGACAGCAGGCATTGAACATGGTGGTGATAGTATCAGCCGTGTTGAAACTGCTCCCCCATTGCCCGTTCCGAAACCCACACTCCTTGGTAGTAACCATACCTCGATAAATTTCCCCCGAACTGCAGTCAAATGTGCTTTGGCAGACCCCATTTGTGAGGACTCCCCAGGTGAGTACTGGTACTCCTCGGGTCTGCGCGACATTGCTCCAGGAGTGTTTCTTGTCAGAGGTCATATTGCCTCGATAATGAACGTCTTCACCTAGAACTTTAGAGATAGTGTCAGCTCCATAAACCGATCGCACCCCCTCTGCGTGGCAACTGTGACCATGTTATGGCCCGCGCTTCGCCACATGTGTAATCGAACCGAACATGGACTGTAGATCTGATACGGTGTCAGATTCTGCAGACTGATGTGCTTACTCGTCGTCTCAGCATCAGCTGCAAACTGGACTGCAGATGGGGCATCTGTTGCGCTCAACAAACTGCTTCTCGGGGACTTGGGAAGAAGAAACCAGGTACTCGAGACATGGCCTCGTTCAGGATGTGGGACAGGACCACAAGGGTAGCTTCGCTGGTCGCCAACGGAGCGTAGAATGTCCCAGACGTGTTATCTAAACCTTCAACTCGGAGAGGCCCTGCGATGCCTATGGGGACGCGAGCAAATCAAATGCAGTTCTCGATTTGTATTCCATCTGTTTATTCTTGGAGCTTTTTACATGCTTGAGTCTCTGCAAAAACTGTAAATTCATAATTCAGGATATCATCAAGAATTGCCGGCTTATGTTGCCTTCGCGGAAGATTTTGGCTGTGGAAGTGAGAGAGATTTCTTTTTCCTTGCCTATCTTCATTTCGTTCCATATAGAGTAGCATGCTATATATGACCCGGGTACGGTTCGGACTATAGTGCTTTTTTTTTACTCCGCTGTACACGTAAATAGCTTGCTTATTACGGAAATATACTCTCAATAGTGACGCAGGAAAGCCTGAATATGCTATCCCTAAATAGTGGGTAAGAGTGCAAGATATATAGGCAGTGTTGTGCTTGTTGCATCCCATCTCCACAGTTTACATAATGCCCAGCAAGATAAGGTGAGTACCACAATTCCGCAAAGGAATTTAGACCAGGTATGGTGGTTCACAGGAGTCCAGGAGCATCCTAGTAAACTAATTGCCGGTTGATACACGTAAATGTAGTGGCCGTGTAAGCGTCGAATGAACCAATGGAGCAGCACGTTGACTCCTTCGGCTGTACAACGTTTTCTCTCAGCAGGGAAACATTTTGTGGTCATCCCCCCAGATCATGGTCGTTTAATGGGATTGAAATCCGAAGGTGCATGATAAGACTTGGAGGCAATATAAGGAGGCATAAGCCTACCATCCCATAGTGATTACCAATAGAACATGGGGTAAAAGAGTTCCTCAGGATTAAAGATCAATGTCTTAACGAAAGATGATATACGTAACTTACAAAGTGGATGCTTAGTAAAGAGAGAGAAATTGCACGAAAAATACATAATTAGATCATGAGCATATATAATTAAAAAGAACCGAATAAATAAACAAGGCCGGGTCTCCGCCAAAACTGAGTTGTAATGCAAGGTAACAAATGAGGGCTTGTATAACAGACATTGAAACCCTACACCCAATCCCTTATATCATCATACTTCCAAGTCCGTTCTAGGGTGTGGCCTCCCACAGCAACATGTCATAACCATAAAGTTCGTGGCAGCCCTTTGCATTAACCCTTCTTATATTGGTATTTTTCAGATGACTAGATCAGAGCAAAGCAATAGCGCCCATCGCAAGCCCCGCTACAGCCATCAGTGAGGTATCGAGGGAAATACCCTCGTTTTTATTAGGGGTGGGCGTTGGCTGGGAAGTAGAATCGCTTGCGTTTGCCGTGTTCTTGCTGGCTGATTCGGACTTCGCCGATCGACTAGGAGCTGGCGTAGTCGAGGGAGTGGTTGAGGGAGTAGTTGAGGCAGTGGTTTTGCTTCCATCAGTTACGGTCGTAGATTGTCCTCCCTTATTGGGCTGAGCTCCGGTGGAAGGAGCGGTGGTTTTCTCAGTCATACCAGCTTCCGTCGTAGACTCCGCGGAGACAGTTGCAGTGGTCTCAGAGGCCGCAGTCGAGGGCTTCCAGCAGGGGAGATAAGAGGGCGTCGTCGCGCGAACTTCGGTGCCTTTGTAGCCAGGGCACCCGGGCACATCGGTCCTGGGAGGCGCCCGGCCTCCGCCACAGTCCAGCGGATCGCAGATTTCCCCGGTATTGGGGTCGAACCAGTGAACAATTTTATCATCACAGGTCGTGAAGCTGTGGGTAGAACAGCCGGCGAAGACGGTGTTCGCCAGCATCAGCATTGGCAGGGTGGAGAAAAGCGCGGACTTGAGCATTTTGACGACCGATGAACTGGAGGCCCTGTGGAACTGTCTGATAGAGTCGAAGGTCGGAGTCGAGAAGGAGAGGACTGAAAGTTATAGACGACGGCAGAGCCTCACCATTTCTGACCCCCACGAGTCAGAATATTTGGGTAGGATTTGGTGGAAATTGCCTTGGGGGCTGTCTTCCTGAAAGAGAATAGTTGACGCCGCATAACTCTCCGGGTAAGCAGTACCATGGTATAGTTGGATTAGCTGTTGGGATGGTGTCGAACCTGACTGCTTAGCGGAGTTTAGCGGGCAAACTAGTGGTTATCTGTTCTAGATAGGTGTTAGAATAAATCTAGTCCACACTTATTGGGGTATAATGTGAAATGAACAAGCGAAGTGACAGATCCTGAAGAAGGGGGGCCAACACACAATAATCAACAACGCAGCAATTAATCAAGCTCTCATCGAATTACACATATAATTCTAACCCTAGGACAGGAGTAAGCGCACTAACAAGGCGAACTCTGTTTGCCTGTGCGTGGATTTCACCCCTTCAGGACTGCCCTACATCACCAGTCGCAGGATAACATCCTACACGGCTTCTCTACGGCCTGACTTATTCCCGACCATCGCAAATCCTGGAGTAGGCTGTACTCCGTAGTTCCTCGAATCACCCATTTATTCATACAACCAGTTCTACTCGGTTACTAACCACTAGCTTCAGCTCGTGGGGCCACGCGCCGCTCGATGACTGGGTATGTTCTTATATCTGTTACGTTATAGTCCCTCCAAAGCTGCCCGGTACCGCTCAGAGGTTAGTGTGATTGCAATCCTCATGAAGGATTCAATCACTTTTGGCCCTCTACGAATCCCTCTCGACGCCCAATAACGGCTCTTATGTCCAGGGAATATTATGACCGGTCTCGTGTGTCCAATGCGCTTTTCGTCCTAGATCTCCGTTGGAGATGCAACCTCACATCATGCCTGCGATGGAGTTACCACCCATGAAAGTAGGAGGCCGCATCGAAAGACAAGGACGGTTGCACCAGCTGCAAGAAGCGCCGAATCAAGGTACAGCCATCCTCCGGTATACAAGGATGGGGAGACTTGTGTTTTAATTGCCTACGACGCGGCTACAGATGTGAATATCTGTCTGGCCCCGAGAATGCCTTGCACAGGACGAATTCCAACCTCCAGAGCAATTCTTCCGACGCTGTCCCTCCATTCCTCGAGCTCCGCCAACGAGCTTTCCGAGCTTCCCATGGGAGAACTGAAGCTCCTCCACATCACTTTACGACATTGCGGTCGTTAACGCTAGCAATACCCCATCTCTCTCCAGAGAACTGCCATGCATTATACGTTTGCTCCAAGCTCATCTATATTTTCGTCTATTTCATCCGCGTCCTCCCTCAACCCCTCCCAGCGCCTGATGACGAGGTCACATCGTGGTTGGCCCTCCTGCGTGGTATCAAAACAATCGCCCATCTATGGGGTAAGGCATTGAAATCTGGAATCCTAGGCCTGATGCTTGTTCCCACCTGTCGCACTTCCCTGGATAGGGTGATCCAGGACTCTTTGGGAGCCCTTGCCGCCCACATCTGGAGCTCTCAAGCCGACAACGAAGCCTACTGCACACATACCTTGCTGTGATCGAGGAGATTCGCTAGTAGACATCCGGCATAGACGGGAAATAGAGCCCAATACGCTAGCCATCTTTACTCATTTCGCTCTCCTCGAAAAATTGGAAACTGCCTACTGGCTGCAGGGTTAGACGGAGCGACTACTCGGTGCTGTATATCGCTCGCTGGACGAAAGACACGAGGTCTGGATCCGCTCGGTGTTAGAAGAGATGGACATCGTCCGATGAAATACATTTCAAGTAGTTTTCTTCGTGACTCGGCGGGTTGGTTCATAAGGCGCACTAGGTCCTACAGATAGGATACCTGGAGTATCAGTTAATCTACGAGTTGCTCAGTTGTTTGACATGTCCTCAGCTGTATTAATTAGCCAAGCAATTTCATAGTACGTAATGCAACTCAGAGAGAAGAGATGGCCAACACTTTCGGCATCGAAAGCTATCAGTGAGATCCTCGCCACAGGAACATACTACTTAAAACCCTGCAGTCCTTACTTTGGTGGATTCTGTTTCTCCTTTGCATCCTCACCCTCAACCCATTCTGACATCCTGTTTCCCAGTCATCATTCACAGATATCCGGATCACTCTGCTGGTATTCTTGAAGATTAAATAAGTCATAAACTACTTCATCGCTATGTATTATAGAAGATTCTTCAATGTCTCTATCCCCATGTGCACCTCCATTGCAAGGACGCGCAAGCTAGCAGCACTCGTATAATTTGTCTGCTGCTGCAACGGAGAGGCGGCTCTATTGTGAGCACAGCTAGGCCAGCTCATCCAAATCTCCAGTATGACCATTCTCCTGCAATGGCTCAAACCCTGATCAGGTGCATATCCGAAAAGCTGTTGGATTGTATAATCCCGTCAATCATTCTATAGCGGCGACCAATGCATCCATAGCAGAACTATGAGTCGACGCGTCGACTTTTCCGATAGGACCAGCCCAGTTCACGCCCAGCTGGTTTGCATCATTGCGATCATTCGCCCAGATGCTATTTGCAGACGCAGTGATGACCTTCTCGTATTTATCGTCCGGCGCTACCGAGTGCAACTGTCCCAGGTTCCGCACAAAGATCCCCTTGAACTGTGTGGCATTAGCATCACAGCTGTCGGGCTCACAGGATTCACGGATGACGTTGTTTTCATCTGCTAACACGTCAATTGCAGCTTTGGCGATCTCTGCGGCGGAATCCAGGTACGATGAGTCGGAAGTTGCTTGATGTAGCTCCACGAGAGCCCCAAGCACTACACCTTGATTATAGGACCATCTGCCCCATGGTCGGTTAACGTGCGGATTCAAACTATCAGGGTCGTTGCAGGCTAGGCTCACATTGTTCCCCCATTGTTAGCACAGGCATCTGTCAGGCCGTCATTGATGGTGCTATTGTCATTGATCATGCCACTGTCCCGAAACCACTGCCACTGACGCTGAGCGAGGTCTCGGTATTGGTCGCCGCCGGAAACCCGGTTGGCGAGATGAGCCGCAACGGACAGGAAAAGCTCGTTCGAAATTGCGTTGACATAAGCATGGTTGTAGTCCCAGTAGATGCCCCCCTGGCCACATTTGGAGGGTCCGGTTTGGTTCTGTCCGATTAGCCACGCAGTCGGTCATCGAGAACACGAGCGCATCCTCACCAGATTGTCGAAAATCCCAACCGCCAGATCGAGATAGTTACCGTTATCCGTGAGATCGTATGCCGCAATCCAGGCCAGGGCCCACCATGCATCGTCATCGTACGAACCATCCAGCCATGGCGTTGCCTTGACAGCGATCGAGGGAGCGTCGTTCGAATTTGCATAATATGTGCTTCTCCCCCGGTCTGGGATGGGGTTGGACCGGGGCGCGACCGCGAATGTATTCTCGAGGACCCCACGGGTAGCCTGGTCCACCGATTCATCGAGCATCGCCAGATCCGTCAGCACCGTCATACAATTGGCTCCATTCCACCACCCACAGGTATCCCAGATGCCACTTGTGCCGTTGTACCATGTCTGCAGCACGCCCAAGGCGATTTCTGCTCGCGACTTCGGATTTTGCGCAGCGGTGCCTAGGACGTACAGCACGAGTATAAACGATAGCGGGATGGGTGACATCGTGGATGACAGCCGCGAAGAAATGCAAGGGCGCGCCCATGGTGGAATCATCCCCCGGTTTTGTATCCATTAATTGCGGCATCGACTTTTGCTGTATTGGGGCAGGGCAGAAATGCAGTCACTTGGGCAACCAGGGGTACACTTGTGCTGCAGAATTCTAGAATTCCGGCAGGGAAATTCCCTGGTGGGAGGCATCCACTGTATACATCAGTTATGGAAATCGACTGGTGATCTGCCGCCATCTTCGCAACCCGAAAACATGGATCAGTATGTCGTTCTACCCCTTGCCCTGACGAGTTCCACTGGAACGCGCAAGGGGCGGCCAGCTAACCTTGGATCGGCGGCCCTGTCTTTCCACTGCCACCGACTTTTGCGATCTGTCATTCTTAGGTCGGCGGTTTGAATGAAGGTGGAGAGTATATTGCGGAAGAAATATGTAGGAGACCACCAATATCGCAAATCAGGAATGATAGGGAGCATTAGCAAGGCACAATCATCACACTGTGCCAAGAAGGGAAAGGGGGTTCAAAATACGTCACTTCGGATGAACTCTAAGGCGTCAGAATTTTGAGGGTTCCGTGCCATTGTCCGACCTCGTGTGGTACGTGGCAGAAAGCCAATCGAATACTGGATTATACTTCACGGTATTTGTTGGGTATCCAATTTTATGTTCCTTTTTTTTTTTTTTTCTATTTAATATTTTTTGTTCTTTTGTGGTCTCTCCCCTGCTGCTTGGACCGACAGGTCAATTGATGATCTGTCTACTCGCGCCAAACTGGGAATGTCAGGGGCCACTCTGCATAAAGCCCCATAACTAGTTAGATCGATCAGTAATATCCGATTGTCGATGTCGTCACAGCACATATTGAATGCATAAAGCCCTAGCATTATCCCATTCACATGATCATCAGTTGCATATTTCATCGTAGGAATGCTCCTTCAGCGTTCTAGTTGAGGGATGCGATAGTTGCCCCCAGTCCGACCCCCAAGAAATGTGGCAGTCATATCCAGCCTTGTGTAACTGATAAGATGTATAGTGTGACAAGGTTGAATGACGATGGAGCGTCATGATATCCCTAGCTCTTTATCGCAGTCATACTACCTCCATGGCAGTTGAGGCGACCTTCATCTCAGATTAGGAGAGCCGTTGGGTTTTGCGGGTTCTGGGACCATGAGGATTTATATCAGCCCTGCAGGCAACCCATCAAATTTTCTGGATACAGATTTCATTTCAATCTCTAAACGGTTGAAAAAGCGCTCAAGCCGCTTCTTACCTCAACGTTGGAAGACCACCTCTTACTATATAAAAGCGCCTGAAGAAACCCACCGAGATTAAACAACGCAATTGGGAATTAATAACCAAGGTACTTTGGCGCTCGCGTATAATCCAGTTAACTATTACGCAGCAAGCATATACACGTACCATGAGCTTCAGATTATTGCACTTATCTATGGATTGCCCTTCCATCCCATCCCAACGTCACCATAGTAGTGAACTGGTGATGAAGTTAATAGATATCACATACACGTCATTAGAATTGTCCAATTTTTCATCGATAGAAGAACATGTAGGCCGTGGGACTCATTAAACAACATGCTGCATACGTAGGTCAGTCTATTTTACTGTTCGCGCGGACCCCATCTGAGTCGGGTGTCTGCGAGTGGAAATATCTCGACTATCGAGCTATTGCAGTGAGAAAAACAACTTTTGTACTAAAATTAGGAATGTCGTGCGCGTTGAGGACATGACTATAACATCAACTTGAACGGATGTGGAGATAATTCTACGATCATTAGAAGAAATTATCATTAACCGTCCGACACAGCTCTACCTAAGGCCCCAAACCCCGTTCACCGGAGTTCCAAAAGAGCGCAGTTTTGGAAGGTAAATGGGAATACCGAGACCCGTATGGATTAGGGTATATGAAGATAGGCAAATAATATGCAGAGAAACAAATATTACACCCACAGCGTGTTAGAGACATAGCCACATGTCTTTTTCGCTTGTGACTGATTGGGACTCTCTCTCGAACAAGGGCAAGGTACTTGGCGCGTTGAACGTTGTGCTGGATTGACGGTCATCCAGCTGGTCAACATTCTCAATTATATGGTCTCCGTCATATATTTTCAAAGGTTCTTCCTCCATATCTGTTGTATATCCAGACATGCATGGGATTCTATGCCTGAATCCCTACCTCCCGCCAGCCGGTGCGGATTGTATGGGGCTTTAAAGCTTGCTTCCGGATGTTATTAACATCATATAGGAATTCTAATTTGCCATATTGCTTGCCATTTATACGGGAAACAGCGTTAACTGCAGCGGCATGGCAAATTGGACTCATGGTTATCCATAAGAAGAAGGCGATATCTCTCTTTTTGTCGACAGCATCCTGCCAGACAGTATGCTGGTTAAAATAATAAATCCAAAGATATGTACAATTTCATTATTTGTATAGCCTGATTCAAAGGTTTCAAGAATATAATCATCTGGAAGATTTGTTAGTGTATACCAATCCTCTAGCTGGACCTTGCCTGGCATGATCAACAACAGTGGAATTAAGTTACCGGTAGAACTGACACACTCAATTGCGCTTACCAGTATCCGCAATGACGCGCTTGCAATAGCGTTATTGCGCTTTAGATACTTAGTAATAACTAATTCAATGCGTCCCTGGCCAACACGGAAGCCAGTTTTATCAAAATTCCAGATATCTTTATTTTTAATATTAAACGCCTCAATTTGGTGCTGCAACTGATTGTACCACTGCAAAATATCTTTAATATTCTCTGCCTCGCGTCGATCCATCTCAATTACATGCCGCTTCCCTTTAGTATACTATGGATTTCCGTCGTAGGAAGCGATATCCCCAGTTTTTAGAGACTCTTAGTGGTGATTTTAAAGGATCGGTATGGCCTTGTTTAAGAATTATATTAGCAGCATTTTAAGCACCACTAATACTTAACGGAGCGCCTATGTCATCAAACCAATCAATATGATTATACAAAGCATCAAACTGAGCAGGCTCAAGAGGTTGCTGAGTCGGTTTCTGCGTTGATTTGCTTGCTCTACCACCGATTCGAGAACGAAGGCGATGATAGGATACACCATATTGACGCGCAATTTCTGACATATTAACGCGCGAAATTTCGCGTTTTTTTATTGTATTCATGTACGGACTTCTGGATAATATTCTCCTCTACTTTATATGTTGATTTCATAATTGTGGTGGTGGGAATAGCTTCAAAAGTAGTAAAAAATCGATTTTTGCGTTGAAGTGTGTTTTGCGTTGTGTAGCCGACCCCCTACTGCAAAAAGTGGGGGGGAGGCGGTGCGACGCGTACCTAGAGGTCATACATGGTCTTAAGCTCTTACAGGATCTCATTGTCGAATTGCGATAAGTACCGGACCCAGATAGTCATCTTGTTTAATTTCGACTTGGAACGGATACGCAAACTAGGATATACTTGTATCAACCTCGCGGCGCAAAAAAAAAAAAAGGGGAGAGGAGGCAGGAAATAATAGCTAGCTACTTGGGACAGTGCTAAAAGCTCTGCTTCAGTAGAAGTAGTCACAGTGGCCAGCTTATTCGCTCTCCATCCGATTATTCCTCCAAATAACTGCATTATATACCCTAGCGAGCTCTTCCAATCCTCCATGTTGTCCGCAAACGGGGCATCACTATATAGGATGAAGTTGCCACCCCCCAGTTGCAAAGCAAGGTCTTTGGGTCAAGGTATAAAAGGACTCGGTCAGCCGCAGTGTGGTGTTCAGGGCTCGGATTGATAAGAAACCGGGATAGTCTAGATACTGGAAAGGCTATATCTGGTCGTGCGGCAACCGCTACATACATTGAGGACCCAATTTTTCGTTGATATCTTTGTATGCTTTGGTGTGTGGCTTGTCCGGTGTAGATAAGGAGCTCATCTCTGGGTATTGGGGTAGAGGTTTTTGAATCGACTAGCGCATAGGACAACCAAACCCTTACAACAGCTCCTATATAAGTCGCCATCAGCAGCAGTCATCGCTAACAGTGAGAGGGAAATGATCGTGACTCTTGGAGGTATATTTTTATATCAAAAAGTTTATTCCTATTCTTTATTTAAAGCATTGAAAAGCACAAATCAGGCCTTTTATATACTTCTGTGAGATCCATGTCGAGTCTTATTCTCGCTGGGCCCCGAACTAGGGCTGCATCTATATAGGGGGATTCTTACCGCTAGTGTACCTTTTACTAATATAGAATTGTCCATCTAAGTTACCAATAAATTACCAGTTGAGGCCATCTGTTTTATCCCCTCTTACACATGGAAATATCGTTAAAGTGGAGGCATGTCGCAGGCTTATTTTACCCGAAAATACACTGACGAGAGTAGGAATTAATGACGGTACTCCTCGCCTTCGTAGAAGCGATATTATCTATTCTTGGCCCTAGATCTTTTCTGAATTTCTAAGAACGATCCGCAACAGTTAGAATAAATTGAGATGCACATACAAGGTCCTGTAATAGTTCTAAATTTTAGTTACAACTTCACATCGGACGAGCTTGCTTGTAATTTCGCATAGCCAGGCTTGGCTTTTAGATCTACAAGTACATGACAACAATATACCTTACGATCTGCTAAACTCTATAATCCACACGAGGTCAAAAAACATTAGTTATAATTATTAACAACTGGATAGATAAAGGCCTATAAAGTTGCTGCTGTCCACCTATAGTTTGTGTATTCCCTTTTATTTTGTCTTGCTTTAATAAATAGCACTCTTTTTATTACTTCTATCCAGTCAACATACACCCCCCTTTTTTTTTTTATTTTTTTTGTTATTTTTTGCATTTTGTGATTCTGTATATATACAATGTGCAGCTTCCTTGCACTCTTTACACTGCTGGGGTAGGAGGCAGCTGGCCTGACAATTTCTATAAATTACAGTAGCCATGTTCCAAGTTCCTCTCTAGTATTTCCAGCCTCTCGCTCTCGGCCTTCCAGCCATGCTATTTATCATGGGGTTAAACCCAGCTCCCGAATCATAGGGAACAATGTGACAATCCCTGCTAGTAGCACCAATATCACTTTATAAACGGGAAGTCACTCACTCGTTCCATCTTCAAGACACAGCACCCCAACTACAGATGTCTCAACATCTAGAAAAAGCTCGTCTCAATCGAATAAAGATGATGCTACTACTAATCTTTCGAGCCCTCAAAGCTATCCGCTCATTCCTCCATCAACTACTGTTGTGGCATTCATCGATACTGCTATCTGCTAGTCATTCGACCAGCGAATTGACTGGTACCACTGAACCTAAACATGGAGCAACATCCTTTACAGTGAGAAAGCCACGAACAAAGTCTATCCCGTCTTCTCCGTCTGGGCCTGTAGTGTCTGATCTAAAACCAGTGTCCACCGCCTAAACCTTCTGCTGCCACAGCATCCAATTCAGTATCAACAACGACGCTACCCAAGTCTAAGGTTATATCAACATTGCCGCTTTAAACCTTCACAGATGTCTCAAAAGGTTTTCAGGATATCAGAATCTCATCTTTCAACTCTAAAAATACCTTGTTAACAACAGCAGAGGACAGCCATCAGCCAATTGTCCCTGTTATTGGCGGCATGGCACTGTGTGGAATTAGCAAAGGCACATATATTAATCTCCCAGGAGTTCCAGGCAGTGTCCACATTCCTTGCCTGATTAACTGTAATGCTCCACCCTCGGGTGGTAGCGGAGGAAGAGCAGGAGCTAATAGCGAAGGAAACAACAATGACCACGACGATGATGATTTCACAAGGAGCATGTCAAAGACTACAAGAGGCCAGTCAGGGATCACAGTCGAGTCTCGAGCTACGACGCAGTCAACATAAACCAATTCATTCAGAGAAAAAGCAGTACTGTACATGGTGTAAGCTTCAAATTAAGAAGCAACCTGGCCAGAAACTACTACGGGCAAGACAGACTTATTTTATCTGCCAAATATGTAGTATATAGCTGTGTAAGCCAGGTGGTACTGATTGCTGGAAGGCCTTTCATCTACCAAGAAGTCCACTTGGAGAGAAAGATGTAAATAGCTTATAAACTAGTTTTTAACACTTAAATGGTATTTCATAAGGATTCAATCTGTATATAAGAAGAGGTGCGTGCACTGAAGATGAGGGACGTGCCAGAAATACAACCCATTGGCAGAAAAACTGCGCTAATAGACAGAAAACCTACGGGTTAGGGGATAGTTAATCCTGGTCGCTTTCAGCTGGTCGCTTTTAGTGAACAATTACTGCAGTATGGAAATTGGTAAGGCCCTCCAACATCGCTTTATTGGTGGCTCAGCATATCGGACCGAATACGTGCATTCGCCGCATAAATGTCGTCCGCTGCCTCGGCATCACCGAGTAGGGTCGGTGTCGGCACGGCATACTTCTCCCACGACTCCCAGTCAGGCTGAGAGTGGCAATAATCCACAGGCTCGATGCTTTGGTCAAAGTGGAAGAAATTAGTTGGATCCCAGTGGGACTTGATGCACCGGAGCTTTTGATAATTTGCGCCGTAATATGCCTCTTGCCAGTTTTCCAGCTTATTGTCAATATAATTGATGTACCCTGCTTTCCCCTGAACGGAGAACGGACGCAGCTTGTCTTTTGCCTCTTCAATAAGCTCAAAAATCTTAGTCGTTTGCTTCTTTTCTGTCTAATCTGCTTTTACTGAGCAGACATAGGCTCCATCCCTCCAAGGGAACGCTGTCGCTCCTGTTTCGAAATTGGTCGTGGCGCCGCCAATATGATCCCAGAGAATGTGGCTAGTGCATTTTTCGTGATTTGGCTCATAATTTCTCACGCGCTGCATCCATTTCGTCATGAGACTGGTCACATCAGACGTGATCCCATGTTCCGGGAAAATGAATGACGCGTGGTGATGATATAGTTTTGATCGCACACTAAACGCTATATCCTCGACTACCCAATTCCACCATTTCATTGGTTTCAAGGTGTTGTTTTTGTTTTCAACATACTTCAGTATTGGAGCAAGGTCTCTATCGCATGCTTCCTTCCGGCCATTGTAAATGATAGTCATTTCCGCATAAAGCTGGTTCTGTTTGTAGCGCCAAACAGCATCGGCACATACTTCTTCCGGCCAATGACCTTTATTCCAGACATCCATCATTTTATTAAAAGACTCCTCTTCCACCGGAATCTCCCAGCTAAGATTTCCACACACTACAGTGCCGTCGGGTTCTCGTAGGTGATGCAGTTTGGTTTTGAGCTTGGTTACAATGCCGAAATTACCACCCCCACCACCGCGAAGGGCCCAAAATAGTTTGGATTTGTCAGGGTTATCTTCATTATTCGTGACGGTCACTGACACCCCGTTCGCCGTGATAAGTGTCACCTCCACTAGATTATCAATACCCAGTCCATAACAGCGAGAGAAAGGGCTGAGACCACCGCCCATGGTAAATGCGCTGGCTCCTACAGTTGGACATTGGCCGCCGACCACGATGAGACTCGGATCCTTGTTATATAACTCATGGTAGACGTGTTTCCACTGTGCCCCGCCCCCTATCGTAATCTCCATAGCATCCTTGTCAACCTTGACCTTGTTCATGGACCGCATGTCTAGAACGATGCCATCCTGGTTCAGACAGTAAGCAGCGTTTGAATGCCCTCCGCTTTTCACAGACAGCGGCAAGTTATGTGCCTTCGCAAACTCCACTGTTACTCGAACATCTTCCTCATTTATTGCTTGGACTACAGCGGCAGGGCTTTTCATGCGGTAAAGAAGATTCCCAACAAACACAGCCTCCTCGTAGGCCCATGAATCACGCAGAAGGATCGAAGCTTTTGGTAGTTTTTCGAAAAGAATCGAAAAATCTCGACGACTGACTGCTCCCATTGCTACTGTCCGATGGAGGATAACTAATAATGAAATAATAAATTTCTAAGCTTATATTATACAAGTCTAATTAGAAAAGGTCTCTACTTTTTTTTCAATATTTGAGTCCTTTATGTAGCTTTATGGGTGGCAACTTTGTTTCCAAATAAATTAATCCAGACCATTTTCTTGCTTGTCATTTTTGAGCATGTGAGTTTGCATGTGAGTTTGCATGTGATAGAAGTTGACATTTGCCATTAGGTTTGGTTAAATTTCCTAAATAGGTAAACTTGGGATTCACTCACAACTACTTCCTGAGTTGGGTTGTTCGGGTCCTTGTCCTTTCGCTCTGGAATATCTTCCCTAGTAATCTTGTATGGAGCCGGAAACTCGCCTACTAGTTTGGGGTTCACGTATTTATACAAAGGATTGTGTCGAGACTTGACAATAGGATCCTTATTTTTAAAAAAAGTGTAGTTCGCACATTTGGCATTATACAAAGAATAGGCAGTCTAAGCCTGTTATAGTTAATATTGTGCTTAAAGGCGCCAGCAGTTAGTTAATAGGGGTTGATTAGTAAAACAAGCAAAGTCCCAGTATAAAAGGCGCTACTTGTCAGCTTCCTTCTTTAAGGTATCTTAACAGTTAACTAGAATACTTGTGCCGATCTATTTATACGCTGGAGGGTAGAGTGGGTACGACCTTTCACTGATTAGTGAAACCGGCTTGCGGCGCGAATGATCTGAACGAGGCATTAGCATCTGGTCCTTGGTAACTGTCCCTTTGAAAGGGTCTCTGGTTATAATGGGCCTTGGGGTTATTTCCTCTGCGGCGAGGTTCTGCCAAAGAAATTGCCGCCGCTCCAGTTCTTGCAGGAACTAGGTCTTAGTTATATCTGGTTGGAGTTGGGAAACATGCTGTTGAAGAACAGGATCAGGCGCATTCGACACCATATCAATCTGTTAAAAGGGCCGATAAATCTCAGCTGCCCGGCCCAGACATATAACTTCAGCAGCAAATGCTTGCGGAGTCTTTCCGGCGGAAACATCAGCGTAGGTATATCGAAGGGCCTGTACTTTTGTAAGAGCTTCAAGTGGATTAGGTTTAAACCGTTTAGCCAGATAATACAACCATCCGCGCCCATTACTACTACTATTCCTGTCCTGGTTAATAAGAGGTAGAATACACAAGGCGTCCTTTTCCAATTCGGCTAATTCGGAAATAAACCAAGCAAGGGCCGCGGAAAGCTTGCAGGTTAGCTCGAACTATTTCTTCCCCTTTAAAAGCGACAACGTCTTTAATACGGTCGACAAACATAATACAATCCTTGTAATAAACATGGTTGTCTGCGACAATCTCCAAATAATCCGGCTTGTGCATAAGGATATAAACCGACTCTAGACACGGCCTCGACACGTGGATATCTATAATCATTGGCTCAGGCAGGAAGCTCTAGAAGGAAGAATCCAAGTCGGCTACTCACCAACGAACAAGATACTAACAGATAGACTCTCCAAAGCGCCCCCACGGCAGAAATTCGAGCCGTTTGTGGATCAGCTAGGCCTTCGGAACATCTCTGGAATTAAAGAGACTAATGTAAACCACTAAACGGATACAACTGAATGTCAGATTTGACCCTGAATAGCTTCAAGATTGCTGAAAATAGAAGGAAAGAAAGGTTCGAATCTGAGGGGGTGTGTCAAATAATATGGCTGTTGGTGGACCGGAATTATGTGACTAGATCGGACCCCCCACGAAGCACACAACAAAAATAATGATCAAGCAGATAATCAAGTAGAGCCCAACCAGCTCAATTCATTCAGATAAAAACTTTTTACCAATCGTACTCTATTTCCTCTTCGGGACTAGCCGAATACCTGACAGTACTCAAACTTTTAGTTAAGCCATGGGTGCAAACGCCTGAGGTTACATTCGTAGCGTCGTCTATTAGTTGCAGAGGCCCATCAACCGTCTTCGAACACTCAGTTTTTGTCGAATATTTGCCACCATGTTCTTAGAGGCTCAAGGAGAACCAGGATATAAAAAGCGCGTGGATCCCTTCCTGGATTCTGTCTTAAAATTGTGTTTATTACTTGTCTATCCGCAGAGGTCGCAGAATCAAGTGGCTAAAATTCGACAACAGCAAGACTTCATTAACCAGTAACGTTATCTATATCTCTACCATGAGTCAGACAGATTTTCAACCTACAGGTGTCACCGTATACCAGCCTGGACATAAGGAGTATGAACTTTCTGTTGCGACTTCAAACCTTCTATACCGTTTTACGAGACCTCCTTGGGTTGTTAAACCAAAAACTACACAGGAGGTCGAGAAAATCATCACAGAAGCACAAAAAAACAACCTATCTATCGCCATCAAAAATGGCGGTCACTCTGGTGCAGGATTCTCCACCACTGAACAAGGTGTCTTGGTGGACCTTGTCAATATGAATAATGTCCAGCTTGATATGCAATCCAGGGAGCCAACGGCTACCATGGGAGGCGGCGCGAAATGGGGCCACGCATATAGAAAATTGGTCAACGGCCGACACGACGGATGGGTCATCAATGGTGGGCGGTGTCCCACTGTCGGAGTCAGCGGCTTTGTGTTGGGGGCTGGCCTCTGCCCGTTTGGAAGAAGCATAGGAATGGGATGCGACAGGGTGACGGAGATAACCATTGTCGTTCCCGGCAAGGGAGCGAGAGAGGCAGCCAAAACTCTTACTCTCAAGCGCGGTGACACGGACGCAAACAAAAGAGAGTTATTCTGGGCTCTCTGTGGTGCTGGTGGAGGTAATTTTGGCATCGTGACCGAGGTAAAGATGAATGTGGACAATCTGGGGAGCTTAACTGTTGTAGCTGGAAGATTTATATACCAGCCAAGACGAGAGGACATGGCTGACTTCATGGAAATGATGAACGAATTTTATACTGCCAAGTGGAGCAACGAGATGACGATTGATAGTAGCTGGTTGTGCGACCTTAACCAGACCAACAGCGAACTTGCGGTTCGGTTTATTGCCTACTATAAGGGCAACAAGGGCGATTTTGATAGGGAAATTGATGAGAAGCTGGTGATAGGGGCAGACGTGGGGAAATTGCTCAAACGGCGATCATCCGAAGAAAAATCCACACGTTTTCTTCATGAGACGCTTGTGTCTCAGTGGTCTGAGGAAACGATACAGTCCTTACCCTCTAGCAGGACCTACAGTATATACACATCCTTTGTGTTTAGCAATGACAACAAAGACCAGCAGATAAAGAAGATTACCTCGATCATCCGGAAGGAGATGAAAGCTTTTAGGACCCAGTTCACTGGAGAACAGGGACTGCTACAGGTTACATTCCTTCATTCTGGGGGAAAGGCAGCGGAGGGGCCATCTACCGCTACAGCGTACCCCTGGCGCAAGGGCGTTTATCATACATATATCACGATGCAGTGGGAGGACAAATGGTTGAAGAGGGATATGCAGGGCTTCCTGGCAAAGTTTAAGAAGAGGCTAAGGCCATATTCTCTGTGCAAGGAGGCTGTCTTCATCAATTTTGCTGATAGGGAACTAGAAGCAGATAAGTATGAAGCAGCATACTATGGTCTACATGTCGCAAGGTTGAAGGGAATCAAAAAGTATTGGGATCTGACGAACTTTTTCAAGTGGCAACAAGGCATTACGCTTCCAGAAGAGACATCACCCGATCAAACAATGGCCAGGAGTCTCAACGAGTTCGCGCGTATGGAGCCCAAGGTGAAGGAGGAAGTCTTAACACAAGCAGAAGAAGATCGGCAGTGGGATAAGGTTTCCCTTCCTCCAGCATCTGACTTCACAGGCGACATTCCCCTTCCCTGGGGTGTGACCATTGGGAGTGGAATTAAGTCACTGCATGACTTGGGATTTTAAAATTCAGGCACCTGTCCTATGAGATGGATGCCTCTTTCCTTATACTGTATATTAGAAGCATAGTGTAAATCAAGTTTTGACTCCTAACAACGCTGCTCAGAAGTTGATTCACGCTGATTCAACTGTAAGGGTGATAAGAGTCGTGCTATTTGGCAGAAAGGGGATGCCCCATTGCCGAAAACACCAAAAGACTAGGACTGGGCTAGTTGGTATCTATGTACTTGGCATCAGATTAGTAGTGGCCATGCGCATTTGCCCTTTCTATGCTACAGGGACGTGCATTAAAAGAGTATACTCTATTACAGTATTACTGGGTCTATCATATCATATAGTTTAAATTGGCTAGAGACCGTCCTCGGCGGCCATAGGCACGTACCGAGGGAGATAAACGCACACACGAACCTCAAAACAGATGGGTGACCAAGAGACCAAAGCGTAGGATAGGCTCCCTCACATACAAAGGTGTAGGGCTCTATCTTCCTCGATTCTAATCTGACGTGACTCAGGGGGGAAAGAAGGCAGTTAGCTTATCGAACAGCTTCACGCAACCAGTTGCCTAATATAGGGAACGATATATCATTGATATCCAATGCCAGGATAACTACCATACTTCCTTGGATAGTGGACTCGCTCACTTGCAAGAATATAGGAAAGGGGTTAAGTACTCAAGGGTGTGAACCACGCACATTAGGCAACCTAAGATGCAGATCATTACTTTATCAGAGACTATCCAACTTCCCAGAGGTTGTCAAATATCCATGCAGCAGGATCACCAAAGAAATATTGATCTAATGGTAAAACCGTAGAATCGAACTAATGTATATTAATAACGATTTTAAAGAGGGACACCAGGGGGAAGAGCTTCATCACGAACCTGAGGGAACCCTGCGTCAGCCAAAGACACTTCTGTCGCATCCATCAAATTATCACTTGCGAATTGAAGTTCAGACGTCGAAGTATTTCCCTGAAAGATAGGCTTAGCTTCTGCTTGGCTCAAATGTCAAAACGTGACGGATCATTTGAAGAAAGCTACCTTTCGGGATTGTGATGAATATAGCTTCTCCTTTGCGCGATGGAACTGCTCTTGAGACCCAAGCACTCGGTGATACTCTCGTACAACCTGGTTAATCGCGTCCTGCTTAGATGTGCTAGATTCTGTTGGTTGTAATCGAGATCGAAGAAAGGATATCGCAGCCGAAATATACCAATGATAAGTAAACCCAGTTCCAAGATAGGTAATACTGTCTTCCAACATGGAGATGGCATTTTCAAGATATTGGAATATTGCTTTATGGTCAACAGGGACACATACATCGGCTAGATGAATCTTTAACAAGACTCCTATCTGAGGAGGGAAACTGAGTAATTAGAAAAGCTTACCCTGGATGCCGGAGGAGAGATATGCATAATGAGAAAGATTCAACGCCCCCCTAAAGTAGTCATGCCTTAAAAGCAAAAGTAGAGAATTACCAGCCTGTACTAGTCGGCAATGCTGATCAATCATGCTGGCTGCTGCGTTGAGGCAGATCATTCTTGACAATGCATACCGCGAGTTTGTTTCGGCCTTTCTGGCGAAGGGAGCGTGGATCAAGACCAAAAACTGGCGGAGTTGTAGGTCCAGAACTGCCCTCGCCACTGGAGAAAGTTTTCGCTTATTAGAATTGTTGTTGTCCTCATTTGGTGGAGGGAGCTTTCTAAGTTCGCTCATGATTATATCTTCGTATCTGAGGATTTCCTCATATGACCAATCCACAGTTAGGTCATTCACCCGTGAATTTAACGATACACGTAAGTCGAGACTCTTCCTAGACAAACACAAGAATAAAGCTGTGGTACAGTCTCCAGAAAGTCTTTGTTCCCGAGTGGATTCAGGTTCGGGTCTCAGATCTTCATCATCGATATCAAGAGGAGGAGGGCAGTCCATTCGAATGGCTGCTAAGGCCGACGGCATTCCTCGTTCAATCGAAGCCTGTAGCTCTAACTCGGTCATTGTTGCCCACAGTCGCCGTCGAATCTCCTGGTCAAAAAAGGATATCTTCCCTCCCAGCCGGCTTGGGTCGCGATGAAAACCAGCCGCGATTCCCTCTCTCACCAATTCGCCTGCCACAGACCACATGCGCTTCTTCTTATAGCGACACGTCTGTTTTGCCAGCACAAGCAAACAGCGTATCTGCCATATCAACAAATAAATGTTCTTCATGCTCTGTTTACTTAGCCACGCCTCTGCGGTTTCAATCCATAGTGTTCCGCGTTCTCGACCGAGACTACTCGCGCCTATATAAGTTCGCTCAGTTGTTGACGTGCAACTGACAGCAGCCATCACCAATAGAATGAGAACAATGAACCCGGGCTTTGCAGCTCCCTGATTGCTCTGCAGCTGGTGATATTCCTCCAAGAAGGTCGGTCTATGCAGGATCCTGTACATTGTTTCGAATGTATCGAAATACAGGCGAATGGCCGCATCCATATCCTCCCGGTCCGGAAGCAAAAGCAACAAATCCTCCTCCTTTACAGGTAGGGTATTTGGTTTCTCATGTTTCCATTTCACGTCTAATGATTTTAACTCTTTCTGAACACCAGGCAGAGCAGGATGGTGCTTGATCGTCTCTTTCATGTACGACCGGAGCTCCGGAAACTGCGTTGCTTATGAGCCTTGAGTTGAGACAAAAGTGATGGCCAAGATGCCGCCTCCTAACAAGACTTACATGAGCGATTAAGCTGGTAGAATTTGTGCTTCCATAATATTGTGTCTTATAGTTCTCTCCGCGAAAGATCACAGCCTCTGTCGGGTTTGGCTCACAAGGATGTGCCAGTTCAGCCACGTCAGCTTTAATAGCTGGTAGCTGTCCATCTGCCGTGGCCCAGGAGGCGCTGTTGCCTAGCAGCTGCCAGGTTCCTACATTCTGTGTTGGCGCCACCACAATAGGTCTATTGTTATAATGATCAGTATCTGTAGTGCCTCCTACTGGGGCGGATAAGGTGGGGGTGTTCCCGAATAGCGGAGTAGGATCAAGCACGAATCGGGTTTGCCCTGACACGTCGGGCTCCGGTTTGTTGATGTTTGGTGACGCAGGTCTCTCCTCGTATGAGCAGGAATCACCCTTTCCGCATTTCTGACATCGACTGCAGGACGGATATTCACGGTCGCAAGCAAGCTTCCGTCGTCGGCAGAGAGTGCAAGACAAGGGTCTCCGCTTTCTCCGAGCGATCGGTCGAGCTTGTGACGTCAACTCGGACTTCTGATCATCGTTAGCCGGGGGCATGGTCCCTCTACCATAAAGATTCTTTCTGGTTTTCAGCTCGGACGGAATCTTATCAGATGATGGAGAAACAGATGGAGGCCCGAGGGACCTCGCGGGGGAAATAAATCACTCGGATTTAGACTCGGAGAAGTTGACGGACCTCGGAGATTAGCCTTATCTCGGCGATCAGTATTATCAATCAATGTCAATCATCTCTTAATGTGGAGACACCATGATACAAATAAACTTCCGTTTCGTTTTTATAACATTGTAGACTGGTGGATCTACGAATCATGTTGAATGCTGAATGCAATTGTAATAAGAATTCATGCAAATTAATATATTCTAGTTAGATCTTAGGTAAGCCCGGCTCGAAATCTGTCGGAGATAGGATTTCAATGCGCAGCGTCAACCTCTGACGGAGTGAGGGTCAGCTATCAGATATATAACCCCGTTCAGATCATTAATTAACTTGAACCTTTAAATCACCACAGTCACCAAGAAAGCCAAATACAGCAAAAGCTAATTCTAAACCATCAGAACTTAACACCACCCGGATATTTAGATAAACCACCGCAATGTCCGACAACATCATCTTCAGTATCGCTAAGGACGTGGATACCTACGCCGTCTCTCATTTGATTCCAACCGACCAAGCCCTGACCGATGCTATCTCCAACAGCTCCAAACATGGAGTGCCTCCAATTGCCGTCTCTCCTGCCCAGGGAAAGTTTCTTTCCATACTGACCAGAATGTTGGGTGCCCACAACGTGCTGGAGATCGGCACTTTGGGCGGCTACTCCAGCATTTGGTTCTCTCGTGCTCTTAAGGCCAATGGCAATAAGGGTAAAGTAACTAGTATCGAGATCCTCGAAGACAGACGGGAGCTTGCTTTGCAGAACCTGCGCAACGCCGAGGTACAAGTCCCGGAGGAAGCCGAGGTGTTGCATGGAGCAGCTTTGGAGGTGTTGCCCCAGCTAGAGGCAGAAATCCAGCAAGGGAAGAGACCGAAGTTTGATTTTGTGTTTATTGATGCAGACTGGGATAACCAGTGGAGCTACTTTGACTATGGTGTCCGACTATCCAAAGCTGGGAGCATCATTATAATAGACAATGCTGTCAAGACCATGCTGGACGACGGAATTGTGGGATCAGAGAAACGACAGGACCGAGCAACAGATGTGGTAGGAAATGTGGGTCAGGATAGTCGAGTGGAAGCTGTTCTTATGCAGACGTTAGGTACGAAGAGCCATGATGGGTTCTTGATGGCACTGGTGCTGTAATTCGGATTGCTGTGCATTCCTCAGAGATACTTGAGACTCCATGATTGTCGCGCTGGTGTTGATACAAAGTGCAGATTGGCCAGGGTGGCCGGACTTTTCGAGAGGCTGGGTAGTTAAGAGTAGAATACCAGTTATTAAGGGTGTCTATCTTAATGTTCTATACAGCATATGTTATGTGAATCAACAATTGTAGCTTTGCACTAAGTAGAACAAGCATACATTTCTTGACAACAGTGATAATAAGTCAGCCTTCTACAGCATGCGCTCTTGGATTAATCTCTGCTTCCGGTTTGACTTCTTTAAACCTTCGGCGGTCATCGCGAACGCTTTGCATCCATATATTTTTCGATGCGACTGCTGAGGCTTTCAGTCGTGGATTGCTATCCCATCTTGGGGTATGGAATCGGTCAAATAGTGTTTTCCAATTGGATTGATAACTTGACTAGAAAACGATACTATGCCTCTACAAACGCATGACAATGCCAAGTAAGTCGCCTCCCGTATGGCTGTGGCAAATATTCATTCGGCGGATCGTTTTCGAGCACGATAAACAACGATCTCTAACTTTTAAATGTCGGTCTTTGGCCTTTTGTGCTCCCTAGAAATGGCCCGCCTAATTGGATTTCCATCCGCTGCTTCAACGGGGTCGCAGCATCGACTCCAAATTTCAGAATCCGACAAACCCCGACCAAATACGACATGTTGGATGCATGTTGGCGTGAGCGCCATTTCGGTGCCCCAGGAGTATCTTATACACATTATTTGGCTGGGTCAGTATACCCCCACTCCTGTTATGCAGATCACCGATTTGGCATGGCTGTGGCAAGTTGGTGTAAGTGAGCTTCAGGAGACGAAATCTGGTATCAACTACTAGAGTATGTCGCAGGCTGCATAGATGAAAACCTTTCTGGTGAATCTGTCAGCCTTGAGTACAACGTCCTTAGACTAGCTCGTGCCACCATATACCAGAGGAAGGCACCCAGTGAATTGCCTAGGCCATTGCAGGTCAGACTATGGAACGAGTCTAACGTTGTAATCGGTATATTCTGTCTGACAATGGACACACAGTGATCCATTCCGAATAGAGGGACGGGGGCCTGATGCATGTAATTGGGAAATTTAGATACCTCGGTTAGTACATCACTGTCCGAGCCCTGGGATACATGTCCATCCAGGATATAGTACCTCTTAGGAATGTCAAATGGCAGACACCTGGGCCGTCATATTCTGCCACCAGGCGCTCTGTTGCCTTAGATCACCCTCGGCGTTCAGTAACAGCCGCCGTCACTTCTTGAGAAATCACGGTGCGGCCTCCCAGCTACGCCGATCCCATGGCGGCGGCCTCCCAGCGTAGCGCCCCCGCGCCGCGGCGGGGTGGGGAGCAGACAAGGCCCCCTTCGATAATATCCTTTTTGAAGTCGAGTGCATCGTGTAACATCGGCACTGTCGCGGCCAGCATGATGGCGTGTACCCTCAAACCGGGCCACGGCAGCAGGTCCAGAATAGGGCGATGTGGAAACAGCACTTGGGGAAGCGTGGCCTGTAAATGCGGGGGAATTGATGGGTGAGAGATGGCCTCCAGTAGAGCTTTAGGGCATTGGTCATGGTAGCGGGGCGATAAAAGGGAGAACAAAATAAGAAGCAGGAATAACTGAAAAACCCCTATGTTCCGATCCCAGACAGCGTGAGTTGTACAGACACGCCTGGAAAAGCGACATCTGCGCAAACTGGGGACTATTTTGATACAGGTTCGCCAGGGGTGGTGGCGCCACCTCTCCGGCAGCTTGCGCGATCAGTGCAGTATCTGATTCTATCGTGAGTTGCTCAGGATCCTTAATCTGGTCTGATAAGTGACTCCCGAGATGGAAGGAAGTGCAATGTTCATTAGATCGTTGATCAAGCCCCAAAACAGGTGAGACTTCTAGTGAGGCACAATCGGCGCCGTGGAGAAATCCCAGGTCTAAGAAGAAATCGGCATCCAATGAGGACCCCTATTAGCTGGCATAGCATGGAAAAGATCATTCGTGTCGACGGTTGGGGTCGGGTGAGCGAGGTCGCTGGACGGCTCTGTATTCAAATGGGATCTCCACCCTGACGTCTCATTACCAAGTGGACTCGGGTATGGTTGAATGGTAGGATACCTGGTCGGCACCTTCAGATTATGATGCTGCTGTTGTCTCAACTGTCGTTTCCTCCGTCGCAGACCTAGGACCCTGCTTCAGTTCTTGAGGTCATGCACCAAGATCTCCCACCACGTACGACGCGTCCGTTGAGCGACTCGGTTCTGCTCCCTTCGCGCCTCCGTGCGACATGTCCATGATGGACGTGGAGACTATTGATTGCCCAAGTAGAAGTGTCGAAGTCTAAAAGTGCGCGCGTCTCCTCCACCTGGCTGACCGTCACGTGTTGCGTCATCAAGTGTGAGCGCGATGCATCCCCGACCTCCACTCCGGCCCGGGTTATCTATAATCCGACAGTGACCACCAAAAGGATTCAACTGGCCATGTATGTAGCATAGTCAACAACTACATTCCAATCCAGCACTCTAGCATCAAGTGGTGGGGCGCGTGGCTTACGATGGATCCACCAATCAGAGCGTGTTGTTACACATGAGTCGTCATAGCTGACACCAATCAAAGTCGAGTATTCGGAGTATTCGGAGTATACACCTAAGGCACCTACTTCCATCTTACATCTGTTGCTGCATCTTCAGCTCGCAAGATGGCACTTTCAAGATATAGTAAGGATGGACTTGCTGCACAGAGACTTAACTAACTCTTTAGAATATACCTTTCCCTTATCTCATCTCAGTCGCTTTGTACTTTTTAATATATTTCAATGGCTTCCTAAAGCAATGTCTACCAAGCACAAAGTCATCGAAGTCGTTGGTGCCACGGATATCAAGGGCCTTCTATTCCGTGCTGGGGCCGATGAAGAAGCACTCGAGAGGGAAGCACCGCCATTCGTACTACTGGAACTCCCAAGGCCTCAATCGTGGAATATATAGAGCAGGAGCAGCCGGCACTGTCGCAGAAAGCCTCGTTTATTTATGTTCCCCCCAATGCTACCAACCCCCTCTTCTTGCCGACTCTCAACGCTGCCACCGGGCGCTATGAGTTTATCCTCCGTCTATCGAAGGACCTGGATATGCCGATTATTGTCGAGTCGACCGATCCTCTTGTACGTGCGTTGGTGGAGCGTGAATGCCCCGGTATTAAGCTCTTGGCCTACGACAGCCTGTTGGCCGTGGAGGACATTATGAGCGCATGGGGTGCGGCAGCTGGTAAGCCGGCCAAACTGGTGGAAGTTACTACAGAGTTCATGCATGGACCATTGGGGATTCCATGGGAGGTGCTGGATGCACTCCCGTATATCATCGAATTCGGATATATGGGTGGGCTAGACAATGTCGTCTATCCGTCGGATTGAAGATCAAGGTCGAGACCCAGCCGTTTGAGGATTGGCTGAAGGAGAAGGACTGGCAAAGTGTTCTGGATGGAGGAAGGGCAGAGCTCAGTTCAGTACTGGACTAGGCTAGTGGAAGGCCTCGCCTACTCTGTACAATCTTCGGTTTAATACTTAAATGACGCATAAAAGCACATAAATTGTCTACAAGGGAGTTGAGTCCAAACAGGGTGTTATAGATAACTCTCGAGTGAAGGAGAATATCCGCTTAGTATAGTCGGAGATACCATCTCTCCGAGATTCAATCTCATTTACCAATCCATTCCACGCGTCTCCGCTCTGGAGGAATCGGGGGCCAGATAAATCCCGATATACGGCTATCGAATGCGCGGACGCATCGAGCTTTTCTCCAACGGCAGACCAGATTTCAAAGCAAACGCACTCTCCCTACCTGTTCTCACCTGTTCCACCCGTGTACACCTCTGCGATCACTGTATGCTCTGCAGAGATCTTCCACGTTGTCTGAACCTCTGCATCGGAGCATGCTGATCTTCAAGGCCGATAGATTCAACCATCACGGAATCCGGCCTGGGGCTGCATAAGCAGGATGCAGAACGGCCCACCACGACCACGTTAATTGCTCCCACGACACGAGGAATGCATGGAAGCGACCAGCAATCTTCGAATATCTTCGAATGGGAGAGCACAGTTAGGCGGAGCGACGGCGATTCCGAATTTTTTCGCCCCCACATCCTGGCCAAACTGCTCTTGGATCCTAGCCCACTTGGCGTCAATTCTGAAGCTCTAGCATACTATCCACTCTGCAACCTTTCGTACCACAATGGAGGAAGTGAACGAAGAGCTAACAGCGTGGGTATCCATCGTGTTGGGGACGGATTGATCCCCTCAAATGAAGGATACTGCGTCGTCGGACATCACCGACTTGCTAGGTTCCCTCCCAGGGCAAGTTATAAACGTGCGATGTTTCTCCATGCAGTCCTGATTGACGATCTGATCCGATCCAGCAAAGAACTGATCTTCCGGTCCGATCTACATTTCCCTGATGGCAACGTTGACTTCCGTGCTGGCCCTGCTCCTGGCGGGCCAGTCGTTCGCAAAGGCGCCGTACTGTGTGCCCGGCAATGACTGCTTCCCTTCGGCGGACGAGCTGGCCAAATTCAACACCTCGATTGGTGGGAAGCTGTCGGAGCCGGCCCCCTACGGCCAAGTGTGCTATGCAGGTCATTTCGATGCCGCAGCTTGTTCGAAGCTGGTGACGAACAAGCGCAATCCTACCTTCCGAGAGATCATCCCCGCCGCTATGATGTATACTAACACCGAGTTCACGTCGGATGGCAAGGGGTGCCCGGTTCCCGACGAGGTGCCGGCGAAGGGTTTGGATGGCTCCTGTGAGCTTGGTGCGCTGGGTTCGTACTTTGTGACTGCCAACAACGCCGATGATATCAGCCAGGCCGTCAAGTTTGCAGCAAAACATAACCTGCGGTTGCGAGTGAAAAACGTAAGTGATTATGCCTCGAGATGCCCGTGGCGTGACTATCCATTGACTGGTATCCCCTAGACCGGCCACGACTATACCGGACGCAGCACGGATGCGGGTGCCTTCGTGATCCACACCCATGCCATGCAACGCATCGAACTGCACAAGGGATTCGTCCCCAAAGGATGTAGAGCCTCCTCGGCGACGGATGTTCTACAACTGGGGGCGGGTGTCATCGCGCAGGATTTGTACCCTGAAGCCGCCAAACTAGGTGTCGTCACGACGGGAGGTTACTGTCCCACCGTCGGCATTGCGGGTGGATTCGCCCTCGGAGGAGGAGCGGCTGGCCCTTTCCAGCCGGTAATTGGCATGGGAGCAGACAGTAAGTATTTCCTCCGGGGCGCGATGAAGGCCGGTGCGGGTGCTGAACAACGGCAATATAGATGTGGTCCAGTACGACGTCGTCATGGTGGACGGAACTATTGCTGTCGCCAACGAGTGCCAGAACAAGGACCTCTTCTGGGCGATGCGTGGCGGCGGCGGTGTCTTTGCCATCAGCTCCACGACCTACATCAAAGCCCATCCCGCATTCCAGGCCGTTAATGTGGTGGTCGGCCAGGTGTCAGCCTCCTCCTCCGAGGCGTACAAGAGGATGATATCCGAGTTCGTGCAGAATGACCCCAAGTATGGGCCTCAATTCAGCTCGGGCATCTGGGAAACCTCCTATCCAAACATAACTATGTCCTTCCACAAGGGATTCCAGGCCAGCGAGACGGTTGTTTCGGGTGACCAGTCGCTGAAGGCCTTTGACTTTCTCAAATCCATCGACGGCGTGACGGCAAATGTACAAGGATTCCAGTTCAAAACGTGGGCCGAGGCCTTTGAGAAGGTCGTTGGACCTCTCATGGAGGAGGGCAGCGCCGTTGGGGTCAACCTCCTCGACCTAAGCCGTGTCGTTCCCAATACGTTGACTAGCTCCAAGGAGGGACGGCAATCCATTGCGGACTTCGTTTCCGGTTTGCCTAAGACTCAGCCCTTTCTTTTCCACCGTGGTACGTAGAGTGTCACTCTATCTCTCTCCCCCTCTTTCTGTGGCTATGATATCCTTCTAATCTGAATCTCCTGCAGGCGGTGGTGCCATAAACAAACCGGCAAATGATGAGGTAACTTCCACGCCGTGCCCCGATGCATCCATTTTCTGACAGATCTTGATAGACTTCAGTGAACCCGGCCTGGCGCACTTCGGCAGCATACGTCAACGTCCCCGTCTTTGCCACCTCAAATGCAGGAATGACGGCGGAGCAGAAGAACACAATGGAATCTATGATCGAGCAGGTGGATAAGGTCTTTAGCTCCGACGCCTACTACAACGAGGAGAACAGGCTGGAATCGAACTACCAACAACGCTTCTGGGGGGCCAACTATGACACTCTGCTGTCGCTGAAGAAGAAGTTCGACCCGAACTGTGTTCTCACAGGGGCACTGACAGTAGGTGAGACCGAAGTCTGTGGCAGTAGCTAAATGTAGTTATGCTTTGCGCATCCTCGCCATCGGGGATATACCGGTCAGTGATGAGTATAGTAGCAATTGATTTATAGACTACGATGTTCTATTGAATGAGTTTTGGGCCATTTAATGACTTCGCGGAAGACTGCTTTGCCAAGTACCTGCGGTGTAATAAACGCAGTCCATCATCTTGACTTTGGATGTTACGTATGTATTGGATCCGCAACTAGCCAGCTGTGGCAAGAGATATGCTACAAAATATTTGGAATGTTTTTGATTTAACCATTAGGATTTTGTTGTTCGATATTCGTCAAAGGTAAAATTTTTTTTTTTGTGTTCCTTTTCGTGGCTTATTTTTGTCTTTATTTAATCTCGACCGTTTCAGCTTCATTCCAGAGGTCATAATTGGGGAAATACCGGTCATGGATCTTGCGCGCATACTCCATCAGAGCAGGAAAGCTTCGGATGATCCGCTGGCTATCAGGAGCCCTGGAGTAAACTATCGTTAGTGAATTGGGTGTGCAAGGAATAGACAGGAGCCTATGCGTAACATATCAACCCCGACACGATGAATCCAAAAAGCACTGCATCGGTCTCGGTGCGTGCCTCCCCAGCCCAGATCCAGAACAGGCCCTCATGGTTGCCACTCCGCGATTGCGCTGCCAAGACGGCGGCATTGATGCCCTCCCAGATCTCCTGCCGGAAGACGCCGATCTCGTCGACCGAGAAGGTCATGGTCCCTTGGCCATTTAGGGTTCGGCTGACTTTACGGTAGATCAGGTGGCCGACGACGACTTGAACTGGCCAGGGTAGCGCGGCTAGAATCTTGGAGCGCATAGTGTAGAAGTTGAGGATCCATTTCTCGTACATCTAGACGATTGGGTTAGGATGGTATGGTATAGAGGTTGGGATATCATACCTGATAGAAATAGAGTTTGTCCTCGACAAGCGCCTTCAAGGCAAGGTCATGCAGTTTCTCCGCCGGCAGCAGATGTGCATCAAGGTCAGGGAGGAATCCACGTTGAACCAGAGTTTGCATAATAAGCTTTGAGTCTCCTATGACCACTGGCGGGCAGCTGCGGCTGCCCTCATCCTCCGTGATGGCCACGTAGGGAATCTTGCCACGAGGGGCCGTGCGCATCGAGCCTTGTTCGACGGTGTAGTTGAAGCCGGCGAAGCGCATACGCGCCTCGAGCTTGGTGAAAAAGGAGACCATGTGTAGCAGCCGGTTTCGGGGAAGCCCCGGAACAGCGTGAGAGAGGGCGTTTCCGAAGATGGCATGTTGGATGGAGAGTCGTAAGAGTACGGAGTACCAGGACTTGCATTCCCAATAGGAGGAGCCTCCCGTTATATGCACAAGCCGAGATCGTCGGCCTCGGGCTGTGCGAGTCCGCTCGGGAGCCGACCGAAGCGAGAGCAATGGGGCCATTTTGACCGGAATCTTAATGGTAGTAGTGATGCCATATAGATATATAGATATTCATATTATAGTCCGCATCTGTCAGTTATTAGCCGATTGACTTACTCGTACAGCCGGTTACGTGATGTACCATCCTTGTATATTAAGGGCTGTATAAAGTGAGAATCTTCCTTATCATGCCTCCAAAACCCTAGATGACTTTACACATATATACTCGGTATAGGGAGGATACATTTGGAACTATGCCACAGCTTAACCCCTATCTCTTCCACTCACTGCACATGTTCCTAGCCTGGTCCCTTTAGACAACTGTGGCCATTTGGCGGGCTGTGGGATTTGAACCACGATTCCTTGTTATAGACCTAGTCGGGCTCCATCCCCAACAGATGTCTCTTCGGCCTCACCTGGTGACTTGCCACTACGCCACTAGCCGCCGATCGATCTTGTTGAGCAAGAATGTGATAGGCGGTTAGGCAGTCCTCTCTCTCTATCTGTCTCTCTTGTTTTAGCACGATTGTATTCCAGTCTGGAATCGATCGTAATAGCCTGCTTAGCCCGTTATTTGACCCTCGGGTTTGACCACAAATCCCTTTGAAAAATCTCAGAAACGTCAAGGAAGACCAAACTATCCAACTTCAGACATCGACTTTAGTCATGGACTATAAAAGAAGAGGACGCTGACTGGTTGAGGCGAAAACAAGCTTGCCCCACACTCTTCAACTTCCGTTTCCGGAATGCCCAGCGAGGGTCTTACGAGAGGCATCGCGGTGGCTCCAGAAAATCTACAGCCAGACTGAATCAGACGACAGAGCTCCGTAAAGCAGCATTATAAATCACCCTGGTCTAGGCTCGGATGGTGGTGATGAAGGGCGTCGCTTGGTCAACAGGGATGAGATGATCAGTTTGACGTATCCATGTATGTCGTCATCCATGGTTCTGCGTATAAAGATACGATCCCCACCGCCCATTGTATACTCCCTGTCTTTGCAACCACTACGAAATCAGTCATGACTAGTACCACCTTGGACCCCATCCGTGAATATGGCTTCACGGCCGTTCCGTCGGCTGCGGAAAAGGTTGTGGACCCGGCCTTCCAACTGCATGGCCCGCCTCCTGTCGCCCCCGTATCGATGACCCCAGTGCCCAATACTCCCGTCGCCCGTCGGATTCAGGCCTACGCGCGAGAGCATCTCCCGGCCCCAACGTTCAATCACAGCATGCGCGTCTACCACTACGGGCTAGCGATGAAATACTACTATTTCCGGGATTGGAAGTTTTCGGACGAAACCTACCTCCTTGCCTGTATGTTGCACGATATCGGCGCCACACAACAGAATCTTCGCGCCACCCACCTCAGCTTCGAGTTTTACGGCGGTTTGTTAGCTCTAGATGTACTGCAGCGTCCTGTCGACGAGCACGGCAGCCCCAACGGGGATCCCCAGTCCGTCTCCCCCAAAGCGCAGGCCGAAGGTGTTGCCGAAGCCGTCATTCGCCATCAAGATCTCTGCAAGGTGGGATCCATTACAGCCCTAGGACAGTTGATCCAGTTGGCCACCATCCTCGGTTAGTACAGCAACCCCGCGCGGCTCGAACACAAAAAAGCGCTAACTGAAGGGCCACACGGTAGATAATACAGGTGTACATTCGCAGTTGGTGCACCCGGACACCGCGCGTGATGTCATCCAGCATTATCCGCGGCTGCAGTGGAGCGACTGTTTTGCCAACACGGTGCGCGAAGAGAATCGGCGCAAGCCCTGGGCACACACCACCACCCTTGGCGAGGAGGATTTCCCGGACAGCATTTTGGGCAATGCCCATGCCGCACCATACGAACAAAATGAGTGACGGTGCCTGGGTTCAAGACCGGAGACGCAACAGTATTGTTTTTTAAGCCAAACGTAGCATAATCTGTATCCTGATCCCCGATGGCAATTGTATAGTACACATTTGGACCGTTCGCATGAGGCGGAAAAACTGGTGGATTGGTAGCAAATTGAGACTTCATTATATCGCGCTTATTGTAGACCCCCAAGTATCATTCGTCGAAGTAGTAAGCAGGCTCTCACCCACACGAGGCCTACTTACCCATTCCAGAAAAGACAATCACGACGCGGGGAGGATTGCAGGCTGGAGAGAAGTGAAGGTGAAGGCAGCAAGGACGACGTACTTGACCCGCATCGCCAAGACCCTCATCACGAGTCTCCAGCCTTCGCGCCTGGACTACCGACCTATTCACCGATCGGCCATCCAGTTTATAAATATGGCCCTCGTTCGACAATACTCTTCCCATGTTCCGTCCATCCATTAACTCTCTCTTTTCCTAGACCATGGCTATCACCGAGCTTGCCCTCCTGCGTCTCAAGACACCCAAAGACCCCACAGTCTGGCCTGCACTGCGATCCGCCATCCAGGCACAAGCCACGTACTCCACCTTTCCCGTCTATCTTCTAACCCAGATTGAAGACCCGTCGTATGTCTACCTGCTAGGTGGATGGGAGTCGACCGCGACACACCTCAACGACTGGATTCCGGGCGAGACGAATCAACGGCTGATGGCCGCACTGCAGGATCATATTGAAGTAGACTGGATGATCCACATCGACATCGACCCTCGCCAATTTGGAGGGAATGTCCTCACGAGCTCAAGGGCGCAGGAGAGAATCCTACTGGACGCGCCGGTGATGGCGATCGGCCGGTATTTCCTGGCGACGGGACGACGGGACGCATTTCTACGGACGTTTTACGCAACCAAGGGCAATCTTCAGGCCTCTATTGCGCCGCGGACGCTGCAGGGAGGGCTGCGACTGGAACCGAGGGACACGACGGTGGACGGAGAGGAGAAGCAGGAGTTTGTGTTGTTCAGCGAGTGGGATGACGTGCCGGCGGATTCGGCGGGATTCGAGGGACTAGGGCGGGCGCAGGAGGCATTGGCGGGGACAGAGATCAAGCACGCGAGGATCTGGGAGAGGACGGATCAGTAGAAGGATAGAAGGACTCAGATGTATATAGTGGTATTGTTGAGCAATCTTGAGGAATGTCGAGAATTTTGGAGAGACGACGGGCGGATGAGTCAGCCACGCCGCCTTGGGCATCCACGGTTCGTCCCCGTGACAGACAAAGCATTCTTTGTCTATTGTTTCACCAACTGCCATAACATACTACCTATCTAATAGGTACTACTGTATACAGAGAATATCTGCTTAGGTCGGCTCGCGTCATCTGTCTCAGACCCTCCCAATGGCCAAGGACCACATCGCCGCTGGCTAGCTGGTCGTCCACCGCCACTAGTAATAGGTCCACTTCGGAGACGATCGCATTTTTCCCTTCCCTTCCCCCGCAAAATCTATCCCACACTCAATCCTTTCAATCTCAACCCCTCCAGCAGAACCCGCTCCTTGTTATGTCCTCGAACAGTACCTCCAGTCCGGGACATTGGATCACCGGTAGCTATACCGGCAACAGCGATGGAGTGCGCATCGCAATCGCGACGTTCATCGCCGTCGCCTGGTATAACGTGATCGAGCTGATCAACTTGATCTTTCTGACCTTCAAGCGTTACCAGGGTGGTTATTTCTGGAGCATGCTTATCTCTGCCATGGGCGTTCTGCCGTACTCTGTCGGTTACCTGATGAAGTTTTTCGCTCTCACCACCGCCACCTGGCTACCCATCACTTTGCTATCCGCAGGCTGGTGGATGATGGTGACCGGCCAGTCCTTCGTGCTCTACTCGCGTCTCCATCTGGTGTTGCGCGACCTGCGGCTCCTGCGTGTGGTGCGCAGCATGATCATCCTGAATGTCTTCTTCCTGCACGTCCCGACCACCGTGCTGACGTATCTGGCCAACTTCTCAACTTCACCCACCACCGTACTGGGTTATGACATCATGGAGAAAGTCCAGCTCACCGGCTTCTGCGTGCAGGAGATCATCCTGTCGGGTCTCTACATGTGGGAGACGAACCGCATGCTGCAGCTGAACCCGGACCGTGCGACGCAGAAGACCATCCTGCAGCTGTTCGCCGTCAACGCGGTTTGTATTCTGATGGACGTAGCCCTCATGGCCATCGAGTTCTGCAACTACTACATCTACCAGACCACCCTCAAGGCAACGATTTACAGCATCAAGTTGAAGCTCGAGATCGCCGTGTTGGGGAAGCTCGTCTTCATGGCCCACCAGCATGCCTGGCGCTCACCCTTCGGCGCCGATCCCGGGCGCACTCCATCCTTCGTCGATGCTGCACGAGTCGCTTCCAATCTCCATCATGCCGCTCCTTCGCCTAAGTCGCGCCAGGGCCCAGTGGATGATGACCTTCAGATCTACGTGCGGTGACGTTCCGGCCCTGCATTTCCCGACCACCAACTCCTACATGCTCACGCATGAGCCACCTCACCGCCCATTGGTCGTCGGTACACTGACCATGAGAAACCAAACTGCTCTCTTCCGCCAGAGTTGCTACCAGAATAGCGAAAGATATCGCTATTCTGTCGCGATTTCTATCGGAGCGTGAACAACCAAGGGCAATCCTCGACATGACCTGTCAGATAGTTGGGACATTACTTGCCGAAGCACCCCTCTTGCAGCGGAAATACAAATTATAGTGTTTGTAGCACCCCGGCCTTTGAGTCTATGGTCGCCGTGTCATGCTGGGTTCACATGGGGAAAAGCAACGGACACAGGACGTCGGAGACCTGGAACAGGTATCAGCTATGACTTTACGACGTATACGGTTCCCATGTTATGAACTACCATAATTGGTCGGCAATAGCTTCTCCTTAGAGACCCGAGCGGCCATCCAACTGCCTCATTAAACAAAAATAAATCCTCAATTTTCAAAACCACTGTATGCAAATTCTTTTATCTTTGTTCGAGACCAGAAGGGATTGCTTCCTCCATCTCCACCGCCTTGCCAACATCCATCCTGTTCCTGGTCATCATGTCTATATTTAGTATCCAGAGGATCATAATGTACATACATACTGAGAGAGATCTCATTGCTTTTAACCTCCTCTCTTCTTGCAGTGGACTAAGAAAGAATTCACCCATATACATGGCTATTGCTACCCTGCCTCTGCCTCGGAAAGTTAGAGGAATGAACAATTAAGTATAATTTCTTCTGGGGGCTAAAACACTCGACCAAACATACGACAAGTTGCAGCTTAGACCCGACCTGGACCGGATCATCTCTATCCCCCAGAAAAGCCACAGTACGTCAGAGTAGCAGACACCCTTACGCGCCGTCTCTGTCGGAGATGAAATGATTTGCGAAAAGGATATCATTGATTGCCAGGTTATCCAGACGACGCAGATCCTCAGCGCTCCAGGTTTCTTCCAGGTCGCGGTACGAGAACTTCGGCCCACAGGCGCTGATCTCCCCCAGATAATGCCGATGATCCTCGATCTCAAGCTTGAACTTTGCTTCTCGTGCTCCGTCGCATGAAAAGTTCTCGAGTCCACGACACACCTGAATAGTCTCGTTGCCTTCCGTGGGGGAATCAGAAATCCAGTATTCTGGCCAGATGTGCCGGTAGCCGAGATCATAAACCCCGAACAGACTCATTGGAGGCATCGTTGGCACCGGGTCGTATCCGTGAGTAATGCGGACCGTCCACCCCGGTTGATTTGAGACAAACTCGGCAAACCGTAGGTCCCCGATCCGTGGGGCACCGTATGAATAGATATCGCAGGGGATATCCATCGTGCGCAGGTGAGAACCAGCGATCGTCGCAATGGCACCACCCAGAGAGTGACCCGTAAGGACCACCTTATAGTCCTTGTAGGTCTCCCTGGCCTGGGTGACTGCGTCAAGAACCTCCGCTTTTACGAGCTGCCACGACTCATAGAACCCAGCGTGAATGGCGCAAGTGCAGAAATCGTTACCACGCTGAGGCTTGTCTGCTTCAAATTCACTGCCCGAGATTCCGCTTGGGCCGGGCATCTCGACTTTCCAGAATCGGAAGTTCTTGAGCCAGTTACGGACAGAATTAGTCCCGCGAAAGGACACGACAAGAAGGCGATGGGTATCATCAACCGCGACAAAACCTCGGATATCGTCTTTGCTGAATTTTGCTATTGTCCGGGGCTTGGCTGCCTCGACCACGGGGCATACTCCTTCAAGACAATGGATATTGCCAGTTACAGTGTTGTTGTTGTTGTTGTTGTTGTTATCGCAATAAGCAGCAGCGGAGTACTGCGCGAAGAGCCGGAAGTTGGCAAGATCGTCACTGGAAACGGCTGTATGCTCCCAGAACCGTCAGTTCTCGTCACCGCTAGTTGTGGAGGAAAGGATGCACCGTCGTCCACATACATCTGGCAGAAACCGAACGCCCCTGTGCTAATCCCCCCTGAGCTAAACAAGTGAAGGGCGAGAAGTATCGGTGCTCTCAACATCATCGCTACCTTGAGACTGTACAGAGGAATAATGTAGCCGTGGATCGGGGTGTCGACTTTGTAGTAAGAGCTCTGGGACTGAAGATATCTATGCAAGCCCCAACTCATATAGTTACATTTGTGTACTTCTGTTTAATTCAGTGGAGCCACGGACTCGGAGGTCCTACGGAAATAATATTAGCAATACAATATGTAGAATTCTGCACTATGTGAAAACCCCAAGTGCCCAGGGAATACTTGTGTGGATCGCATCTGTAGTTAACCTACGGGCTGTAGGATTTGTTGGAGCAAATCTTTCCTGCCCTAGATAAACATTAATTTCTCTCCTACACAGTGCTGTATATGGTCACCTGTCCTGGACCGAGAAATACTACATCCTTATCGCCCTTCGCCCTCACAATCGGTCTTTTGTTGAGAACTCTGTCTCACTGCCCGTTAGTTGTCACTTCACCGCTTCGTCTCCTTGCCCTGTTTCTCCTTAGCGTGTTGAATACTGCGGAGAGAGGGCCCACTGCAATCGAGGGAAATAGGCACTTAAAGTAAGGAGTGGCTCCCTCGCCTATTGTAGTGCAATTTAAGTCCTTTAAATAATCATTATGGGCTGGTTAGCTTGATCGGGCATATCAATCACGTTCGATTAGCTATCTCTGGCTTGGAACAAAGACGCTCTTGTGCAGAAATCGCTACTAGTTGTGCAAACCCCAAGTTGGTGTTATTCTACCTTTGCACTGGGAAGAGCTTTTAGGCTTCAAATTTTCCATGCATGTCTAGGCCAAGTCCCATGCCAAGCCTAACTTGCTTGGCTTTTTTTTTCATCCTTAAATTGCAGAGTCTTTGATTCTTCACAGATCACTTGTTCTTCGGAGTATTTTTAATTCTGGCTGTATAGCTATATGCCTTTATCCGATTCTATGATGCCGACAGCTCTATAGGGTACACCTAAGATAATTTCTACTTAAATCCACGCCATATGATACTAGGCACGTCATAATACTTGATCCAGTTCCCTGTTTTAACATCTCTAGGCAGACTGGAATAATTAACCTCAGAAAAAGAACTGCTAGTAAACATGTTGGTTTCTTATTATTATAGAGTAGAGAGTACCTTGGTTGTCTATTCTAGTTTTTATCTCCTGTGCAGTTAACACACAGAATATATAAGTTAGAGGCCCTTGAAGCACTGTGAGGACTTACGTTCAGCTGCGTGGTGGTGCTGTTCTTCACCACTACGCCATATCCAAAAGGCGCAAATCGATGACCAAAAATCATCAAGCTCAGCGTGCTATATAGCTAGGTAAAGTCCATGACAAACATGTAGAAATCTATAGAATATATAAATATAATGCCCTTTAGTTTGCTGTATGGCTATTATCAATCCTTCCTTCTATTATTACATTTTCCTTCCGTTTGTACACCTGATTATAATTATAATATATTTATGTTCTATATTAGTGGTCCGCCACTAATAGATATGTAAGTCGGAGCTCTATAAGACCTGTACATTTTGAGGATATTATTACATACAGTGTTCCTTCAACCCACTAAAGCAAGAACATACAGCTTGTCTAGACATATACTTGTCTAAAAATTACCTTCGTCTACGGAGTACTCTGCACAAGTTGTCTATCCTTGCTTCGTGGCTTGGAACGATTGACGTATGGAGTAATAATATTACTAATATTATTAACACCTGCAGGGCGTTAGCCTGCAGGCCCTACGAGCTTTAATATACCTGCATGGGGTAGTACGCCAAAAAAGTAAAACGTTACAAATCATAAAGGGGCAAGAGCGCTAGAGAGTGGGCCGAAAAGGGGCCAAAGAGCGATGCGCGTAGACCTAAGAACAGGTGTAACGCTCATACTGAATATGCTGAAATCCTGAGGCTGCCATTGATTAGTACAGAGTAGGATAGGATGAATATTTCAGCTGGAATGCTAATTGCTAAATGTTACTGAGACAGAAATATCCCAACAACAAAAATAAGAGCTAGGTCTCTGGCAACAGACGACGACTCGTAGCCGGGTATTCAGATACGTAACAATCACGTGACAACTCACTTTTTGAAGATCAACAGAGACTCCTGATGATCCTCAACCTTACCAACGTAGAGCGCTCTCAATCACACATCGAATGCAGCCATGTGATGTGGTTCGTCCTATGGCTTCAGTGTATGTTCAGGTGTGGAGCAAGGACGTATGGAGTTGACTGTTCGTAGCTGAAGTTTGTCCTAAAATTCGGTCTTCGTAAAAACGGTGCATAGTGGGTCATGGCTTGAGTAGGCTTGAAGGCCAAATCCGGGTTGCGAAGATGGCGATCGGCATTGTTGAGATTGGGACTGGCATTCAGGGCAGCAGGTTAAATAATTTGCATGACTGTGGGCTTGATTGAACCCCCCATCCTTCTTGCTTCTAATACAAAGTAGAAAAATTTTTTTATAAAAAGATTGGGCAACATGGGGCACTGCTTGAAATACCCACTTGGTACTTGGGATGCTCGCGGGGCGCTAGGCATTTTTTCTACACTAGTAACTTGAAGAGGGCGCGGGGAATGCATCGGACCTCGGCAAACTGCTCCGTACCCTTCTGTTTCGTATGTCCTGTAGATATCTACATGTAAAGCTCTGGTTCCTGAGTCATGCGCACATCACCCCGATCTGTGACATATAAGTAGCACGTGGTTATTTACTAGTACGCCGTACGAAGTGATCTACTTACTGTGCTAGCTTAGTTATACCTTTTCTAGTTAACCTTTTAACACTATACTACTAGGCTTGTTAGTGATAGTGTATTAGTATTATCAATGTCTTTCAATGAATACGTATACTTATCAACTGTAAGGATGCGTGGTGGCCAGATAGAGTACATAGGGACCTACTGTCTGATTCCAGTTAAACACCAGTATTGGCTCCAACAAGAGTTCACACCTGAGCCGAGGCTCAATTTTGGGGACCAAGCCCCTCAGGCTCCAACCGATCAACCTGAAACGGCGATCTGTATTGGAAATAAAGGGGCGTGCTTTTCTACAATGACCACAACCATAGACCATGACAATCAATATCCGCTGGACTCTCTTGATTGCGTCAGTGCGTTAATGTTATGCATACCCTGTCTCACCTTGAGACGACGCCAGGGCCTGCATTATGGTGATTTGAAGAATGATGAACTAGATCGGGCTATCTGACCGAACCCATTAAGCACATGCATGGCCCCTAGTCTATTGGCTCTCAGGACAGGGAGATTGCTCTATTGTTTGCCGACATATGCCTCATTTTCTACCGCTTACGGAAAAAAACTAAGGTTATCTCATGGTTTAATTGAGCTTTCAACTCCTCAGATTCATCTTTTTTTCGAAATATAATGCCATCATGATGGGCTCACTATCTGCATACATCCTGGTTCATCCTCGGGACACGAATGAACCATGGGGCAAGATGAAACTTGTCTAGTATAGCTGCGGATAGACTATACGAAGTCTGAGTTTCAAGTCAGAACAGGCACTGGTATAAAATGCTCGCACTCAGCAGTTTACCGTCTCTCTTGTTTGCCATCCATTCTTTTCTACTTGTTCTCCAGAGCTGGACTCTAGTTTTTCGTTCTCTTTCTTTTCTATTACCCTTTGCACGCCCAGTGAAGGGATCATCCTCCACCATGAAGGGCCTTATTGTTTTATCCCTCACAGCCTCCGTCCTAGCGGCACCAACCGGGTCGATTGAGCGTCGTCAGCCAAATGGGATGACCGCCGCTGCCCCCGCTGCCGTACCTGGGGTGAGCGCCAATGTCCAGGCTATGGAAGCGCACGCTCCAGCTGCTGCTAATCAACAAGGTAGCAGCGGAGCATCATATCCTGCTAATCAAGGAGACAGCAGCGGAGCATCATATCCTGCTACCCAAGGAGACAGCAGCGGAGCATCATATCCTGCTACCCAAGGAGACAGCAGCAGAGCATCGTATCCTGCTACCCAAGGAGGCAGCAGCGGAGCATCGTATCCTGCTACCCAAGGAGGCAGCAGCGGAGCATCATATCCTACTACTCAAGGAGGCGGCAGCGGAGCATCAGGTAATGCTACTCAGGAAAGCAGCAGTGGAGGATCATCTAAGACCGGAGGAGATAGTGGGGATAGTAGTGGTGGCGGACTTGATCTCACGAAGCTAATTGGAGACGGTATTCAAGGAGTTACTAAGCTCGTCAGCAGTTTTGTTGGGGGAGGTGGTGGAGGGGACAGTGGCGGAAAAAGCAGTGGAGGTAGCGACGGCGGAGACAGTGGTGGGGGAGGCAGTGGTGGGGGAGGCAGTGGTGGGGGGACAGTGGTGGGGGAGACAGTGGTGGGAAGGTGGCGGCCTCAGAACTTATCGGTGATGATGGGCAAACCTTGCTGGGGGCGGCGGCGGAGAGGGAGGTGGAGGAGGAGAGGGCGGCGGTGGAGGAGAGGGCGGCGGTGGAGGAGAGGGCGGCGGTGGAGGAGAGAGCGGCGGTGGAGGGGGCGGGGCGGACGTCACCAAACTTGTCAGTGATGGGGCACAGGCTTTAGGCGGCCTTGCTGGAGGCGGCGGCGGAGAGGGAGGTGGAGGAGGAGAGGGCGACGGTGGAGGGGGCGGCGGCATCGGGGACCTTGTTAGCGGTGCTACTGATGCCCTGGGAAACCTAGGCGGCCTTGCTGGAGGCGGCGACGGCGGTGGAGGGGGCGGCATCGGGGATCTTGTTAGCGGTGCTACTGATGCCCTGGGAAACCTAGGCGGCCTTGCTGGAGGTGGCGGCGGCGGTGGAGGGGGCGGCGGCATCGGGGACCTTGTTAGCGGTGCTACTGGTGCCCTGGGAAACCTAGGCGACCTCGCAGGAGGCCTGGGTGGTGGCCTCGGTGATCTAGCAGGAGGCCTGGGTGGCCTCGGTGATCTCGCAGGGGGCCTTGGTGGCCTCGCAGGAATATAATGGATAAGTTATCTGGCTTAGACTTATGTGAGTTTAATGCCACTCACTTTTTCTGTATAATCTTCTAATATGGAATAGAGCACGAAGATCATGCTAGGTAAACTCCCACTCACACAGTCACACTCACCATTAGGAAAGGTTGTGTGGCGAGGATCTCCATACATGCTGGTCATGTACAAGTAGATGGTCTTTTCCTCATTTATGTTTTGATGGAACATTGGTTCAATTCTGAAATATAATACAATATTTTGTTGTCTAAACTTGAATTAAGTATTGCCTATTGAGTGTTTTAATAGTACTTACTATGGGTATGCTGTGGAGTTGAGAATTGTGTCACGAGTTATACCCAGAGAGTATTACCTCGGGCTAGGAAGGATACTGTCAAATAATATTGCCGTTGGAGGACCAGAATCATGTGACTAGATCGGGGTAAAACTCCGGCGGAGAACACAACAAAATAATCAAGAATCAAGAATATAATCAAGAAGAGCCCGAACCAGCTCAATCCATTCAAAATAAGACCTTTTTACCAATCGTACTCTATTTCCCCTTCGGGACTAGCCGAATATCTGACAGATGCCCCGTTCACTACTATATGGGTCACTAGATGCAACTGATCTTTCGATCAACTTTGTCTTCGTACCTTTATGGTAACCTACACTAGCCCATAGGAAACCAAACTTTTACAAGTGCTTTCTAAGCAAATATCCGTAAACTCATACAGGAAAAATAAAACAAATAACAAAAAAAAACAGTAGTGGTAACTCCTAACATTAATATATCGTCACTCTGCTTTGTTATTCCCAGGACTTTGCTTACATAGTCAATATCCACCCTCTTTATCTCCATTCAACAGGTCATGGAGAGGTCTTCAGATCCATTGTGGCGAGACTTTAAATGTAGTACGTTGATTGTGTACTACCAATTATTGCTCTCTTTAATATGGCTTTCCATTAGCGAAGGTTACAGAAGGTCTGGATATACGTTGTATTGACAATGTTCAGGTGTTTAGTTTCTTTACCTTTTTGAATCTTTTTCCTCCACCTCCTCGTTTCTATACCCTATTTTGTACTAGTCGATTAGATGCAGATCATGGCCTACTGATTGATTACTATTCATGAAAACGAACGCTGTTTAAAGTGACTGTATCTTTCAGAGATACGCCTAGACAAATTATAGCTTGATTCTAAGTTTGGTATCTTAATCCTCCCTGACAGCACAATGTCATATGCCGTTAACATGCTCCAACCCTGTTCTTCTACCTTGCAACTATCCCCTACTCCCCGTAGCGACTTCCCTTCCTATTGTTATAATGAAATGCCAACAATCAAAGAGGGAGAAATGGTAAGATAGAGAAAAAGTAAACACAAGGACAGTGGTACAGTACAACTCTGTTATTCCCCTGAGGTATAGTTATGTAGAAAGGAAAGGACAGTGAAGGCCTTCTATTGTTTTACCTTCCAAAGTCAGTTAGTAGAGGGTGGGCTTTCCAGTGATACTCAAGGGATTGTAATGCATGCACTGTAACGGTTATCATTGCCTCATATGCTTTTATTGGCCTAGTAAAAAATAATACAAAAAACACTATCGCGACCATTACCTGAATTGACGAAAACCAATCAGAGAAATAGGAGATATTCTTTTGAGGGGACTGGTGTCTGACAAACCATGGCCCAATATATTTATGTATCCAACCATTCTTCCTGTCCAATAATTGAGGTCGTCGGTCAAAAGTAGGTTTCGTAATTGGAGGCTCACTGTGAGTGACCCCAACTATCCAGGCTTCGCAGAGTCGAACCCCTCTGGACTGGGTGTATGAAAGGTCGGTTCAAAAACCAAAGGCTAAGTAAGGGGTGGCGCCTCCGGGACTCATTTTTGGGAATCTTGGCGAAAGCGTGCCATCCACGTGGTGACCAAGCCCAGAACGGGATCTCCCACATTGCCGGCCTTTCCGCCTGCAGGGGGCAGAACCAAATGTGGGGCTACAGTATTTATCCCATAAGTTTGCCTTGGATACTGTACCTATTTTTCATTTTTGACTAGAATTTCATGCAGACATTTTTTGTATAGCTCTACTCAGATGGAGACTTACTGCACTTCTAATCGGAGGCTTCTCTGGTCTGTAGTTGGTGGACATGAACGGGTTGGGTGATAGGCAATTGTTACTCCTTGTAAAGTGTGTGTAATATAGGATCTCGATGGAGTTCGCCAGGGCCCAATAATAGGGAGCTCCGGACACTAGTGGAGATCTAGGCCCCAAAAAACTGAAGTCTAATATCCAGCTATTGGCGGCAATGATTGTCCGATGTCGCGTCCATCCAGGAACATGGGTGTGTCTAATGGGTCCTTCGTTCACAATAATTAAAGATAGAAATAAGGTAAACCGCCTCCCTTTTCTACAATAGGCCTCCCTGCAGGATATCTGAAACGATTTACCGCGAACTACGTTTCAAACACACCATAAGCTGTCGGACATATTTATATCAGTATCAGATCTTCACGATGTCAAAGACACTGGCCACCAAACGTTCGCTAGATGGACGTCCCGGATTTGACCCGAATCTTGACAGCCCGCAATTGCAACACGTCACTCGGCATATCGACGAGACAGCGGACGTCCGAATTGAAAACTGCATCGGCTTCGTGCAGGTCCCTGTTGGTGTTGCTGGACCACTGCGCGTCACGGGCCCTGAGACGAAGGGCGAATACTATGCGCCATTAGCTACATGCGAGCCAACCCTGGTGGCTAGTTGCAGCCGGGGTTGTAAAGTCTTCAATGCCTGTGGTGGTTTGCAGTTCGAGGTTCTTAATGAAGCCATGTCTCGCGCCCCGATGTTTCTTTTCGCAAACCCTGGGCAGGCGATAGCATTTGCTCGGGCGGTTCCATCTTTTCAAAACGACTTTGCCCGATGGGCCAATTCGACAAGCAGATATGTCCGACTACAGGAGCTGCAGACATCGGTTATTGGCTCTAGTGTTCATCTTTTCTGCAGTTATTTTTGCGGCAACGCTGCGGGTCAGAACATGGTCAGCAAGGCCACGCAGCATGCCTGTGAAATGTTACGGAATTCCAAATGCGGAAAGAAATTTCAAATTAAAGACTTCATTATTGAGGGTCAATTGGCTTCGGACAAGAAGCCTTCTTGGGGAAATGTCCAGAGACCTAGAGGTGTCGAAGCGCTAGCATGGGGCACCATCACGAACTCAGCCTGCCAGGAGATCCTTGGCTGTAGTACCGAGCGTCTGTATCGTACTCAGATGGCTTTAAAGGAAGGAGGAATACGAAACGGTCAGTTTGGGTGCAATATCAACACAGCGAATATTATAGCCGCGATGTTTGTATCAACAGGACAGGATGCTGGGAGCGTGGCAGAGGCTTCCTGGAGCCACCTCACATCCGAGTACGACTACGAGACAAAGGAGCTGAAGATGACATTGTATTTCCCCTCTCTAACAGTTGGTACTGTGGGTGGGGGGACGTTGTATCCATCGCAGAGAGAATGCCTTACCATGTTGGGATGCGCCGTGGAAGGGGGGAAGAGAAGACTGGCAGGCATGATTGCTGCTTTTGCAGTTGCATTGGATGCGAGCACAAGTGCTGCAATTGCTAACGATACATTTACTATGAGTCATATGAAGCTAGCTCGTGGGGAGTTATATGGGCCTCGACAAGCAAAATTGTAGGCTAAATAAAGCCTTCGACTTGTGTGGCCTGTCAAAGCGGACAATCAAAGAATTCAATTCTGTGAATTTTTCTTTTGTTCCTCCCTAATTCATTCCTTCCTTCTTTCATTTTCTTATTTTATTATTCTTTCCACCTTTTTTTTTTCTTTTGTACATACAAATCAATAGCTAAGCGCGATTAATTACTCTGCAGCGGGGCCTAAATGCATTGATCTAATGGTTCTTCACTATTCCAGTATGCAAGAAATGGCGCAGCGAACACGCCATGCAGCATCGTGATCTGAAATTTGAACGGAAATACCCCTGGGGTCTTCCTTCTTGAGGTAAATTCGGTCGGGAAAGCATTGGATTAGTGGGTCTGCCCTAGCCTGCGAGTCGCCACTCATGGACCAGGAGCGGCGATCCTCGTGCTATTGTGGAGTTGACATCATGCTATGCAGAGGAGAGTTTGACTTTATCCACACGGGTTTACAGTTTGATCTGTGATTTGCTCGTTGATGGGTCTACCAAGGTCTTCATACGAAGATTGGACAGCCACATGTGGAGACTCTACGTCCAACCCGCCAGTCAAGCGCCCGAGATCCACCACTTCGACCATTTTGAGGTCTGACCTGTTTTTGGGACCTGAACCATATATTTCAGAGCCTTCTTTATTACTCATTCTTAAGATGGGCTAGTCCTTCGTAGCCACGCATCGATTCTCTTCTGTTCCTACGATTCCAGCCCCCTTTGGCTCTCTCCCAACATTTTATTGAGAGAACACCGTCGAAGCCATGGTGGAGCTGATGAAGTAAGTCCAACCAACCTTCAAATGACATGCAATTTTTGCGTAGGGCTAGTTATATCTGAGTGTCATGGATTCACAATATCCTATATATGTGAGATGTAATTTTCTCCTATAAAAAAAAAAAAAAATAAAATTAAAATAAAACCTGATGTTGCCGCATAAAATCACAGCCAGTTATATAGAGCTCGGAGCTTGTTTATGTCGATTTTTGCACCCCTATTTGCAACCGTAGTATGGTTTAACGGTCTGGCACGGCCTACCACATGGTAACTGCTATGAAATTTGGTTTTCAAATAATAGCGTGCGGAAAGCAAATGCCGCATTGGTCTTTGCCCCTAAAATTGGGTCAGCCACGAATTGGGATAAATCACCTTCCCTCTTTACCTTACTTCACCGTAACTAAGTTTCCTAGTCTTTGCCATATTCAGACTGCCTCCAAAGGATAGCAGGATTGCACTACGAAAGTTAGTCAAAAGGATCTACGGCAACCACGCGAAATTGAGTCGATCTGTGTCAGTCAGACCCCACATGTATCAGCATATATCTTTCCAAGACGTGCTGATTATATGCCCCTTTACTCTACCTGTCTTTGACTACCGCCCACTACTGTTTTATTCCCCTACCTACCTAGCTAAAGATGGGGCCTTCAGTCGGCGACTTCAAGCTTGTCGGCCTGGCCGCAGGGTTCACACTAGGATTTGGCTTTCTTACGGTCTGGAATGCAATAAAGCAGACTCGAAGGATTGAGAAAGCATACAAGAGCCCTTATGTTATTCTTATCTGGATGGAACTTATGTCCAATGTGACAATTGGAGTACTGGGATGGCTCGTGCTGGAAGGAATTGTACCTGCAACGTATGCGTCTTGAAGACCGACTTATCCACTATCTTACAGTTTGAATTCCGTGCTGATCCCATTCCCTCAGTGCACCTGTACTAGCCGTTCTGCTACTTTGCTGGGCCCTTGAGATTCAATGTCTGATGCAGATTATTATCAATCGGCTCTATGTCGTGGTGGATGTGAAGAAGAAAGCCACTCAAGTGAAATGGGCGACTGCCGGTCTTATAACAGCAATTAATATTGCTGTTTTCTGTATATGGATTCCTGCACATATGACACCTCCTGTAAATCATACGTGAGTACATTTCTTCCGTACCCTCAGGCTATACCGCTGACCTTGCTACAAGTTATGTCCTTATTAATCGATACTGGGACCCACTTTCTAAAGGGCTGATATGCGTTGTGGACGCATTTTTAAACGCCTGGTTCCTACAAGTTGTCCGTGTGCGGGTGATTCAGCAGAATGGATTGAAGAAATATCGCCCGCTCGTCCGCTTTAACATGCGAATGATGATTGTTTCTGTGCTTATGGATGTGAGGCCACCTAAAGGATACTTTGCTCTAATCCAAAGACAATTCTAACTCTTCCCGATTACTTCTAGGTACTCCTAATCGGACTTATGTTCCTCCCCAACCCAATGGTCTACATCCAATTTCACCCGGTGACCTACGTGGTGAAACTTAATATCGAGATGGGAATGGCTTCCCTGATCCGCAAGATCGCAAGGGAAAGTAACATCGACGAGATTCATGAGGCATCAATGAATCTGCCGAGCCGATTCCATCCACAAAATCACTACACAGAGTGCGATGATGTGGAAAGAGAGAGCGAGCATGTAGGGCACATACAGTTCGAAGAGCTACCCCATCAAGGGTTTGAGCCCGATGACATGAAAATTCTGAAAACAACCAGTGTCCGCGTTGTAACAAGCCCAAGGCCCAATATCCATGGAAGACCGAATCATATGATTTAGGGCAGGTTTGTGGCTTTGCAATTACTGTATATAAATGTAGCCTATAGAAATTTATATCTCATGACATTCCAAAGGAGACCTGTGCTACGTAAAAGTGTAAGACTTGTGTATATAACAGGGCATCAAGTTTGTAGGGCTGAGTAGAAACATTAGTGAGTTGATAGGAACCAGCTACATCATCCCCGTCTACGTAGACCGTCTATGTTCTACGGAACGTGCCAAGCTGTCCAAATAAACTGGAACTATTTCATACTCCACAGATGTGTAGGGGACCTGGTATAACTGAAGGAAAATATTCCCATCGACGGTCCCATTTCAATATTATGATATCATCAAACGCATATAGCCGTTGTTGCTGTAAACAGACTGCCCGCAGAAGAGGTACAGCAACCAATTTGCTCCATCTGGCTATCACGGAAGTGGTGGCGCTCATCTAGTGTAATATGAGTGTATATAGACCTGCTAACTTCCATTTTCGTTCGTGTCAGCAACCCACCCCGGACCTGATGCAGGACCTGAGTCGACGACTTCGTCTTTTAACCGACCTATAAAGTTATCGAGGTGGCTGTCAGTTGTTCAAAGCTTGTTTATTCACAAGTGTATATTCCATGATTTTATTTATTCTCTTTGGTAGATTCTAGGTTCAGCTATAATCATTCTGGCTGGGTAAACTAGTCCAAAATGCGTCAGATATTTCGGCAATCACATACACGTATTCTGAGCACGGGGGGATGTCTAGTTGCCATATAGAAATCGATCTGACAATGGTAGACTCTATAAACTTCTCTTCAAAGCCGTATAGAAGATACCGGGGATATATTATAGAAAGTCAAGTGAAAATCCAGCCAGGTCCCTGGTAGAGGGTTGCTGAATATATAATCATTGGGTTATCTTAAAATATTCAACTTATTTCTTAATCCGCAAGACCACTGTACAATGAAATCTAAATTAGCTAGTTAGTTTATAATTCTAATTTTACTACTCCATACGGAGATTATACCCAACAGCAGAGGACAGTATTGAATAAATTGTATAAAACCACAACCTTTAGTATAACATTTGTGCTATTCCCACTGTATCCCCACAGATTTCTATTGTACTTATAGTTTTACTTATTCCCTGTAACTACCTGAGTACCTAGATTTGCTTATTAAACCTTGTGCCGTTCCTTAATTTAACACACATCGTAAAGTAAGTGTATCCATAGATGCCTATACTGTATTGACTAGTATTATGTCCCAGTTTCAATTTCTCGCTTATCAAGAGCAAAACCGCGCAGCCTTCAGCACCTGACCCGATCTAGTATTTTCTAAAATTACAGTGTCCTCTTTCGACATGAAACAGCATTCTAGAAAGTAAAGGGAGTCATCGGGCAACAGACAGCAGAGTGGAGGTGTCAGCATCCTGCTGATACTATGAGGCATTTATTGATTAACTGTGAGCGGCGAGTCTTCCATGCGATCCTTCGATGCGAATACGAGCAACAGCAGGCCAAGTCGGCTAGCTGCTTCCGAAATGCAACACAACCATGCAGGTCCGGAATGGCCAGCAAAGGTGGTTGATTATAACTGGCTTTAAAGTCTCCCACTGCGTCCGACATTCTAATATAATAACTTATCTTCACCGAAATGACTGACGCCCAGGGTATCACCGACTGGTATAACCAGAATGCCGCTCTCGAACACGATCGGTTAAATGCCTGTCGTCTCGAATACTCGATTACGACAAGGGTCATAAATCAATACGTGGAACAACTGGAACGGAATACGCAGAAACCGTTAAGGATCCTGGACCTCGGAGGAGGCACTGGTCGGTATGGTAAGTTCCAGGATATGTGTGATTGGGTGACGGTCCCGGTTAATCAGAATATAGCTGTCGACCTTGCACGAAGTGGCCATTCTGTCACACTAGTTGATATATCCCAATCAGAACTCGTCATTGCCGAGTCCTTCGCTACAGAATCCGGAGTCACACTACAGGCTATTGTCCAGGCTGATGCACGAACCATAGAAGTACATTCTGAAAAGGATGATCCTAGGGCCATCTTCGCCGCATCATCGTATGACCTCATCCTTTGCCAGGGTCCAATGTACCACCTTCTCGAAGAGTCCGAACGTTCCAAAGTTCTTTGTACCTGCACTGCGCTGCTCCGTCCCGGCGGATTTCTTCTAGCGGCTTTCGTCACTCAATACGCACATCTGAGAGATATTGCTCAAAGAGACCCCGGTCGTCTTGCGAAGGAGTATGACAACTTTTACAGAGACTACCTCTTGTCCGGCAAATATGCAAGACAGCCGTCTCCTGCTATGCACCATACCCATGCTAGTGGGATTAAGAAGTTGTTTGAGACGGTCAATGGGCCCTGTGTCACTCAGTTTGGAGTGGGAATTTCTTTAGACAGGGTTGTGCCTTGCGAAGGATTTCTGGGCGGAGGACTGTCCTCGAAGCTGGCAACGCTGTCACCGGAAGCCTACGAACAATGGGTGGATGTTGTGATGCAATTTGTGGATGACGAAGCACTGCTAGGAAATGCGGACCACTTACTAGCAGTTGCCCAAAGGAAATAGGATTTGTGGATAAATATGGAATATGACTTTTACGTATTGGTTGCTTACTTTACAGCAAAATTAAGCATATAAAGATCTCAATTATATTGACCTTAAATTTTTATATAGAAAACTATATAAATGCGAACAAATGCAAGATTAAATAGTTTGATATTAGAATAGCCAACTAAACTAGTAGTAGTGGAACCTATCCTCTGGTGTCCCTATTATCCTTACAGTTATATAATATATAGTTTGTATACCAACGTATAAACAGTACCTGTATTGCGCCATGTATATACTGCATAGAATTCGTAATTGCCATATATCAAGGCAGAGATTAGAAGGGGCCAAAATGAGGTTCTATCTGTTAGATTTCCTTTGTGTAGTTTTTCCAAAGGAAGCCCAACAAAGAGATATTAGGGTTTCTGATTACTATTCTTGAAAGAAGTGAAATGTACAATAAAAAGTTTATTTATAGCTAGAGATTGCCCGTTCCAAAATATGAATTGAGTATACTTTGTTTCAGCAATTTTTAGCCCCAGCTAGATTACTGGAACTTTCCTGGGTGATGTTCCACTGTGTCACCTTTTCTTCCTCAGCCAACCTTCTGCATAACAGATAGCCTCAGTAATTTTAAACATCTTCACACTGGCCTTCCCTACTGTTCCCTCTATAACAGACTCTTCTTGCTGAAAATCTCCTCCTAATTCTTCGAACATTTCACAAGAAATGCTTACATCCTTCACTGTCATCCATTGCCTTCCATGCTCAGTAGTAACAGCAAAAGAACTATCCTCCATAGACTCTTCTATGCTTCTAGCAAGGCGGTACTCTGCTAAATGAAAGGCCGTGCAGACATCAAACCCCACCCCAAGAAGGAGCACCTTCGCCCCAACATATTCGAGTCTACCCAGCGGGCTCTTCTCCCCAAGCCTGCAATCCAGATCATGCACTTCCATTAGCCACTTAGCTAAGGGTCCTACGGCAGCGAAGGAGGTTTGGGGATGGGAACTCCGCACAGCTCCAGGCCAGGTCCGCACTGTCTCTGCAATACTGCCCATGCCTCTCGTACGGCTCGTGTAGGGATTATAGGGCGGCATTTGTGCACGAACTGTTTCATGCCATTCCTCGGGGATTGGCGGATTTTGCCATTCCGCGGGATCCGAGTTGTCGCCTGTATGCGTAGGGACCACAAGGGTGCCGTCTGAGCCGATTGCAGAGAGTATCGCCAGGACCACTGTATTTGAACCGCCGCAGACCCAGCCCAAGGAGCTGAGTGAGGAGTGTAGAAGTACAGTGCTACCCTTAATGTCATCGAGATTGTTAAGCTCTCGAGAAATTGAATCGACTGTACAAAGTGGTCCGGTAACTGGAGCCCGCATTATTGCGATAGATTCGGAGTACTGCTGAAGTCGGTTCAGATTTGTTTTCGTCTTTGATTATTTCGTGCTCGGTCTCTAGTATGTGTCGTGCCTGGTTCAATGGAATGTCATTGCTATTATTGTCCGCAATATTTGAAGTAGGGATAGATAGCGGTGAATGCCTTACTACTAAGGCATCTGCAGGTCGGGGTCCAAAACGGGTTAGATTCTCTCGCAGTAGGACCAATCAGGCCTAACACTACAACCTGATTTGTAGAGTAGTGGCTATTATTCTGGGTCCTATGATACATATATAATAGGTGGATTTGAATAGATTCACTAATAGAGGTGTGTTCTATAGTACCTGTATTCTATTGTAGAAGTGCGGTTTACTTTAATCTAAATATAGGTATCGCTCGAACACGTGTCCGCCCGAGCCGAAAGGATCGACGCTGTTAGCGTGCGATAAGTATTGTACAGTCCGGATGGAGGGCTGCTGGCAACTCAAATTTGAGACATCTATTGTTAATTGCAGACTCCATTATTTGGGAGGTAAGCCTGATTAGCATGGCAAAGATTTCTTCCTACGGCCGACTTTTTTGGAGCGTTCCACAGCTGGCCCCCTTTCCTCTTCTCAACTTTCTATGTCCCTCCTTTTTCTTTCGCATGCCTCCTTCATATATGATGAAATCAACACGGTTCTTGTATAAATATCCCACAGAACTGTGATAGAATCGATTTACTTTATGTTCGTCTAGGAGCTGAGTGGGAATCCACGTTCTGTGCCAGGGCTGAGTTTCCAGGATCCAAAGATGCCCCGTGAAGTCTAATTCTCTACATGTACCTGAAAAGGTGGGATATGTGTACTATTTTACTATCTGAGAAATTCCAGGACCTTGTGGGTGGTTAAACTATCCGCGAGTTCTGGGTGTCAAGTCACTTATGCTCCATAATGTTGCAGTAGCCAAATTTTTGTACCAAAGGCCTAGCACGCCTTGATAAGAACAGTACTCGGCCCATCCATCCTGTACACTTCAGCTGCTATCGTAAATTGGGGACTGTATCTTTGAAGTAAAGTAAGGTAGACTCTACTTTAGTGCTTTTTGGTCAACAGCATCTACATACTCTTTCAAGAAATCATGCTTATCATCCATGTTTACAAATCTCGATCTGTAGGTGTTCCTGGGATCTTCATGCTGTTCCTGACCCGGACTTCCGCATCTCATTTTTGGCAACCTTATTTGTCCCGCTTTTCTTCATTCTGATAGATAGAAACCTACTTATCGAAGCCCTAAAAAGGGGTTAAAGAATAAGGTTATCAGTTCTTTACCTAATCCTAGTGATGGATCTTCAGTTTACCAGTCGACAGCTCAAAATATGGATGTTTCACCTATTTTTTCCTGAAGAATTGACCTGCATGCTCTCCGCACTATCCGAAGAAGAACCGAGTGCGGTGCATACGATAAGTTTAAATACTAATCCTCTACCTCTCGAGTGTCCAACTCCAGGGGCTATCTATCAACCGACCATCTGTCATTCTTTTGAACTACTCAATACCAGACCGTCGACATTCCTTTTTCATATACATTTATATCGCACTCATTATCTCATTTATTATATCACACTCTTTCCAATATGAAACTGAACGCAGTAGTTATTCTGACTGCCGTCTCTTTGGCCACCGCGGCTCCTCTTACTCCACGTTCCGCCTGTCGCGCGAAGAACCAACCAGCGACCCCTGTCCGTGGAGCTTGCAAGGCAACCCGGCAACCACATGCTCCTGCAGTTCATCCTATCCCCGTTAAAGGAGGCAATGGCGACATCTCCCTAAAAGATGTCGGTAACGGCAATGGCAACAACAACGGTGTGCTCAACAATGATATCAATGGAAACAACATTGATATCTCGCCCAGTCTTTCTCTGGGTCACTCTGGAAAGCCTGCTCCTAAAGACGGTGCTGACAAGGATGCCGTCAACAAGGACAGCGGCGACAAGGACGAGAACAGCGGCGACAAGGGCGAAGCTCCTGCACCTGGGGCTCCCAAGGAACAGGAAAAGGAGTGTCCTTGCGCCGCTGACAAGGCTCACCTCGAACTCGATGGTGTTGGCAACAGTAACGGGAATCAGAACGGCGTCTTAAACGGCATAGCAAATGGGAACTCCATTAAGTTCTCGCCTTCTATCAGCCTGTGAGGGCCGCCTCCGGTCTGGGATGGTAATGTTGAGCGACGTTTTGAATGATTTCTATTCTCTTGGCTCAGGTCCAAATTTTTGCTAATTCTTATGTGTTGCCATTGCGACTTCATACCCGAGGAGAATCCCTAGGAATTATTAGTTTCATTCTGTGTTGGGTTTATTCCTATACTTTTAATAGAATAGTTTATAATTAGGAGATGTTCGCATTATTATTCTGACCCCAAACGTAAAGGCTCGTAGTCGATTCTAGTCAACTGGGCTCCAAATAATTTCTGTGAATCGCCTAGGTGTTGTTTCTGATACAGAGAGACAGTCTGCATACAATATGTTAGCAATCCGATGGCGGTTCTCTACTACTTTATTTGCCGTATACTGATATTCAGCGCCAGCAATGATGCAGTGATATTTGGAGCGGTTCCTGATCATGGTCGATTGATTCTCTCTATGGTAATGTAACTAGGAAGCCCATCCTCGAAGAATCAGCTGAGCATTGAAGCTATTCCAGCTGGCCGTTTACGCCATAGTCTTTCTCATCTCTGGATGAGTTTTAGTTTCTTAGTGCTGCTGTCGACACACTGCGGCGTTAGTCCAGGCTCTGGAAAACTCTTATCACCCCGGCGGCCATTAGTTCCATTTAATAGAGAACCACCTCTCGATCATCATATATAGTAATACGCTGAGATATACTCTTAATTTACATGCTTAGTTGATCAGATATTCCAGTCATAATCCACTGGATTCCATGAAACTCGCCAATCCTCGTATTCACCTAGACATCCGTATGAGGGAGAATCCTTGTTGAAGTACGCGAGGCCTGAGCCCTAGGACAGGATAGGAAAATACAACAATTGTAGGAAAAATTTGGTGCACTCTACTTCTAGTTTTTATCATGCTGGGGGCTAAATTTGTATCCTATATCCCCTCGTATCTAGGTTTCTGGCTGGTCATCCTCCGCACGACCGGTAACTGGGGCTGCTTTTGCTGTTATATCATTATTTAACCTTGACTATGCCTAACAGAAAGATGGTCCTGATGCATCTGGCCAGAGAATCTGCAACTTTGACCCAATGAAGCTGAGATTCATGATATATGACAACCCATTCTTGCACTTTGCAAACGCCGTCTATCCGGAGATGCTAAGCTCTCTACAGCAAAGAAACAGTTATGTGACGACGAGCCGCATTCCGTTGCGTGTAGCAAGCCCTGTACTTGCTCGATAACATGAAATTGCCTCGCACTCACTCGGGATTTAGACCGCGAGGCGCTGTATTAGGAGACCCCGGGTTTGCGCCATCACTCACGGCCACGACCATTTCAGGTGACTGCATGAAAGCTATCAGACGAGTAACACGTCTCCGTTCGGGATGAATTTTCTCATGTTCCGTAAAATGAGTGAATTACAAGGCACCCGGAACAGCAACGTGGGTGGCTGCCGCTGATCGACCAGATGAAAATTAGCGGCGCATATGCTCAAACGGAATTGGGCCACGTAACATTTGTCCAGGGGATAGAGACGACAGTTACTTTTGATGACGAATTTAGCACCTTTATAATCGATTCAACCACTGTGACATCCACCATGTACTTGCCAGGTGTTCTCAGGCTCATCAGCGCATGCTGTCGTTGCGGCAAGATTAATCATATAGAGCAAAAACTATGGCATGCACATGTTATTGTCTAGGTTCGCTCTCTGGATGATTTCACCCCAGTGGACGAAGTGGAGCTAGGGGACCTGGGCAGGAAAATGGCCTACAGTGGGACTTGCAATGGGCATGCACGGTTCAATGGCCTACGCATCACTAGAAGTAGCATGCTGGCAGGTCATGCACATGTCTCACGCGATGGCACGTACAGCCAGACACAGTTAGATGGCATACTATTATTAAAGAGGATATATTCGACCACGTTAGTTTCGGCAAAACATAACCCCACGCGTCGCGCTTGGATTAGTTTGCTGTGACAATTGCAGCGCGGTATTAAATTGTCAGGGAGTAGGGGAGACCATTGTTCTATAGTATAGGGGATAAAGAAACGGCCATTGTTCTGTACAAATTATAGAACTACCGACTTATGCCATTCTTTTCGTCGCGAAGGACTTTGAAGTATGAATAGCTCGTTCGCCGCTGGGCCACAGGTGACTATAAGTTGCGGTACATTCATGCCCTCAGCACGTGCCTTAAAGCGTGGGCAACCATAGTGGCCAACTCAGGGGCTACAGAAGCACGAAAAATGTTTAGAGGCCATGGGTTTGTCGCGTTGTTCGGCTTACCAGAGATCTAGGGAGCAGCCTCTGCAACTGCGACGTTCGAGGGTGAGAACTATGTTGTGTTACAACATCTGGTAGCATACCTGTTTAAACAGGTTAAGGCATTACGTGCAGACCAGACAGTTGTTATAGAGGCCAAGGACTACATGGAAGGCGTCCGCTCGTATATTGATGAAGAAGCACCCCCAGTCAGTCATCAGAGTTGCCACCGAGACAAGCTTTTTGAGTCGTCCATACTGCTGTCCACCTGCATTCCTCGCGGTGACTGATGGCCGTTACCTTCCGCTCATATACGGAGATACGTCAAAGCGTCTCCGCAGCGGAGGGGTGAATACGTGCATGATATCTACACTGTCAGCTGGACATGCATCTGTGGAGTACATTACTTAAAATCGTTCCTGGACAGGATATCCTTCATGGATAAGAAGGAGCTAAGTCTACCCTTTGTCCTGCTTCAGACATATCGACTCTTTGCTCTAACAGCAATCATTAGCCCTGTGCTATCCTTTGCAGCAGGCTCTTTTATTGGGGACAAGGAAACCACTGGCCATAGCGTTCCTAGCGATGCTTTCAGCGACGACTTTGCTCTGAGTGTTCCTATGTACTACTTGACAATACCCGTGTCAAACGTGGGTCTCTCACCCTCTGAGATATATTGTCTAGTGAGATGTCTTGAGGGGCCACACGAAGTAATTCTAGAAATATAATGAAGAGGCTTTATATGTATTGTGTTGGCGAAAGGTCGTATGTTGAGTAGTCCAAGAAAGTTGACGCTGCACGAATATGGTAAGGTGAAATCGGCGACAGCCCCAGAGTGAAACACCACGCTGCACCACTCAGCAAGCTCCTGGAACCTTTGCTGTCCCGAAGCGTGTCGTCAGCTAAATGCCCCGGAATCACCGGGGGCTTGGATTCAAATTCTAAAGGAAGCCCATACCTGGTCAGCAATTCTTTTACCCTGGTCATGTTCGTTGCGACATCTGGAGCTCGGGTCAAATATACAATTTTATTCACCTGCAGCAATCCCGCAAGTAATGCTAGGAAAAAACCACCCATAAAACTCGTACTTTGGCTGATGGAAACCTCATGGGACTTATACGCGCAACATAGACATCTGTAATACGCCAGCAATCGGTATCGTAGCTGCAGCCACCACTTTTCGTGCGCTCTAGTTCTTGGCGGAGTCTGTCTGCGAGTTCGTTGTCTGAAGATGAGAGGTTCGATAAGGATAATTTAGGGGCTTGTTTTGGGCTCTCTCCCACTATCGCACATGTTTCTTGGAGATTCTGCGTTATCGCAGGTTTAGATCCTTCTTGAACAGGCGCTTTATACTCAGGACGCTTGTTGGTACTATGCCGCGGAGTGTTGGTAGTCTTAGGAATATTTTCTCGTTGACGTGTTGGTGCAATAGCGCCCCTCTCAGCGGGTTACCATAAGTGATTAGAACTGTTAGCGCACGGCGTCGATAACAAAATGATCGAGGCTCTATAGCTTAGGAGATCTAGGCTAGTTGCGATAAAGTAGGATAAGGGTGATATGGAGAGGAAGGAGGGATCGTATATATTTCAGAACCAATCGCTAAACTTCCAGAGTTCAGGCCCGAAGGTGAGAATATAATTAGAGCTGAATGCGTGACTAATCCAATATCTCAATAGTTTAACACTTATTCGCCTAACAATAGCTGAGTAATAGGGGATGTGAATGAAGATGGCAGCTCGGTAAGCTCTCTTATATGTCGAAGAATGAGAAATGAATAAAAGACGGAAATAAGTGGAAGGAAGAGCTGTTCCTCAGTTCTTTGAAGTGCAGGTTCAGCTACTGGCCACGTTCACATCTCCACCCACGTATGCGGCCTATTGGGGTAGGGGCAAATGGGGCACTCACGCACGATGGAGCCGTCATCATCTTCAAATTTTGTACCAACCAGATAGTCCGGGGGATTATCTTTTTCAGTCCACACGAGTAAGGCCGATATAGCGTGCTGATAGCGGTCATTATAGCCGGGAACCCCAGCAGGGATATTTTCATGACCTTCGCCTGATAAGCAGGTCCAATATACCAGGGGCATCGGCACCGCCGGAGCAGTGTCCTATACCAGGAATATAGAAAAAGCGGTAGAAGTCGTCAATGGTATAGCCGACATCAGCCATGATCTTGTTTGTTCGCTCCCAATAAACGCGACCGGCCTTAGTGGGAATGATCCCATCAGCGTATCCGTGGTAGTGGATGAATTTGTCTCCCTTTTAAGCGAAGGGGCTGATCCTGTACTGGTCAGCCTGTGCATTACCGGTGTTAATATGGTCCGAGATCTTAATAATACTCTCGATGAGCTTGGACCAATCGTAGCTAGTGGTATTGAGGAGGAAATAGAGTATCCAATCTGACCCTAAGGTAGTGGGTTTATCGGCCATGTAAGAATCTGGCTGACGTCGGCTCCCAGTGAGTACGCTGGAAAAATTAATTCATTATTGTAAAACCAGTCCCTGACCACCAATTTTGCGAGCTTTAGCTGATCGTCGTTTAAAGAACACGCTCACATTGCTCCCAGAGACAGAGCAACTTAGGGCATCAATATTAAATTTGCAAGCCTTAGGGTTCAAAATAATATTGTTTGTAATACCATCTTCGGGATCACATTGGGCCATGGCCTCCTTTGCCAGAGCGGCTATTTGGATAAGTGTGACATGGTGAGAAGCATTGGCTAGTAAATCATGGTTGCTAAGCCATGTGTTGCAGGGAGAAAGATGGTTCATCCACCATGCCGGGGGCACCAACCAAGGCACCATCAAAGTCATCCGGGAACTCCTGGATTTCCTTGAGACCCTGACGACCTCCAGTAGAGCAAGTGGCGTAGTAGGAGTAGGAGATTGGGCGATTGTAGTATTGGCGAACAATGTTGGAGGCGAACGCCAACGACAATTAATAGCCGCTTCCGAGCTATTGAGAGCCCAACTCCCACCATCGTGACCAGATCGATGACCGGTATCAGTTGAGACTGTGGCAAATCCATGCTGCAATAGCTGGCAAACGTTGGGCCAATTCGTGAAGCCACCAATTCGTGAAGCCACCATAACCTCCATTACTAGTAGCCATGAAGCGGTTATTCCACTTGTATGGCAGATAGAGTGCGACAATAAAAGAGGATGAATTCCTAGTCAAAACATCTAAGCCAACCGCACAACCTTCCGGAAGGGAAGTGGCGTTCCCAGCCGCCCATTCGTCACCAAAAGTACCATTCTCTGCGACGTATGTTGCGTAGTTTAGAGTAGCATTGTTGGGGATTAGGCCAGAAAAAAAGGTCGGTGTGGCATTTATAGGCTATTGTTCCAATAGCCAGGATAGCAAAGATGAGGAAGGTAGATTTCATTTTCACAAATGTGGAAATAAGATAGATAGAAGTGAAGCTGCTTCGGGTCTTCAGCTATGAGAAGAGAAGTGATGAGAGGCTTGATTGACCTTACTGTGGGGAGGAATAAATAGATAAAGATACATACTTGTAACTTTTCTTGGCATGGCAATGGGGACAGAATGCCAGGACAATATAGCGATTCAGGTTTAGTATGCGCCACTATTGTCATATCGTATTAATTAATGAGCATCCACGTAACCTTAGCCGGGCCCACCAAAACTCAATTTCATCCATATTGCTTACTGGTTACCACGTTGCCTGTTGGTACCAGGAAGTTGAAGTCGGTAGGAACAGATCGGCCGGCATCCGCGAGGACTTGGTTCTGAAACATAGGGTGGAAGTTCGCGCAAGAAATACAATTAGATTATCCCAAATGACTCTGAGGCGATCAACTCTTAACGGATGCATTATTTATTTCCTATCGACAGGTTAGCAAAGCTCTTGCTATTCGCAAGATATGTTGACTCCATTTCCTTGATGAGACTCAGATTGTCGGAGGTGTGAAGCCGAAGTTGCACTTTGCAATTCGTAGCTCCACATATCATGGAAGAGGAATGTCCGTGTCTATCTTGTATTCCGCGGCCTATCAAGCCAAATTGATGCAGCATGCGCAGGGAAGAGGAACTCTAGAGTCCTTGTTGTCCCTTCATAGGAGACGGTTGCAGTGGAGCCTAGAGTTGTAGATTTTTTTCACAAGAATCACTGCATACATGTTGACCTAGACCTCTGGTTGGATGATAGAGAAAACTAATAGTGAGCCCTGTGTACTGTTAATTGTATTTAAAATATTTAGTTATCGCTGCCATGAGCCAACGATCAAGGATCGATATCAAATAGCTGCAAAAGCGCGGAAAGTAAATTTCATTGCCCAGTAGATAGTAAACTAGATACAAAAGTCAAGGTTGTTATGATCACACAATATCTGTACCAAGCCAATGGCGATGAACAGGCCGGGTTTACATATAACCCTCACTCCCAAGGTTGGATAATAAAGCAGTGAAACAAAGCAGATAAACAAAGTAACTACCGAATCGGAGTCGCTGGCATAAGTGCATCTCTTTCTGCGGGACAGACTGTGATACACCTTAGGCTATCCGATCCTTTGGGTCGTGGGGATTACAAATCCGCCATTTATGCTGTACATTCAAATTGATCAGTGACAGGAGCTCAGCCGGATGGCAATCTAAGTAACTTACGGGTAGGAGACTGGTTATGAGAGACATATGTAGGGTTCTTGTTCTTAACACCCCCGCCCTCGGTGTGATAACTGGCAATGCTGACAGATTTATCTGCAGTAGAGTCAATGCCCATAGAAGCCCAGGCGAAGATTCCATTCTCGATGGTCTCTCCTAGAAGCACATATTGCATAAAAGGGTCGATATCTTCAGCCTCCTGAAGCAAGATATAGTCCTCATCATTGGCAGTTAAAGCCTGCTCATTAGCGGTATAAGAAGAGCTCGCCTCAACGTTGGAAATCAGATGTTGGTCGAAGAAGAGCTGTCCAACATGCGAGGCGTGGGTAGAATACAGCCCCGAAATCGTGTCGTTGGCAAGGCGGATAGTCTCGTTGGCAGTATGACTCAAAACTAGTTGGTGGGAAAAGCACTGCAGTCAGATTCTGCCAATAAATACAGGCCAAGGTAGGCGCTGGGTGGAACCGGATCTTACCATGGATATGGACAGTACGACCAGTGTAGTGGCCAGGGAAGATGGTTTCAAACTGCACCACTCCATTCGCATCGGTTTGCTGTATGCCGCGAAGGAACGTCTTATTGATATTACCCAAATCAGTCGGGTTGCCATTACTCCCAGCGACGACTCCCGAGTAGATGCCCTGTGCAGAGGCGGTTATTAGCTCCGATGATTCCTTCCAGGAGATTCAAACACTCTCACCGTGGCATTGCAGTGCCAAAGGTCAATATAAGCCTTAGAAAGGGGCTCGCAAGTATTGGTATCAATTAGTTGGAGGTCCAGGAATAGCGGCACACCCGCCTGGTCCTCAACAATATTCTGACGGATTAGTTCACCAGAGACGTCTGCATCCCCAATGGTTAGCATGTCTGACTCTCTTACGGTAACATCAATCAACCATACAGTAAGGTCCTTCAGTTGTATCCTCACCAAGGACACAGGTAGCATTCGATGAAAACAACACCTCGGGTTCTGTAAATGGAGATAATCCATGTAGAGTGGAGTGATGGGTGGTATTTAAACTACTAAGCCCACGGGGAGCTGACGATGCGTGAGTAAATAGTATGCAGAGGACTAGATCAATAGTTTTCAAATGGGGAATGGGGTTCTGGTAAATTATAAGCCCAGGAACTCACCGATACCAACATCTCTCTTGCGAATGATCTGCTGAGCAGTGTGCACACGACGAGCTACGTTGGCAGCCTCATGACCACGAGACTTTAGGTGATTCGCACAGTGAGATAGGCTGCGCTTCTCGATGGGTGTTCTCTTCAAGAATTGGGCACGTTCGGAGGCTTCGGAGTGAACATCATGTCCTGGATGAGCAGAAGCAAGAGCGGCAAGTCCGAAGAGACCGCACAGAAAGAGAATGCCGAAATGAACCATGTTGAAAGAACAATGATTGCTTAGGATAAGACAGTACGACACAAATGTCCCCGACAATAGCAATGCAATTAATAGCTTTCATTTAAACTAGAACAATATATCGGACTACCACAGTGAATTTTAGGCCTTCAAATACATTCATCTCTCCCGCCTCCCAAATATCCCGTTGTTGATCACGGCTTACGTGTGGGTCTGGGTCCTAATCAGAGTGTACAAGTAGAGGTATTCTAAGAATAGTCATGTAGAAGGTTTCGGAGAACTCATCCAATGCCACCCACCATGTTCATGATGCCATCCCAGAGAGATTCTATTGGCTTTAACTATCAGCCGAGGCCGTTAGAGACACATTCGGCTTATCTTCTGTCTACTTTTGATCACCGCCCATCCCATGATCATCCAACACAATGGAAGAGATACCAAGTTTCTTATATTTGGCGGCCGCACAAGCGGCCTAACCCGTCCGGAAACCGTCGGTAAATGATAACAAAAGCACAACAGAAGCAGTCCTGTTCCCAAATTCGCACGTGGTTTACCAAGCTGCAGCTAAGCTTATCTTTTGCCTTAGACTGATTATCGATATTACCCGGTTGTGCTACTTCGTGGGCAATATTGTGACCGAAAAAGCTCACCAAGCGGAATGTGTACGTGTTGTTCAGTGGATCCGGAACCGATTAGCTTGGCATTCGGCGGTCCACCAGGGGTGGACCCAAGAGTTTTTGGTTTACCGGAAGCTTGGCAGAAATGTACTCCCAGAGTAATGCTTGTTGCTCTCTCAGCCGAGGTAACTCGGCATAGCTAAGGTCGCGATCTGCCGATATATTTAGGGCGGCGGGTCCTCGCCCGAGACCAAGCCTCAAAACCCCAACCAACCAATGCATACATAATATAGTATATACACCGTAATCTAATATTAAATGGTCCTTAGGCAAATGCAAGTCGCAGGTTGATCGAGTCTACAGCTGAACTGAAAGTGGAGTTTCGGCTAGTAGCGCGTCGCTAACCGAGTTGGGTCAGGATCATGTGACCCACAATGATTTTTGGGAATTTCTCCACTCTCCACGAGCTTCCTGTTTTTTACTATACAACCCTCTTACCTTTTCTTCCTCTATTCCAGCGGTCGGGCATTTTCTTAAACTAGTTTTAAGACAGTTTTTAGTGCTTTAAGATACTAAACTTAAATATAAGTTAAAAAAAGCATGCTTTTATAATTATTGTTTCTAAACTAGGTCCAGGAATTCTATAATTACTATCTCCGCGACCGCGTAACAGGCATATTAGCTATTTCTTTTTAGGATATAGTAATTATTATTATTATTATTCTTCCATATTATAGAGCATTTTTCAGTCAGAGACTATGCATGCTCTACCTACCACCCCTGGGTGGTAGGATTTAAACTAACAAACAGATACGTACATAGTGGGTAAATCAAACATAACTAAGCAATATGACATTCTAGGGGTGGGGGGGACCTTAAAAAGGATTAAACATGCTAATTTCCACTGTTTTTATTTTTATTTTTCTTTTTCTTTTTGTTTTCCCTAGATCCAAGAGCCACTTTCTAGTGGCGATCCCGTTTCCTTTAGGAATGATAGTTGTTCTTGCCCTGCTTTCTTCGTGAAAAGATAAGGCAAATTTCGGTCTTTTTTGTCTAGGGTCTCTATAGACCCTTCTCTGATGTCCCTGGTTGCCGGGCACTGGAGGAGTAGGTGGTATGGAGTTTAATATTTATTACTGTGGCATGACATGCATATATCACTATTATAGTTAGGTGTTCTAACTAAATATGATCTAAAGTAGCCGTGCCCTAGCTTTAATTAGATGATGGTTGACCAGGTCTGCTTGGGAAGCCTTAGGGGCTTGGCTTCCATGAAGCTATGGAATTAAAGCCCCTGTATTAATCACTTTTCTTAGCATTTTCCCATGCTTTATCCCAATCCTCAAGGCACTTTGCTTTAAGCTCTCGTTTGAGATGGCTAACTGAAATGGGGCATTTATAATATTTGCTTGTCAATTCTGCCCCATACTTAGCTGCTTCGTCAGCTTTCGCATTACCGAAAATTCCTTGGTGGCCTGGAACCCAGTGGATATAAATATTAATGTTCTTATCCCTGATTCTAGTAGCCCATTTGGAGATCCTTTGGTGTGGTTCGTAGTTGGTGTCTGCTGATTAAAGTCTTTTTAGGGCTGCTTGGCTGTCTGAGAAGATGTAAATGTCTAGAGTTGGAATTTAAATAGTCTTATATGCATGTTTTAATGCTTTTTAAATAGCAAACAACTCTGCATCATAGACCTTATATTCATGTCCTAGATTCCATGCCCAAGCCTTCTGATTTTAAGGCTTATTATCTAGAAGGAAGATTCCTGCACCATTTTGACCGCTTTGCAGCTGGGATCCATCTGAATAAAAGATAATTCTGTGGTTATTAGCAAGCCATTGAGATATTAGCGCCTTGTGTTCTTGGGCTGCTTGCTTTTTTTTGGTTTGCTAGATATAAATATATCTATTATTTAGTTTAATGACTGGGCCCAGGGTGGTACTATTTGGTCTAGTGTTTAAAAGGTGCCTTTCCAGGTCTTAAATGTTAAGAATCTTGGGGAAGAAGCTATGTCGTGAGGTGCTAGGATAGCGGTGACTGGATAGTATATTAAAACTATCGGTGCGATCTAGTATCGCATGATAAGTGTCTTCTTTTATCTAGGAGAGGAAGCATAGATAAATGCTTCCTTATGTCTACGTGTCCTTTAGCCCCTTGCGTGCGATATATCAGATCCCTACAGAACTAGGATATACAAAGATGCCTTAGGCATCCTGATTTCTAACACTCCTACTTAAACTAGTCCTTTGGAATATAGTTCGCATGTCTCTATCCAGTGCACTTTTTCTTTACCTCTTCTTAATTATCTCCCACTGTTAACTAATCCTATCTTGCTGCGATATTGTTCTAGCAGCTCTCGCAGTAGTAGCTTTGTCATGCTGTCTGCAAGCATCTTGCGAGTTTGGATATACTTAGTAGTAATAATATTGCGCTCCTTTAGATCGCGCGCGAAGTGGTATGCGATATTAATATGTTTTAAGTATTTATTTAACAACGGTTAATTAATAAGTGTAATCACAGAGGTATTATCTTTGTATATTAGGACAGTACACTGGTTTTTACTAATATATTTTAAATAGCCTATATTTATTATAAATTATATAATTTACTTAGCTTGCTTTGCATACAAGGCTAATGCGATATACTCTGCTTTGGTTATTAATATTAATACTGCAGGTTGTTTACAGCTTTACCATAAGATCGGTCCTCCTCCCAGTATAAAAAGCATGCTAGATCTTAACTTTTAATTAGAATAATCTCCTATATAATTAGTATTTAAATAGCTGATAACCTAATTCGCATGCCTAGAACCTGGTCCATAGCAAATCTTTAGGTCGATTGTTAATCACAGGTAGTGTAAAAGGGCTTTTGTGTCTTAAGCATGCTTTTTAGTTAGTTTATTTATAAATTAAGCAAGCGCACTTGTTATATACACAATGTTAGGTCGCGAATAGACCATTGCAAATATTGTACTGCTAACTTTTGCTAATAATCTTGTTTAGGTGCAAGTTTATTATCTTGTCGTACTTTTAATAATATTTTACCACTTGGTATCAGGGTGCGGGTTGGTGTAACTGCTTTATAATCTATATTATACTGTCACAGCATTTGCTTAATATATACTGACTGGTCCAGGTAGATTGTGTGGTTTGGATGGTCGCGGGTTATACAAATACCAAGGATTTTTAAAATCTCCCCAGATCCTTAATATTAAAGTATTCCGCGAATTTTACTTTAAACTTATTAATTTCGCGCATGTTCTTTGCAGTAATAAGTAGGTTGTTTATATATAGTTTAATAAGAACATCTATAATATAGTTGCGGAATACACATGGTTTACTTGGGATAGCCTTAAATCCTATTTTTTTTAAGTGTTTTTAAATATAGGTTGTACTAATCTCGCGTAGCTTGTTTTAAACTATACAAGCTCTGCTTTAACTCGAGTATATATCTATTAAACAGCTTAGCGCTAGCTAGCGGATATATATATATTTACTCTTGCAGTATTACTTTAGTAAAAGCGTTATTAATATTAACCTAATATACTTTAAAATCTTCGAGTGTGATAATAGCTAGCATAATTTACAGGGAGTTAATATAAATTGTCAGCGCGAAGGTTTCTTTGTAGTTAACTCCTTAAACTTAACTAAAACCTCTTGTAACTAGTCGTGTTTTAAATTATTTAACTCCCCCATTCGGTGTATACTTAACTGCGAAAACCTATTTTATAGTAATAATATTAGCGCCGTCAGGCACATAGGTCTCAAGAAAAGGTACTGTTAATAATAAGTAACTAAAATTTTAATTAGATAGCCTTTTTCCACTCGGGTTTATAAACTGGGTTATTAATGGCTTCTTTGTACGTACAAGGGATCGGAATTGGGTTATTAATCTTAGGCGCGGTTTTCGTGATGGTTTTAATTAATAGTACAAAGTAGATTATTTTATTAACCTTATTTTACCACTTCTGCTCCTTTAGTTTTAACCTTTTTAATTAGCAGAGATTTGTACTTTATACTAATTTATTGTCGGTGCGTTTTCTCTTTTTAGTTAGTATACAGATTTCTAGTATTTTTTATATTCTTGCAGGAATCAGCTCTTTGTTGCTGGCTCCCACTAAGTCTTAACACTTTTAATAGTAATTATCTAAGTAATCATGGTTAAAACTCTTAGCCACTGTCTTGTATTGTTCGTTGTCGGCTGGTTCTGGCAAGCTATCCCGCGAAGTTGGTGATATTTTATCCTGCTTCCTTGGTCGACCTACAGGATTCCTATCTAGTAACATAGTGGAGGTGGATTTAATTCACAGCTTTAGATTAATTATACCGCCGGGCGTATCTTTATCAAAGATAACTATTAATGCTTAAATAACGCGATGGGAGTCTGGCGCGTAAATATAGTAT